TGGAATAGTGGCAGTGCCAGACGAGCTCTAGCGAAGCCGAGAGAGGCCGGCAGTAGCGTCCAGCCGAGCGGCAGTGCTCGAGCAGTTTTCTCGTCGTTCGACTTCCTGACCTCGACGACGACGTTCACCGACGACGAAGCGTTCCTACAGTAGACGCAGGCATATTACCTCGATTTAACCCACCCACCCGCACCTTTTCTTTACCATCCACATATGATCATACCAATTCATACAGTGATTACATTACAATGCATCATATACCAGTCCATGTAAGCTCATATGTGATGTGAACCTGTTGGAACTGCAAATCGCGGTACAAGTGGGGTATGCGCCTCGCCTTGCACCGCGTCCGAATCCCGACTAACCAGGATTCTCACCCAACCAGTTAGCAGTTCCTTCAGCTCGCACTCACGAGAGACGAGGCTGGAATGCATGAAGGAATCGCAAAATTATTCCATCCAAGTCCAAATGCGTACTTGCGGACTACTGACCTCCGTGTCGCTCCTTCACGGCGGCATGACCTTTGAAAGCCCAATGATCCTCTTCCGATATCGATAGCTCAGATTCTGCCATTGGGACGTGATCTCGAGGGACTATCCTATCGCACGATGTTTCCAGCTCTACTTAGCTCGTGGATTCTACTCGGACTCGAACTCTTACCACTGAACTACGGTCCGCGATATGACCGCATGCATAGGGGATGGCTTCTGCGTTCCCCGAGACAAGAAGGACCAAGAAAGGAGGGAGGGGTTAGATAAAATGCCTGCTGACGTGGCTCACACTGGCACTGTATCGTTTGATTGAAACAACATCTTGACTTGATTTCTACCTCAGAGCAGCGTGTAGCGATGCCAGCTAAGCAAGCGTCTGTTTGCAGTTGGACGCTCGTTTTACCACAATGTGCCTCCAGGCGGATTCTGACAAAGCAGTGGCTCCCTCCGAGAAGCACGATGCACATCGCGGCTGGTCGTGTGCAGCTGATGAAGCGAGAACTTCGCCCCTGCATAGGTGAGGAGTTTCGGGCACTCCCGGTTCTAAACCTATTCAGGTCTGTCCAGTCGCTATACTGTTCACTTTCCTCTGGAGGCATGCGAAAGGAGTCAAACCTATGTCGCCACCTTACCCGGTCGCCCAAAATCGTCTCAGTTCCAGGATGAACTGCTTTCTATCATGCCTCCGAAACTCCACCGCAATCAACATTTCTCACTAGTAAGTGACTTCTCGTGCGTGATTATCTTTCCGGCAGGGATCTCCCAAGGACCGAGTTCTATATTACTGCGCGCCGGCAGCAGCACTCGGGCGAAGCACTCACCTGAGCAGTGATGGAATCGACGGATCGCACGCGGGTCCCGCTTACCTGTTCGCTTCATTCAAGCCCCAGCTGCACACCATCCCCGTTCGTCAGTTTCGATATAACGCTTGGGGGTGTATAGTCGTCTCACCGGGAGGATGTACATGTCCGGTCCATATGTCGGAGTCTATAAGCCGCGGGACTGTTCAAGTGATCCGTTCGGACTTTACAATGACAGACGTCATGCGCCGAGGACATCCCGTTGATATCGATGCTAGACCGGTCCTTGGAGCCCCAGCCCCATCTGACGTATATGACTGACACGCACGGCACCAATAGATCTCTTGCATAACCGATGCCCGTCATCATAGTTTATCGACCGCACCATCGTCCACTGTCTCACCGCGATAGCAACGCGGACTATTCCTCATACACGAATGTCCAAGGCGGAGACGGGTGAGGCTGAACGCATAGAGCGCGAGCGCAAGACGGGATTGGCAGCGTACAAGAACAAAGATTTCAAGGCTGCCATCCGGCATCTCGAGAAGGCGCGGAAGGTATCTCCCGACGATATCTCGATCTTGGTTGCTCTGGGAGGTATGTCCCTGGACTCTGCCCGAGGAGTCGCAGTTGATTTTGGATTTTTCAGGGGCATACCTACACATCAAGGATTACCAGAAGAGTGTAGATGCCTGCGAGAAAGTCGTCCGTTTATGCGAAGGAGTGCGTCGCTTTACAGCAGGATGGTAGCGCTGCCGCTCACCCTCATATAGCGCCCAGAGGGTAACACACCTGCGGCCGAAGCATTAGCCACCCTGAGCCATGCATATTTCAAGCTGGGCGACGCGCCCCGAGCCCTCAAGTGCTATCGTCGTTCACTGGCCAAGTACCACGGGGACATTTTCAGCAAGTTGGATAAATCGAAGCTGCCTTCGAAGTCCTGATATTCGTGCGATTTCCCACCTTCATGGGACTGCTAGACGAGGGTACGTAGTCAGAGATTGTCATTGCAGGCAGTCAGCCTTGTTGACTAGATATCTTGTTGTATCACAATGTTCATGCAGTATCACTAAACTTTGTACTACACCACCCGTCGCAATGCGCTCATCTTGAAGTCGATTCGCATGACCACTCATCAATCATGTCGGGGACCAGACGAACACGAAGCACGAATCCGGGCCAGACGGACCGGAACTTTCCAACGTCATCCCTGCATGCCCACCCTCCTTGGACCACGACAGAGAGGTCGTTAATATCCTTCGTATCCCTACCACGACCCCCTTCCTCGACTTACAATTGCCCGCCATCCGTATCCTGAAGGCGTCATTTCTTCCTTCATTGTTGCTGTGTCCCCAACTTGTTTGCATCATCTTGCTTCGGATCCAGTTCGATGTGATACCCTAGTTCTCAATCTCATGACCTTGTGCGTCACCGCTTCCTCTTCCACGGCTACACTGGTTTGGGTGTAGTCCAGGAATAGACCCGCACATGCCATGATCCCTTCGGCCACATTGCGCTATAAGAGCGCCATTGGTGAGCAAAAGTTTCTTCATCGTGTGATAGCCTGCATGAATGAAGCAATGCATCATTTGTAAATGTTCTCTCATAAGTAGTAGAAATGTTAACGGTTGTAGGGTATCTAAGAGAGACAATTGTTCGACCCGAGTCCTTGTTTGACCTCCGTGTCGGATACGTACGCTGTATTCTTTCTCTGCGAGTGCTGATATCGCTAGCTTTATGAAGAAAAGAAGTTTCCTGAAGCTGTGGAGACCCGGCGTATCCCGTGGTATAAGGTCCACGTTGCGCTGGGGTGCACTGCAGCCTACCTTCCACCCCGCCGCCACCAAGGCCGGTCCTGTCAGGTTGCAACATGACATCGACGTCCGTGATAACTCAGACTCGCGAGCTTGCGGTCTTCGAAGACGAGGGCGACAACAATGACTTCATGAGTCTTGTTATCTCCCTCCAACTCGAGGACCTGGAAGCAATGGAAGCCACCGACAAAGGTAAAGCCCGCGACGACTCCGGGTTAGGGGACACCGTGTACAGCATATACAGAGCGGAGCTGGAGGCGATGCGGCGCTGCCTTGAAGATCAGAAGATCGCGCAGAGTATGGATGCCGCGCTGGACGCGGATGCGGGGATCCTGGAGGAGGTCTTGCGAGAGGAGGCAATTGCCCGTCGTGACCATGAACTGGCGGTTGCGCTCTCGCAGGGCCGAGAGATACCCCAAGAAGAGCCGCAACCTCAGCCTGCAGCAAAGCCGCCGGGGGAGGGTTATCGTCCGTCGGCGACGAGCACAAGAACTCCGACGCCTGTTCAGCAACCGAAGACCAAAGAGGTCTCTGAGCACTCGATTTCACCTAGATCCCAAACGTCGTCAAGTGATGGACAAGGGACGAGTATCGCGTCCAGCTCAAGGTTGGTCGGACGTTGGCCTGGATATACGCGCTCAAACCTCATATTCCTCTAGGATAATTACAGCAGTGCAGAATATAATCAAGTTCGAGTGCGTGATCTGCATGACCTCCGTCGGCTCCGATCAGGCAGTCAAGGTCCCTTGTGGGCAGTGCGTGCTGCCAACCACTCCTTGTGATCAGCTAACAAACCGAATGATGCAGCCACTACGACTTTGACTGCCTCGTTGAGCTCTTCCTCCAGGCAACCAAAGACGAAAGCCTCATGCCCGCGCGCTGCTGCAAACAACCCATCCCGCTCGACCTCGCGCGCCCGCACCTGACATCGCAACAGGCCCTCGAGTATCGCGCGAAGGAGATCGAGCACGACACGCCGAACAGGCTGTACTGCCCGCGTGCGACGTGCTCCGCCTTCCTCGGCGCGGCGGGGGGCGCCGGTACTGTGACGTGCTACCGGTGCGCGGTAAGGGTGTGCAAGGAGTGCAAGGCGCTCGAGCACCCACTGGGGGAGTGCCGCCCTGACTTTGGCGACGAGACGATGCTCGAGCTTGCTAGAAGGGAGGGATACCAGCGCTGCCCGGTGTGCCACCGCTTCACGGAGCTCGCGCATGGGTGTTACCACATGTGCGTTTGCGTGCCTTACCCCTCCATAGTACTCACACTCACATCAACGTGAACCCTCGCGTTCTCATGATCAGGACGTGCGTGTGCAGGGCCCAGTTCTGCTACCTCTGCGGGGCGCGCTGGAAGACGTGCAAATGCCGGGAGTGGGACGAGGAGCGACTGCTAGACCGCGCGCAGGCGCAGGTCCGAGCGGAGTTCGGGAGGCCCGCCCAGGCGGCACAGGTGCCCCTCTTTCGCCAGCGCGTCGCGCAGGCCGTGGATTACCTACGAGATAACCACGACTGCTCACACCCAAGGTGGCGGTACCGCGCTGGCGGCGACAACTGCGAGGAGTGTGGCCATTATTTGCCGCAGTTCTTGCTGGTGAGTCGATAGCTGGTTGATTTATCAGAAGGCTGATGGAGGGCGGTAGTGCTGCGCCCGGTGCCGGATGCTAGCGTGTGTTCGGTGCACCAGGAACCGTCTCTAAGGTACGTACGTGCTTTGCTTCTTGCTATAACATGAGAACTTGGTCTCGTAGACGGCTGTCACCTGGATGTGAGCTTCATATCTATAGTATTCAATACGATCTGAATGTTATGTACCCCATTTCACTCACTCTGAGAGTGAGAGATATCGGACCCACACTCACTTTGTCCCGACCGAGAAATACAGTAGCATAACGTACCTATGTCTCGTGGTGTTCACAGCATCTATGCACTGCTGGTCTCGTGGTCAATCGGAAATGAATTGGCACCGCATTCGAAACCTCCCTCGGTCGATCGTGATCGACCGAGGGGGACTTCGCGAATGGGTTGTTGTCAGAGGTGGGACGAGATACGCTGGCGACGGGAGATGAATGTGGTTATGGTCCGACGTGTCAGGATATGAGCCGGTGAATGGTAAATGGCATTCTGCGGTTGGGAGGCGAGAGACAATGGGATGGCGATGCCGGCGTGGTGAGTGCGAAGATAAGGGATGAACGTATGTATGGGTGGGCGGGACTTGGCTGTGCCGATCTGCTCGGTGCTGTCGGTGTCGATGATCACGGGGCGACAGACGCCGACTCGAAGGCGGTTTGTTTCCTGTTTGGGGCGGGAATCGCGTCATGTCAAAGGCATTGCGTCGTGCTGTGGATTGCATACGAAACCGGTTCTCGCTATTCACCCGCAGTAGGCGGGTCGACGAGCATTTCTACGGGTTGAAAGTCGAAAGAGCGATAAACAAGAGAGGTACTCACGCATTAATCGGGAATAGGAACTTGCCGTCGCCGACTATTCATCTTAGCCACGAGCGATCATTCCGTAGATTGTAGACTTACCGAAGAAGTAGCCCTCAAATTTAGCACAAGCTCCCGCTGCCAGTGTGCCCTGATTACTTCGATCCTTGTTTCTCCGAGGGCGGAAATGAAGGAAACAGCACATGGCTGCCGCCAGGATAGCGGTGATGAAGATACGAGTCGCACGCCAGTAGAAACCGACTCCCGCGACACAGAAGTAAGTGCGTGCAGCCAAGACCGTCGACGGGCGGGATAACTGCGGGCAAGGTCGGCAACACAAGTCATGAGCGCATACAGCATCAGTCCTCGAAGACGCCCTCAGCATGCAGACCAGTATTCCCTTCGCGAACAAGGACACAATCGTACCCTGATTCCCCCCGCCTTTGTCATCTGCCAGGAGAGCGCAGATTGGAGGGAAGAAAGCGTGTGATGCGCCGATATAACCGACCGTGGTTAGTTGCTAGTCCATACGTGACTTCGAGGGTGGCCCCTTATCCTCCAAATCGTTGTAAACCGCGCTGTCGTTCATCTATGCCCAATCTGAGATGACTGGCTCAAAAAGCGCCGTCGGAGGATTTATCACATGGGAACGAGACGATGGCTTCTGTTGTCGTCGTGAAATGCGCGGAGTGCAGGAAACTCAGATGAAAGCACTTGTGCTCCACTCCTGCAACGATATCACAGTGCCAACTCATCATGCTCCCCCAGATGTTGTGGAGCCGTGTTGTTATTTCGCAACCAACGCAGCTTCCTCTCGATATCGGACTGATATCGTACCACGAAAACGCACATGTACGTAGAAACGTACAAACGTTCGTCCCATCTTTACGTGCGGGTGGAGCGGTGAAACCCCAAAGGAATGCGAGCTACAACAAAGCCCGCACCCTACCTGTCAAGATGTCACACAAGCTGGCGTTCAGTATACCTTCCCTCCATGTGACGGAAACGCCAGCAGGCTGCAGCGGATCCTGTGCGTTTGTAGGCAGCGTCTCTGGCGGCGGGTATGACGAGTATGGAAGTGGAGCGGCGTTACGCCAAACGCCGGGCTTCTGAGCTTCGCGAAGCTGTACAGCCACAATCTCCCCTGAGCTCCGTTGGCCCGATATGTAATCCACCTTTCGGGATTTGTGACTTCATTTGTGGTAGCCGATGACCTCGGGGTGCTTGAACAGTTCCTGCCTCAGTTTCATTGAATACGCCATTGGGTCTACTTGCAGCGAAGACTGTCCGAGCATATACATGCAATCTGATTGCGTGCAGTTCGCACCCTGGAATTTGAATGCCGACGTCGTTAGATAGAACGGCATGAGTGAGATTAGGTTGGTGGAGCTACCGGAGTCATTCGGATAAGCAACCCCCGTCAAACATCTGCTCTGCCGATAAACGGCGGGTGCTCCAACTACAAATTGCAAGTGATCGCAAACGGGTTAACGCCCGCCAGTTTCCTTTCCGGGAGGAGTGCGTCCATCGATGGGCTGGTATGTCGTCCAAAGGAGGAAAGATCAGAGAGACGCCAAGTTTGCGCGCCCCTCAGCGTTGCGTTCGGTGAGGGCGATGATGCACGGGAAGTTTCCGGAACCGCTCCCTCGGGCTCCTGTGTGCATATGCGATCTGAGGGCTCCCTGCGACCACAACGCCCTTTGTCTTCGGCCGCTAACCTGCTCGCTGCTCCAACACTTCTGTCTTTTATCCAGTTTTCATAACCCCTGACGTCACACTCCCTCTGTCGCTATATAAGCCTGCGCTGCCTGCCATGGAAAAACAACAAACAGACAATCGTCGAAACATACCAACGACTCCTTTCTTCCACTCGACTCTTGTCTGAAAATGTCTTCACCACTCTCAAACTCACCGTCTTCGACCCGCTCTGCCTCTCCCTCGAGCGACAATGTCAAGACGTTCTATGCCGACGCCGTCCTCTTTGACATGGTGTGTATCCTTCCCATCATTCCTTACTTATCCTTTGTCTCGGACCGATCGCTAACTGCGGTAGTGTGTTGACAGGATGGCACCCTAACCGACTCTATCGCAGCAGTCGAGGCTGCCTGGGGCAAGGTCGCAAAGGACATCGGTCAAGACCCGAAGCACGTCATCGCCGCGACCCACGGCAAGCGCGCGATCGACAACCTCGCCGAGTTCAAGCCTGACATCAAGAAGCACGAGATGGACGACGCCGTGCGCCAGTTCGAGGAGACCATCCTCTACTTCGCTGACGCGTACAACCTCCACGGGCCGGGCTCCCAGCCGTCCACGCCCGGCAGCTGGACGCCCATGGTCTCCACTCCGCTCTCCTCCGGCGCGGCCACCCCCGAGCTGTCGCGCACGCCCGCGAGCTCCGCCCCGCCTTCGCGTTCGTCGTCCTTCTCCGTCTCGCAGCGCCCGAACCCCTTCGCGACCGTGCAGTCGCAGTACACCCAGTCCTTCCGCCGCCCGTCCTTCGGCACGCGCCTGAACAACATGCTCACGATGAGCGCGCTCCCCGAGAGCGAGAGCGCGGTGTTCGAGGACCCGATTATGGAGGAGGACCACCAGGAGATTATCGCGGCGGACAGCAAGGAGGCGAAGCACATGCTGCAGGCGTGGCAGCTCGAGGCGGCGAGCGTCGACCGCTCGGTCAAGATCCTCCCCGGCGTGAAGAAGATGATCAGTAGTATCCCCGAGGGACGCTACGCTGTCGCAACGTCCGGCGCAAAAACATATGGTGAGTCTGCCGGTCCTTCTTGGCTCATAGAATCGCATACTCACCAGTTTCCCGTCAGCCTACGGATGCATGACCCGCGTTGGCATCACCCCGCCCCCCGTCACCATCACCGCAGACGACAAGCGCCTCAAAGCCGGCAAGCCCGCGCCGGACCCGTTCATCCTTGCCGCCGAGTGCCTCGGCTTCGACCCGAAGAACTGCGTCGTCTTCGAGGACTCGCCGTCGGGCATCAAGGCCGGTGTCGCGAGCGGCGCGACGGTCATCGCCGTCTGCACGAGCCACACGCGCAGCAAGATCGAGAACTGCGGCGCGCACTATATCGTGGAGAACATGGAGCGCGTCAAGTGCGAGCCCGTGGGCGAGGGGAAGGATATGAAGCTCAAGTTCACGGTCTACCTATGATCGCGGGTGGCTTCCTCGTCTCCTTGTTTTCGTCTTCCTTGCGTTCCTCTCATCTCGTTGTCGCTAATATCCCCCCTACCCTTCTGTACTCATACCCCTGTATCGTCGTAGGCCTCGGTTCGCGTTCACGTTTGCATTTACGGATGTCTTTCGTCTCGTCCAGGATCGCTGACTGCGCGTGTCCCTCCTCTCCCTCCATCTGTAGCTATATCTCGCATTTTTCATCTCTCGCTTTCCTCTCCGCTTGTCGTGCATACCACTAGTAGATAGATTACCCGTCAATAGATGCGTGTTTGTGGCCCAACCTGACAGTGGGGTGGACCGGCATCGTACGTTGTATGGCACGGTTGTCTGAGTGCCAAGCGCCGCCAGCGTTGTATGTGAGTATGCATGAGCGTCTTTGCCATTACGCGTGAGTGTCTGCCTCTTCTAAGCAGCGTCCAAGACACTTGCTCTGAGTGCCTTGATCACACATGTCGGGACCAAGGAGTGCCTTTGCCACTACGGACCAGTGTGTTTGCCGCTTGGGATGCGTGTCTTTTCCACTTCATATGCGTGCCTTATGGCACTACTGTGGAGGGTCCAAGACACTTGCTCTAAGTGCCTTGGTCGCTCACCGAGGAGTGCTTTTGCCACTACGAACAAGTGCCTCGGGCACTACGCACAAGTGTCTTTGCCACTTCGGATGGGTGTCTTTCGCACAACTGAGGAGTGTCCAAGACGCTTGCTATAAGTGTATTAACGTTGTGCACTACGGACAAGTGCCTTGGTCACTCACCGGAAGTGCCTTTGTCACTAGTAGACTCACTACGGGCAAGTGTCTTTAGCACTCCAGATGCGTGCCTCCGGCACTACTGAGGAGTGTCAAAGACACTTGGTATAAGTGCTTTGGGCTCTATGGACCAGTACCCTTGTCATACTCTTGGTCACTCGCTAGCTGGTGTCTTGGCCACAGCGCACGAGTGCCTTGGGATGCCACTCACCAACGTCAATGCCTGCCCCTCTATTGATTGCGTGACGCCGTCACCACTATGCGGTCAACTTGTCTCCTGACCGCCATACACTTCACCCTCTATCAATTCATCCATTGTATGATACGTCGCCTGTACGGCTGGTTTCAGAACTTGCAAAGTCTGAAGTGGCGCAGAAAAGGCGATGTGTCATACACGGCGGCAAAATCATGTCCTCGGAATCTAACGCTCGTGTCGACTGTGATTGGACTCGCATCTTGAACTTGGACTTCTAGAACCACGACGTACACGCGAGGTCTCTGCATTCATTTTATTGAGGATGGATTTAAGAGGCATCTATATTCTCCGGTGGGGCTAACACGGAGCGAAAACAGCAGGCGACGTCTTTTCTCCGTTATTCCCCCTCTCCTCCTGCCTCCACGCCCTTGCACTGATCTGAAGAAGGGAGAAGTTAGTGAGGAGAATCTGAGAACAGTGGTTATACGATGGAGATTCTGGTATACTTCCCGCTTTCTGCTTCTCTCTTGCGCTATGTATGGTCTGTGATGCTTTATACGAGGTCTGATCTCTTTCATCGACGTTTCGCGTTTATGCGCCATCCCATGCTGTTCCACTGCTACACCCTCTATTTCTAACCGTCTTGTGCGTAACGCCGACTCCTGTCTGGTTCTGGGTGGTCCCTAACGAATCTCCCTGCTTCCACTCCATTCAACTGTCAAAGGTGCCGAAGATGTGTGGATGTTGCTGCATCTCGACCACTGGACGTGGACATTCTATGCGGCAACCATGATTCGCTTCAGAGCTCGTCTCCCGACAGCATCTCATGGTACACGGTATGTCTACTTTGCAAGCCATGACTTTGGCAGGAATCGTTTGCCAGTGACCAGCTGAAGATTTTCGACACGGGATATTAGTTGGCATGTAAGGAAGATCGGATCCGCGTTCTGCCTGAAATTATAAACAGGGTCCCTCGTCCACACGTATGACAGTTATGCGCATATAGCGCAATTGTCCGCCCGTCCCTAAGCCGATGCAATCTGAGCTAGTGAGCAGTTTACGCAGTCAGTCGCCGTCTCTCCTGAAGTATCTTCCGATGACACGTACTTATAACGGGCATGCACACGGCCGGCAGTTCGGGATAATGACTGGTGTCGGCTGAGGTCCCGCTCGGACAGGGCCTGGAGGACACCAGCAGCAGGGGCGCAAAGTTGGTACTGGTGTTTCGGATGCCGGGGAGGCTGCTGCGAAGCCTGCCATGGCGATTAGCAGTATTTGCGTAAGACGGGTGGTGAGCATGTTTGTGTGGTTCTTGTTTCTTAGTCTCTACCTGAGCTGGCGGGCTTTTATATATATCCCTAGCAAGTGCACCTAGAGAGGCATCTATAGATTGACTGGTCCCCTTTGATATCTCCGACTATGATGGACCTACGGTGCGAAGTGACTAGTCGCTAGTGCGTGAAGAATGACTGACACTGTGTTTCACCAGCACGGACCTGAGAGAACTCGGGCCAGCGTATCTGCGGCAGGTGGATTCTCTCGCAAGTGTCGATCGATGGGGGTTCGAGACGCATGGGCGCACTGAGCTTGTGGCCAACCATGACATTTCCCATTGCGGATTCTGCCAAAGACTAACGCAACTTGCGAGTCTGCGAGTCTGCGAGTCGTTCGCAACAGAACGATCACACGTCCCCTGCCGCGCTGGTGCGTAGTCTATCAACAGGTTCGTCCGGCATTGTTGACACGCTCGATAGTGGTACTCTGCTCATACGGTCGAATAGTATAGAATTACAAGCAAGCGTCTGCGGATACTCTGCAATCAACGGACGGGTGCGTGCTTGTAAATCTTCTTTATTCTCAGGCAATCCTCTCCCCATAACCCCTCGATACTGTTTGCGGCCCATGGCTTTCAAGTGTAAGCTGAAAACGAATTTCCGTTTATGTTATCGTCCATCGTCGCAATTAATTCATATCTCCAGCGTACCCTTATAGGGGACACGCGCAGGTCTGACAATGCCGGGATATGGCGTGTGCCTCGATTGGTATGGTTGCAATTGTAGGGCCTGGAGGGCAAGTACAGCATGGCAGCACTGCCGTAGTCACCGGAGCTGGAGTTGCCAGCGCAAGGCCAGCGAGAGCGAGCAACATGATTCGAAGACAGTGCGCTGTGAACATGTTGGTGAGTAAATAAGTATCCGTATTCGCTCTCGACTTATATAGTCCGCGCGCTGCGTCAACTGCTACTTTGCCGGAGCTAGCCGATGCGTATTATACCCGTGCTCCCATTCCAACGCTGCCTATGGAAAATGACATGAATTTCCTAGTGCTCACGGCCATCGTTAGCGACTTCCCATGGCACTACCGCTGGCGAATGTCAAGTTGATCCAGGCACAAAAGCGCATCCAAACGTGTCTTCGACCGACAAGAATGCATTATCCGGAGTGCGAACCGTGCAAGTCTCGCAATGACTCTGGATGGCACTGCACCCGACGACGTATTATTCATATACATTGCATTGAGATATTCAGGTACGCTTTCGCAGGAATGCTCTCGTGAAGGCTTTGTTACTGCATATGTCAACGGCCAGTTAGACACTCTGTCCCAGGGATTGCCACCGACGCCTCGGTTCTCATTTGGTACAGGTGCACCAAGAGCAGTATATCTGTTTCAGTGAGCTCCATACCAGGTGAGCTAATCTACGGCAACCGGGCTATGATATGAGCGGGTGTTGATGAACATTTGGTAGCATCTACCACTCAATGGCAGATTACCGATGACATTGTGATGCGTACACGTCATACCGTTGAATCTTGAATAGAACGCCACAGGCACCCAATTTCACCTCACGCTGGCTAGTTTGGCTGCGGTAAAGTCGTACCTCGATTCCGCCACGGTACAAGGGCGAATGCAGCATTGCCTTCCTCGGGCGATCCAATATCAAGGTGTTCTCCGCTCGGCGCGGACCACCCGTCCAGAAACTGTGCCGTCTCACTTGCGTACCTTGATGTTAAGGAGCATGTTGGCAGGGCAATTCAGTAATGCTCGAACTGGGCTTCGAAGACAATGTACGGCGGGGCAAGGTACTATTCCCTTCGGTACAATATCGTTTTATACCGTTCGATCTCCCGATTACCATTCAACCGCCGCTTCAAGTCAAATGTATTGGCACTTGCATCGGACGTTTTATGCCGGCAGATGTACAAAAATTACTCCAAGGAGCGAATGCATGTTACAGGTCCACGTATGAGGGTCAGTCTTGCTGATACATATTTTTCAGTCCGCAGACACCGCCGCCGGTGCGCCGTGCTTGTCCGTACCACCTGTTTCCTGCCTACTCGACCGTTATGAGGACTGTTTCGAAGTAGACTGACTGGACCGGAGGAACGCTCGAGAATCAGTAAGGGTCACTGTTTGCAACGTAACGAGCACTTACATCGGCATATTTTCACTCAGCATTGCACACCTCGCATACCGTGCAGACAGGGCCAACACCGTACTTGATAGGAGGGCACGGGCAGCAATACGGTGACGGTTCGGGTAGGGCTACAGCGCTGACAGAAACTATGGCAGCGACTGCGACGAGCAATAATCCTGCCAGGCGGGTGGTGAACATCTCGAGGGTCTGGTAAGCCGTTGTATGTGGCTTGCGTTATTTTGCTGAACGGCCCGATCTTTATACGTTTAAGCAAGTCAGTTGTGACATATAGTCCACGACGTTATATCCTATGTCTGTCACGCATTCTCGCCGTTCTCCCGTATCGAATTAGCGCCCTCAGTGCGAGAATTTGCGTTCCTGGAATGTGCGTACCGAAGAGTCCGGATTAGTTTCGACCGTAACGCAGAGAGAGGACATCTCCTGAAGGTCGGGGGTGCTAGGTACCCGTCATTCTATTGCATATTCAGATTCTGGATGAACAGCTGGCTCACCTCCCAATCATTGCGGTGGCAATGGGGCAGCAAAGTAAGCTGCTTGTGTGGCTCTTGTTATTTAGTGTTCCCTGCTTCTTCCAGATGAAGCAAATACTGCCTAGTGCCACGAACTTGGTGCCACTGCACGTGCGTCAGCACGAACAACAATCCCTTGAAGTTCAAACTGAATTGGAACGTTTCGCGCCCGGGAGCCATGCTTAAGGGTTCCCAATGCATATGTGCCCTTGCTCCCCACGCTCAAAATAATAGGATGAACTGCGCTGGTTCGAGGATGAATTTCAATGCACGTTCTTAGGGTCTGTGTGATCCACATTCACTGGTGGAAACTCGGCGACCATCATGTCTCTGGTGCTCCACCACCTGACAAGACTAAAAAAGTGGTGCCGCAGCCAGCATCCAGGTGACTTGACCTTCAAGTTGACTAACAGCAGAATTCGCAATACGCAGGCCATGTAGAACCCGCGATGGTTTGCAGAGGCGAACATATTCATCCGTCTTGCCGTAATGAAGTCATTACTCCGTTTTGTGCCTTTCACGACCTATATAAGTATGTGGAGTCCGGGGTGTCTCATCGGTTGACTCGGGAACGGCGAACGAAACATATAAGAAAATAGAAATCACTTTGAGATCAGAGCAAGAGGGAGGGGGGGTTTCATAGACCTCTAAGCGTTATTCATTCGGCGGCCTCATTGGCACTAGGACTTGAGCTACAACGTGTTACTCTTCAATAGGCTGTGATACGAGCAAGACAAGACGCTTCGAAGTCAAGCGCAACCTGCCAATGTCTCGGAGAGACTCCTGAGTCCTTTGAATAATATTACAGAGACAGACATTGGGAGGCTGAGACGGTACGTTCGTTATCTCGAAGTTTGGGTCTGCAACCTACATTCGCTAATGCTTGGTTTCTGCCACCTGGAATATCTCTCTCGGCTGTGTCCCTGTGAATGTCTGATATTCATTCAAGATGCGAGCAAGGGAAGAATATTCTATTCGAGCAGACGGACTAATATCAGAATGGACAGAGGATGGACGTTGATTATTATGGACTTGGGCGAATTTCTCAGCAACGTAGTCCATTTCACGAACAAATGTCAATGATGTGTACTGTAATGCGAGGCAGCTTGCACTCTTCATGTTAACTTCGATGCATCTCCGAGATACATAATATCCTGTCGCCGGTGGAAATGAGACTACACATCAATGTATTCCTCTGACAAGTGCTACAGTAAGAGAAAACCGTCCTGTAAGATTCCGATGCCCGATACTAATACATGCGATAATCGACTAGTGGGTCATAGATCCGGGAGGTACAATAGGGACAGGCTTATCAACAATAACCTGGTTCAGAGCGGATACCTTGCGGTAGTCAGGGAGCCTGACTGGTCCGGGGCCTCCAATGAACGGCGTCTGTCCGGAGCTCTTGAAAGGCAAAGGAGTAGGGTCGATGTCTCGGTATTGCTTGATTCTAGGTGGTATTTCAAGTCAGTGATACAACCACGGTTAATAGATAAAATCAAAGAGAACATACATGACATTCACGGAAGAGCTGGCAGTGGATGCCTGCGCACCTCCGAAGACCCTTAACTCACTGTAAAAGGTGGCTTCATAGAAGACGCCCACAGTTCCTGCCTGCAGGAGGAACGAAGCTGAGTAAGAGTGTGGAGCATTCGACTCTCGGACTAACCTCTGTGGGCGACTTCTCGCTGTCGGGTACTTCAACGGCACCGTCGTACTTGACGGTGGCAGAGGCTTCCAGGAAAGCTTCTCCTTGCAACTGCTGCTTGTATTGAGCAACAGATGTCTTGACACCATTGACTGTGATGACAGCGTCAGGAGCAATGAAGGCGTCGAAGGCCTGGTTAAATGCTTGAGAATTAGTGGCCTCGAAGATAGCGGACAAGTGTTCTTCGGTCCACTGAGTGAGACTGGGAGGTACGATTGACATATTGGTTGTGCTGGTGGTATGCGTGAACGGGGTGTGGGAGTATGCTCTGTAGGATTCATTGGGGATTTTATACGTCTGTAAGCTTAGGGTGATTCTATTAGGTTCGTGAAGGCTTCGTGTATTGGACCGCCCCCCAGCAGCGCCATGGAGTTGACCAGACACCCCGCTGTTCGAACGGAGGAACGTGCGCGTGTTAGAACGTATGAAGAAAGGAGTTGACATAAGTACCGTTCGGGCCGTACGAAGCAAAGAACGCATCCCTACTCACTTTTACAGACGGCTGGGGCGCTCGCGATCGCGGCGGTGCCGGAGTTTACTGCTGCCCATTTGCGGCATCGTCTGGACCCCTTGATGCGCCACAATAATGCTAAAACATTGTGTATCCGGCACTCTGACATTGACTCGATACTGCTGACGCCAGGGGTGCCTCCGTGTTGATATACATCAGTACGTCAAACTGACGGACTTAGTATAGATTACGTACACAACTGAATCGCTACCGAGGCTGGACAGACACAACGGTGACCACAAAGAGTATGAAGAAGGGTAACCTTGAGCACGGGCCGGGTCCAGGTACGTGGTTAGAACTGGCCATACCAGCCAGCCCAGTCATCCTTCAGAATAGTACCCCGAGGTCCTGCCGCGTCCGAATACATCGGCGCGACACGCTTTGTACGAGATGCCGAGTCCAAGTTCCAATATGTAGGGTTAGTCAGAAGGCTGAGCGGATCAGTGGCAGGGTATAAATAGAATGAGGTGCAGAATACCCCTCTCCGGTGACTTGCACGGGCAACATGATGACCGTCATATAACAAACTCTGAGCAGGGAGGATCTGACCTGACTGGGGCAAGTGTAATAGCTCCTGGGACGAGCGGTACGCTGCTCTTGAGTCAGTGGGGTTCTTTGTGATCCAATAAGACGGTCGGACAAGGTTACTGCCCAACTGCGGTCGAATAGAGTCTTTGGGGCTAGCGCTCCTGACTTGCGGCAGGATAAAGCCCTCTGCGGATAAAGCCCTCTGAGCGACGCTGCGGTATTGACGGCTAACGTATGAATTGACGGAGGGATCCTTCAAAGGGACTTCAATCGTCAAAGGACGTAGTGACCCGGTGATACATCCGCTGAACGATGCGTAGTCGCAAGTGCCGGCATAGCGGGAATATGAGCGTGCCTGGAGGCGGCGTAGATTATTGGCCTGCGCAGTTCCATGACACATGCGACCTACGGCGCTGATGTCGGTGGGTCGTGTGGCGAGAAGGACAAGCCAGATGCGCTCAAATTGCCGAACGTGGTTTGAACCTGGGAACACAAATACAGCATCAGAGAAAGACACATATGTCACGAACACGCACGTTTGGGCTTTGGGAATTAAAGTGAACCGCCCTGGAATCAACTTATAAAGGGGAGCAGAGAAAGCAAAGGTAGCATTCAAGCGTCCCTCTTCAGAGACAATCGACACACATGCGCAGCTTCAGTGTTCTCATCTCTTTCACCGTCGCATTGGCAGGTATCGCCATGGCCACACCCACCCCGACATGCGATTGCTCTGCCCCACCGGCGATTCGAGCGCGCCAGATTTGCCACTGTCCTATCGAGCCCGTTCAAACATGCCACTGTTCGCCGACGACACCCCTGCACGTCCGTCAGCAATGCAACTGCCCAATCGAGACGGTTTAAAGTAAGTCACCATTGCATGGACACCACGTTCATGAGTCTCACACTATTTCTGCACAGGGACAAGAGCAGTGCTCAACCGCTGGGATAATCTAGGAGGGTCACTGCATCAGACTATTCATCGCTCCGCTGAAGTGTACAATTGAGTTCAGTTGAAGGGTGGACACCTTTGTACATACGCATATGTGCATTTGACGCATGCCTTCTAATCCCGAGATTATGGTCAAATGACCTTTGTTTGTCTAAAGAGCAATGTCCTGGAGGGTACATATTAATATGTTAATGGGCGACAGGGGCGCACATGCGACAGCTGTCAATGGCCCGAAATTGTGCCCGATGGAATGCTGCGTTCGTCAGCTGTCAGGAAACATATCAATAGCGTGAGCACCCGCTGGGACCATGGGTCGGGTTAACTCCTCCGAAACCGGGCAGTCGAAAACCCACCGTACCGCGTCACACCTACAGAAAAATGCGTAACTGGCCTCCAGTCAGCAGAACAAGATGGGGTAAGCCCGGATAGCTCGTGTTCAGGTGGATGATGGGCCGAAGCTACAATATACATGCCTGCGATCGGTACTCAGGCATGAGATGGGTGCCGAGATGCAGGAGTGAAATGACCTCTGCGTGGGGTAGCCTTCCGGATAAATGTGTGAGTAGTATCTGTGATTCTGGCAAGGGCGGCTCGAAGTATTCGGGGGCCCCATTCAGACCGTCACCAAAGGACAGCTCACTCACCATGGCCGCAGTTGATCTTGTCTACTACCGCAACTTTACACCAGCCGTCCAATTATCGCCTTAGTGTATCATTAATAATAACGTGAAGCTGCGCAGCAGGTATGAAGCGCAGAGATACTTGCTCGTGTGTAATCATGCACGGGCGGATGTGGCTCATCATTAACGCCACAGGAACCCACCACCACAATATGTCGATCGTACGTGAAGAGAGGCGACCTCGAACAGGCTACAATTCATGGTTAACTTAAAATCTGAGGGTGATATCGCATGCCACACCTGAAGCATCTGCATTAGGCCCATATGTCCAAACGTATAAGAAAAGTCAGCGCGCGCCACGACCTCAGGAAAACTCCACTCACCTCACCAAGTAGCCATGGCCAGCGTGCGCAGCTTCGCATTCGTTCTTCCAATATTGGCCGTGTTGGCATACACCTCGGCTCAGGAAGCGACGACCTACCCGTGCTGCCCGTGTCGTATATATACAGTTTCTCCAAGCATAGCAAAACGGATCGTGATCGAGCCCGGCGCAAACTGCCAGATATGTGTTTGCCCTCTGTGACCGTGTAATGGTCTGGAATTTCGATCGAAGGTAAATATACAGTTCAGACAGAGACCAGCCTGGCTGACGAGATCTAGAGTTCTTGGAAGATATGGAACTGGAGAAGACGAGACAGCAACAGCAGCGGCGCTACTGTACATAGCTGCATCGGCGAAGAATAATTTACCATGTGTATAACATACACTGCAACTTGGGCATGGTGAATTCGAAGCATAGGCATACAATCTTGAGCGAAGACTATGACAGACACGTCTCGGACGCCGGTCGCATCGATAGACTCCTTCCGCAAACAGACCACATTGAAATGTGGCCCAGATACTCAGAGACTCGAGACCGTTGGCCAGTCTTTGTTGCTGTATCACCGTGTGTGGCAAGATGCGAGGAGAGGGGAACCATTGGGCGACAACGCAGAATCCGACGTCCACAGGAATCACCCGTTTTGGAACTCAACGCCTCGCTTACGCCTGCTTACGTACGCAGCTTCAAGTGCCCTATTTGCTTCCGCCAACTCGTTGGTCAACTGGTGAATCCTTCTAACAGAAGTTATGTATACCATTGCACCGACAACAACCATCAGCAAAAAAAGAAAGAAAAAAAAACTTTTTCTCTGCTTCACCTCCATCACCATCCCTCACGGGTAGTCAAATAATGCGGAGCAAATTTGTCCTCCCCCATTCATTAACGTAGGCACGCGGGCTGGACATGGGAAACGCATTACCCTCCCTTTCATCGCAATTGATGGTGCAGGTACTGCTCGCTTTATGACTCTGGCATTCTCATGAGGACACGGTCATAGCACGGTCCAGTGACCGCCTTGGTAACGCTTTGCTGATCCCGCTCTGATCATGAGGAACGCCTGAATTAAACGGTGCGTCTATGTGTACTCTATCACCAGCTTGATTGATGACGTCTGGAGTAGATATACAACATAGAGATTGCCTTTCGGAGGATCGTTGCAAGAAGACGTACCTTGCAACAGGAGGAGGTTCGTGGAGCAGAGCCAGTCTTCGCTCTCCACCGCTGTACCTTACAGCGCGGTCGACGCTTGGTACGACCCTCGTGCTCACCCTCGATTCCCACTGCAAAATCTCGGAGCTCCACTTGAACGTCTGTATTCCGAAAATGTACACTGCGGTGGACATAGGCAAGGCACAGAGTCCGCAAACATAGCGGGAATACGTAGGCATTGATGAGCCTTGGCGGTACCGAACTGGTCATTTCATCGTCCCTGTGAACCCTTCACACATAAAATCAGGATGCCCGCAGTCGCTGTCCCATCCCAAGTCCTCTCACCACAGCGTGCCTTCGACTCCATCAAGCAGCATGTTCTCCAAGCTCTCGCTATTCGCAGTGTCCGCCCTCAGCATCCTTGCTGCCGCCACGCCTACCCCCACTGGCACTGAGCCTGCCGGGCAATGCACCACCGGCCCCATCCAGTGCTGCAACACCGTCACGCAGGCGAACGACCCCGCTGCCGCCACCATCCTCGGCTCCCTCGGAGTTGTCCTGCAGGACGTGACGGCCCTCGTCGGTCTGACCTGCTCCCCCATCAACGTCGTCGGCATCGGGAGCGGTAGCACCTGGTAAAACTAGAATTACTTTTGAAGTCGGGTTGGTCAACTAACAAGCTATGTTGTAGCGATGCGCATCCCGTTTGTTGCGAGAATAACTCTTATGGTAAGATTTATCATCGTCGCGTTCGATCTGTTTATGGGACGGTGTTGATTTATCTCCACCTTAGGCTCTCTCATTTCCATTGGCTGCGTTGTCGTCGAGCTGTAAATAAAGGATGAAGAAGGGAACACCGGGAGATATACGTTCTAGGAGACGTGCAAGGATGAAAGCTTGTTAAGGCCGAAATCTGTTGTCCTGCTATCATGAGGATTTTTTATTCATCTGAATATAATCATCGACGTATTTGGATGGACTATGTCCCTAGCTATGGACGCGCTGAGAATGCATCGTTGATATACGAGTCGACTTGCACGTCAGTATTTTACAGTGGCGGACAAAAGTATCTGCACTGCCACCACTTTCACGGTTCTGGGCAGATCGGGGGCAACATGGATCGATGTATATTCATGATTTGTAACTACTCTATGTAAGATAAATGCATACAGACTTTCAGCCCTAGATGCCCCATTCCTTGCTTCCAGGAGGTAAATTCATCTCGAACCCGGTACCCTCAGAACTGGTTAGATGGAATCAATAAATTTATAAAAAATAATTCTCGGCCTGAATGACTGACCTGATTTAGTACTTTGTATTAGCACCCTTAGCCTTCTTCAGAGCCAGGGCCCTCCGGGGTAAGCTCGAGTATAGGTGGCGTACTGTGGCGACATCAATCCGGTACCACTCCTCCACAATCGCAGCCCAAAGCTCATCTAGATTCTTGGGAGCTGGGTCTCAGGCTTGTACTTTCCGCTTGAGGTGGTCCCATAGATGCTCAATGATGTTCATGTCGGGACTTTGAGCTGGCCAGGGGAGAACACGGACAAGATTATCTTCGAACCAGGTTCAGGCAAGGTGTGAGCGGTGCTTTGGATCATTGTCCTGCTGGAAGATAAAATGCCGGGGGTTCATCCTATAGTCCGACATGGTCCCTAGAAGCTGTCCTTGAAGAATCTGGACATACTCTGTTGCTGTCATGGTTCCCTCGATCCAAACAAGACGCCCAACGCCCTTCCACGTCATGCATCCCCACACCATCACATGCCCACCACCATGCTTCCAGGTCTTCTGGGTATACCGCTCCTGGATTGCATCTCCTGGCCTCCTCCAACAATAATCCCGCCCATCCGAAGTGAATAAATTGAATTTGGACTCATCTGAGAAAATGACCCGTTTCCAGACCCCCACACTCCAACCTGCAACACAACGCGCCCAAGCCCACCTGGCAGCCCGATGCTTGGCATTCAGGAAGGGGACCTTCCTACGAACCCTAGCATGAAGTCCTTCCTCGTGCAAGGCACGGCGAACAGTCCGGGCAGTGACATGTTCAAAGTAGTTGTCCCGCAGGTCGACGGCATTACGGCACCGGCCTCTGTCAAGCAACTGGGCAGCAAATTTGCAGTCCTGGGGTGTGAGCTTCCTTGGACGGCCTGATTTGGGACGGGGATAGCAACTCCCAGTAGTCTTGTAACGTTTGACGATGTCGAACATGGCCCGCTTTGAGATGCTGAACCGCTTCGCAATGTCATCGGCTTTGCACCCAGAGTTGTAGAGTTCGACGATCCTGCCACATTTGGATGGTGATGTGTAGGTCATAGAGAGTCTGTATGTGAGCAAAGTTCGGGCAGGGGAGTCAAGTTGAGGGTAGGATTCGGTCGGTTGTCGACGGAAACAGCGCTGTGACAGTCACTCTTGTCACACGTCGAGGCATAATGACTCCCTGGCTCATAATCCTCCAAGCTGCCACCCCATAAAATTGGTGGGGAAGGTAGTATATTAGACTATCTTCATGTACATACAATTTCTGGAATGAAAGTGTAAGCTACGAGACAAAGACAGCCGCTTTTCCCCCGAAGATGCGGCAGTGCAGATACTTTTGTCCGCCACTGTAGACTCAATAGGCAGTTCGGAGCTCCGGACCGCGTTTCCGAACTCTTTCCCCGCACTCTTCGTCCGACGCGCGCGGACGCGTACACGGACAGCGCTGAGCCTGCAACTCTACACAATACAACGCTATTATCCAGTCCATCGCCGTAACGCTTCGTTCATATATCGCTATCACCAGCGCTGTGACTGCCGTGCGTCGCAAGCAGGCTTTTCGCCCTCGAAGCTTCACGATGGAGGCGCAGCGACTGCCATTGCGAGTGGCCGTGGTTCAGTTCTGGCCCAAGGTACCAGTCCTTGAACATTGGAGAGATGCACATTGAGCGTGTAGCGAACTTTTATAGTTGGCAGAAGTCGAGCACAATATTGAGCGGGCACGACAACTCTGTGCGCAGTGCGTCCTGCGTCCGGTTATACGAGGCCAGCTCAAACTATGACATGCCGGCAGACTGGAACCGCGCTCGGTAGACCTTGTCTGTCTGCCTGAGATGATTTTCACCGGTATGTGCCCATCCTTTCCTCATGTAGTCTCTCGAGTTCATATCATTCTCTCGCCCTGCAGGATACGTCTTCCCCGACGCCTCTTCCATTGAACCCTACCTCGAACACCCCAAATCCGGCCCGACATCGCAATTCTGCGCGTACCTCTCCTCCCGGCTCGAATGCTACGTGCTAGCCGGGTATCCCGAACGACTCGCCCTGCACGAAGTCGAGCGGCGCGTCACACTCCCGCGCGAATGGGCCGACGCGGACTCTGACTGGAATAGTGACTCAGAGGAGGAGAGAGAGAGGGAAAGAGACAGGCAGCTTGTTGATCGGGTGGGCGCGAACAGCGCGGTGCTGTACGGCCCCGGCGGGGAGTGGGTGGGCGGGTACCGCAAGACGAACCTCTACAAGACAGACATGACATGGGCCAAGCCAGGTACGCTCCGTACACCCCGAACCCTCGTTACGCTTGTCTAACCCCATGCAGGCCCGGGCTTCGCCACGTTCGACCTCCCACCACCGCTCGGCACCCTCACCCTTGGGATCTGCATGGACCTCAACCCTGTCCCAGGCGCGACCTGGTCCCTCGAAGGCGGGCCGTATGAGCTCGCGGACCACACGCTGCAGACGGGCTCGCGGACGCTGGTGCTGCTGAATGCGTGGTTAGCTTCAGGTTCTGTCGACGGGGAAGAGGAGGAAGAGGAGGAGGATTGGCAAGTGGTGAGATATTGGGCGGCGCGGCTCCGGCCGTTGTGGGCGAGGAAGGACGGAGACAGAGAGGCGGAACGGAATGATGGGGTGAAGGTGATAGTATGTAATCGTTGTGGAGAAGAGAACGGTGAGTCTTGTTATGGTATTTATAGATAGTGAAACGAGACGCTAATGGCGGTGCGTAGGGGTCACCTTTGCTGGGTCGTCAGCGGCGTACCTTATGAGCAGAACGCTGGGCAAGCCGCAATTGCTTGATGTCATGGGACGGAGGGAGGAGGGGTTACGAGTCTGGACCATCTAGGCTCTATTCTAATGTCTGAGGGCGTTGCCCAGAATGCTTGGTTCAAGCGGATGATATCACTTATACCTCTGCCATTCTCGAGTCTTGTTCGATCACTTGTGGCAGCCGTGCATGCTACTCAGGTCTACGTTAACAGAACCTCTTTTACACCGTGGCTATGAAATTTGTGGACCGGCGAGGTTGCTCCCGCAGGCACTAGCATGGTGCACACCTGAGCGCTGCATTATCAGGTCTTAGTTCAGGAGGAAGATGGAACGTAGTATCCACAGGCAGGGCACGAGTTGGGTAGCATTCCATTCCAAGCACTCGGCTATCTCGTCGCCACCACTTCATGGTGTGTTCATGTCCTGTTGTAACACATCGCTGACTAGCGTTCGTCTCCCCAATTCTTCAGCTCTCCTAGAAGGGCCTGGGGTGCTTGGAATTTAGCCTGTTAGGTGGGTGAACAAGAGCTGGGAACGGTAGATGCTGACTCGGCAACCTGGGCTATGGCAATGATAGAGCCAAACATGATACTCAAGGAAATCGTCCAGATGAAATAGTCGATGGTGTCGAAGTGATGAGACATGTTGGCATCGCGATAGCCTGCGGGGATATACCCACAATCCTTCATTGGTATGATCATGAGGGCTGTTGGTTCTACTTATATACGTTTGCGCAAATCCCGAGATCTCCATAAGATTGGTCCTGGTATACTTAACCCGCCAACTGCCAAAAACCTTGACCGAAAGTTATTTGTGGTTGTTGTAGTGGTGGAGCGGGACCGAGTGCCGCGATTCTGATTCAGACGTACGCGTTCGGTCCGCGCCACACCAACTGCCACACCCATAAGTTCTAAGAGCGTTACTGCAGTTCTAGCCGCCTCTTCCTCGTCGCAGTGTCGTATAATAACGCGTGCAGGATAGTACGACCATGTCTGCTACTCCAGACCATGGTCTAGATACTGACGACGAAGACATGGAATGGGAGGAAGTCGACATGCCCGCAGCTGATGGACTCGCGACCTTAGGTAGTGCGGTGACAGACAGAACAACGAACGACAATGGCTTCACTGGTACCGCGCAAGGTGGCAGGAGTATAGAAATCACGTTGAAACGCGCAAAGGGCAAGGGCAAGGAGGGGCAGAAAGAAGCAGCGAGTCAGTACGTCTTGAATACGAATACCGTTTGAATTTTCGCCGCGATATTATCTCCCTCTATTGAGCGTGCTACCACTCCCACTGATACTTCGCGTGTCGACATCTGTTAACTTCATTTCATTCGGGCAGGAAAGCGAAACAAGCCCAAGCTACCCGTCTCTCCCGCATAAGGTGTCACAAGATTCACACCGTCACCCTGCTTGCCAACGCCGCTATCCGCAATCAATGGATAAACGACCAGCTGCTGCAGGCCCGTCTGCTCTCCATCCCGCCTTTCCACCTACAGCAGTCGCTCTCTTCCCCGCCGTCCAAGCGCGTCGTGCCCTCATCCGCGCAGCGGGGCCGCATGTTCGAGCAAGCTATCAACAGGCTCGTGGACTGGTGGGCGAATGAATGGTTCCAGGTCGATGACCTAGGCGTGAGGAGGTGGAGTTACGCAGAGGTGCGCAGGGTGTTGGAGCAGTATCCCCCTTCGTTCGTGCAGGACAGGAAGAAAGGGCAGGAGAAGGGAAATGGTCAGGTCTCATCGATATCTCGTACAGGTCTTTCTGGGATTGACCAGCCTGCGATCGAGCTCCCTGAAGAAGTCATCGACTTATTCGCTACGGAACCGCCCCTTGCCTCGGGCCCCAAGTCTCTCGCGAAACACCTCCTCATGAGGCGCGGGAGCCGAGATGTAAGTGCACAGCTATTCACCGGCCTCTGCAGAGCGCTCGGGGTGCCAGCACGGCTGGTGGTCAGTTTGCAGAGTGTCGGGTGGTGGGGGGACAAACCCAAGGCTACGAAGAAGAGAAAAGGTGATACGAGAGATGGAAAGGCGAAGGGAAAAGGAGACGCCGATGGGGAGGCGGACGACGACGAGGATGAGGAAATGGATATGGAGGAGGTAGATATTCCCACAGGTACCACAAATTCAAACAGCGGGACATCGACCGCTTCGCGACATTCGAAGGGCAAAGGGAAGGAGCGGGAGGTTTTTGATGGGGAGGGGCAGAGACTCGATGGAGGCTACATACCTCCCACGACGGGTAACGGGAAGGCGAAAGCTAAGCCCGTGATCAAGTTGCGCAAATCGAAAGCCGGAGGCCGCAGACTCAACGGTACGCTTCTCCCTCTCCCCATTTCCTGTCTCGATTCTGAAGCTTCGCTCAGAGTCCCCGCCGCCCGAACCTTCCTCGTCGAAGCTGCTCCTCTCCGCAGACCCGGATCCGTTGACCTCTCCGCCAGTGTTCTGGACTGAGGTCTTCAGTCGGGCCGACGGTGTGTGGATCCCCGTCGACCCTGTGCGGGGCCTGGTGAACCAGCGGCGGAAGTTCGACCCCGAGTACGCTCCGGGCGGGGACAAGAAGGGGAAGGCCAGGCGGACCGAGGCAAATCGGATGGTGTACGTCGTCGGGTTCGAAGAAGACGGGTGAGTGCGCTTAGGCTGTTGCCCTTAGTGGAATTGTTGGGGACGTTTCTCGGTGGGCTGCCGTTATCCAGGTTCGCGAGGGATGTCACTCCGCGGTATGCAACGGATTTCCTGTCCCGGGTTTCATTGATCCAGGGTGCTGCGACGACTTCGAGCACGGCTGCTAGTGGTAGTAGTGCTGCAGACCGTCGTAAATGGTGGGAGAGAATTATGGGCATGGTTAAGAGGTGCGTCTCAGCGCCACGAAGGTAAATTCCTCCGTGATAAATCCATCGCGCATGACTCTGTCAGACCTTATGTGTTAAACCGAGATGAAGTGGAAGATGAAGGCTTCCGAGAGGTCTTGAGGAGGGAGGGCATGCCGAGTAGCATGGCCGGCTTCAAAGGGCACGAAGTGTAAGCAGATCCTCCGCCCTGTGGTAATCGTAGTGCGGAACTCACCTTCCCCATAGTTTCGTCCTTGAACGACATCTTAAGCAAACGGAGACAATCTACCCTCTGGAAGAAATCGGGCGATTCAGAGGCGAGCCGGTGTACCCGCGGTCAAACGTCGTCCAGCTTAAGACGGCGGAGAACTGGATGCGCAACGGGAGGGCGGTCAAAGCAGGGGAGCAGCCGCTGAAGACCATTAAGATGAGGGCGAGTACCATCAACAGACGCAGGGAGCTGGAGGTCTTCGGCGGGGGTCGTGCGGATAACGGGAAAGGGAAAGAGAGGGAGGGGATTGGGGAGGGATTAGAGATTGATTTGGACGGGGACCTCCCGGGGCAGAGGACGGAGGGAGATGAGGGGATTATGCAGGGACTCTATGCGGAGTTCCAGACGGAGGTATACAAACCGCCTCCGGTGGTCAATGTGAGTCCGACCCGTTGTCGTAATTGGGATCAGTTGTGACCATCGTACTAATATCTGCGTGCTTTAACTAGGGTAAAATACCAAAGAACGACTTCGGGAACATCGATTTATATGTACCTAGCATGCTACCTGAAGGAGCCGTGCACGTTCCATGTATGTGATCTCCGTCATTCTGAGCGATGCTCCGAACCCTCACTTGCGGATGTGCCCAGTTAAGGGAGCTGCAAAGATAGCAAGGACTCTTGGATTCGACTATGCCGAGGCTGTGGTGAGTACGAAATCTGTTTTCGGATGACGACGTCTACTTAGTCTCCTCCGTAGACAGGTTTTGAATTTAGAAAACGGCGTGCAACCCCGATTATCACTGGTGTGGTCATAGCCGCCGAGCACGAAGCTGCACTACTGGAGGTTCGTGTCGTTCCGCTTAGAAGGTTTGGTATTTCCTCGAATGCCTTATAACCTGCTCTGTAGGCATATTGGGAGATGGAGCGTGATGCAGAGGAGAAGCGCAAAGCGAAGCGGCACGACCAAGCTCTCAAACGGTGGACACGTCTGATACAAGGTCTGAAGATCCGGGAGAGGTTGAAGAAGCAGTACGCCAATCGCGGGGCTGGTAGCAATACAGCGACTACGGAATCAGATGAGAAGGTCCGCGAAGGCGACATTGATAATGGGGAGGAGCAGGAGAGAGTGAGTCATACACTTCTGATCTCTTTCAACGGATCCCTAAGATTATGCTTGGCTCAGGAAGCCTTCGTGGAGCCGGGAGGATATCTCACAGCTGTGGATGATATCGTTCAGCCATTTACGTTACCGAAGTATCAGCATCTTGCGGACCTTGTTGCCAAGTCTCGGCCCAATGGTAGCGGAGCTGTTGAACAAGATGGCGATATTGAAACTGCCGCCAGCGATGACATACCTCCGATGATAATGGAGGTTATCGGTGACGATGGCGATGCCAGCGAAGACATGGAGGAAATACCTGTCTCTGCTCCTGTTCTTTCGGGCGTGCCGAAAACCATGCGCGAGCTTGCGGAGGAATCGGCACGGAAGACGAGCGTTTCACTAGAGCCCGATGCAAGCATGGCAGAGAAGCTACCAACTACGGTGCCTTCCCCGGCTCCCGCTCCAGTAAACAGTGCAGAACAACGGGCCACTCGGTCTTCCCGTGGTAACAGTACGAGAAACACACCATCAACTACTACTGAAAGAAAGAGTGGCGTCGGTCGTCGAAACAACCGAAGAAAGCGTGCCCGCGGGGAACTCTCCGATTCTGATCTGGGGGAAGATCAGCTCGAAAACGCGCAAAGTGAGGAATCTTCACCTGTCAAGAAGGTCAGGGGTAGGCCGAACACCGCCAGTCCAGTCAAATCTGACAGGGTATTGAGAGTACGGAAATCCAAGACGGCTGCAGAGGTGGAAGAGGAGCGGGACAGGGAGTTGGCGTATAGACGAGCCGTGGCGGAGTAACTTATGTTTTATGTTATCGTCCGCACCAGTAGCCTTCTTGTTTCCCAGTCGTGGTTCTTTACTGCCACAATTTGACTAATAATTGGCTCAGAGTTGCTGTGGCTTCCATCGATGGGTTTGGCACGTGAATTTACCAGCCATCGCGCATCTTCTCCTCCATCACCATTCTGACAGTACATAACCTGTGTATCCCACAGACGAGATCTCAACCTCGTGGATTGCACTGCATATTCGTTGATGCTGATTCCAGCGTCATCGACTGACCTTTTGCAAGCCGGCTCGTAGGTCATAGGATCAACTGTGCGCTTCACGGGTCGACCTTCCCCGGGCCGTCGTATATGAGAAGAAGTTGCGTCCATCTGTTATAAGCGGTTGAGATGATGTAGGTGAAATTCGTGGATGTTCACCATGAGAGTCCCTTTGTCTATCATATCGACTGCCTGCTTCATCCACGCAATCCTCGCGTTGCACAATGGGTTGGCAGTGAAACCGCCTATGGGATGGAATCCGTATAACGTCTTCCTGTATGTCTTCACGCTTATGAAGCGCGTACGCATGGAAATCACTGGATTTCTCCCAGATGCGACACGGATGAATCCCAGTACCGTGCTGCCGCGAAGGACCTCGTGGCATCCGCGCTTCCCTCCGTAGGGTACAACTACTTCAATCTGTGAGCTCCCCGCTTATATCGCGGCTGAAGCACTGCACTTACACCCGATTCAAGTGACTGTGGATGGCAAGGAACCAACCGCACAGCCAACGGTACTTTCACGTGGAACACCACTCGTATTCCATCTGGCGTTCCTGCACTAGGATCGTACGTCCACAGTCTCGGCCTGAAATTCGGAGTATACAGCGATGCGTACGTCATTTATCGACGGAATTCATATACGTCCGGCTTAAGATTGATGTAGGGGATACTATTCCTGTGACTTCGTGAACGGAGCTGCGCACTGGTTAGGTAGCCTCGGTCACGAAGCTGCCGACGCAGCTGCTTTCACGAGCTGGGGCGCAGACTATCTCAAGGTACGTTTGTCCAAGACCGTAAATGAGATCCAATAATAACCTGTGTGTGGAAGTATGACAATTGTTACTCTGTGAACGAGACTGACTTTGTCGACTACAATCCGCCGTTCAACCTTGAAGTACGTCCGAAATCATATTTATGCTGATGTGCTGAACTGAATTGACCGTCGGCAGCCTCACTTTACTGCGATGCGCGATGCACTCTCCCGTACCTCGCGCCCAGTTGTCTACTCAGTCTGTGAATGGGGTGTCCAAGATCCTGCGCGCTGGGCACCCGCAGTTGGCAACTCCTGGCGCATCTCGTATGTCCAGAGATCATCCTCCGTTACTCACATGCCAATTCTGCATACCCACTGTTGCTGTGCTATAGGAACGACATTGGCCCGCCAAACTCCTGGGACAACGTCCTGCGGATCATCAACCAGGTCGTCCCGATCACGGGCTTCGCGGGGCCCGGCGCTTGGAACGATCTGGATCTGCTTGAGGTCGGGAATGCGGAGATGACTGTGCCAGAGCAGAAGAGCCACTTTTCGTTCTGGGCAGCTATCAAGTCAGTAGAGTTATGCCTAAGTGAGCCCTAAGGATGGCTTTGCCGACAGGAAGCCTGGACCAGGTCACCGCTACTGATTTCGACTGACCTGTCGAGGCCGAGCCAGGATACTTTGGATATTCTAGGGAACAAGAGGATAATTGCGCTGAATGTAAGAGCCTTGGAAACATTTGCGAGAACCAATGCTGACAGCAGGGATTGCAACAGCAAGATGACCTCGGCAAATCCATCAGCTTCCAACGCCGATACACTAATGATTATGACGTTTGGTCAGGTCCCCTCGCAGATGGGTCCACCGTTGCCTGTAAGCATGCGACCGCTTGTAAAGCTGCGGCATACTATGACTAACTACGACTACTTTCATTCGCCCAGTGGTACTGAATTGGAAGAACCAGTCCCGATCTCTGACCTTCAACCTCTCCGACGTCGGCTTTACCTCAGCAAAGGCCACCGACCTCTGGTCCGGCAAAGACCTGGGGATAATAAGAAACAGGTATGCCCGTCACCACGTGCACCATTTCCTTCTCGCCCTTTTTACGCGAGTGCACCTCTTACAGCTACACGACCAACATCTCGGCCCACGGCCCGCTCGTCCTCCGCCTCTCCCACACAACTCCATCCCCTGCACCACGCTTCACCTACTACCCCGCCTCCGCGTCCAAAAACACCCTATCCGGCGGCGCCTCCCCCCGCACCGCGAACTCATCCGTCACCGTAGTCGGCGACATCGGCAACGGCGGCACCCTCACGTTCACCGGCGTTGACGGCGGGTCGTCGGGCGGGTCCAAGCTGGTGTCTATAGACTACATCAACGCGGACTACACGATGCGCAACACGGACTGCTCGAACTGCCGCAACGCGTTCGTCAGCGTCAACGGCGGGCCGGCGCAGCAGGTGCAGATGCCGCTCTCAGGCCAGGTGAGTTTTACTGCCTCTTCAGACTGAGGGAGGTCATGCTGAGTCGGAGTGCAGAGCCGGGATATCTTGTTTGAAGGATATCTGGTGACGCTGGGTGGTTTTAAGCCTGGGAAGAATAATACGGTCGAATTTGCCAATCCCTCCGCTTGGGCGCCAGACATCTACAGGTTGGGCGTGCAGATATCGTGATGCAGCAGAGCATACATACGCACCGATGGCTGAACTACCAATTTTGGGGGTGACAGGCATCTACAATTCGATACAACCATGTACGAAGAGGCGGGGCAGGGTCTACAAGAGCAAGCAAACAAGCAACAGATAGAGTGACAACCACATCGTACATAGAGATACGCATGAGCGGGAACGAGAACGAGAACGAGCTATATATACATATACGACCTAACTGCAAACCTCGGACGACAACCCATATAGTACAAGAAGGCATAAACAAAGAGAACGGCCTAGCAGTCAGTCCATCCGTCGGCAGCGGGATACACGTACGCGACACGCCTCGGGGGCGCGGAACTGACTCTGAGCAAAAGCGAGGAGCGGGGCGCGGATATGAGGCATAAACGAGCGGGGTATGAACGAGCGTAAGCAGGCGTGACAAGGACTTTGCGGGTATACGACATCGGCACACATGAGCGTGTTACGTCGCGCGGCGGAGGATGACCATGAGCCCGTCCGAGTGCGCGGAGAAGATCGAGTCGACGACGACGGTCTCGCCGTCGGGGTCGGAGCCGCCGCGGGTGCGCGCGCGCTGCCTGGCCGGCGCGGTGGGGTTGGAGGCGGCGGCGGAGCGCCCGGAGAGCGGGGAGGCGAGGTGGAGGCGGTCACGGTCGCGCGTGCCCTGCCGGTGTCTCGATGCGGCGGGTTCTGGAGAGCGAATGCTGTAATACCAACATGTAAGCGAGACACAAAGCACACAAGAAAGCAAGCAAACCTCGAGTCCCGGCCCTGGGTGCAGCACTTGAACTTGCCGAAGCCGAACCCGCCGTCGCTCGGCTGCCCGCGCTCGTTGACGCCCCAGCTCTTGATGACGTCGATCCAGCTGCGGACGAGCTCCTCGTCCTTCTTCGCGACAAAGTCGAAGAACGAGCGGCCCATCGCGTGCGTGGTGCTGATGAGGGAGTCGTTGGAGATGTAGATGATGGGGCAGGACATGCTGAAGCGGTCGAGGATGAGCGCGACGCGCATCGACTGCTTCGGGAGCGGCGCGAAGGAGATGACGGGCGTGCTGTTCGAGGGACGCCGCGCGACGGCGCCGTTACCGTTGCCGGTGCGCTCGTCGTCGCTGCCACTGTGCCGGCGCCGCGCGCCGTTGCGCTCGCGGTCGTGCTCGCGGTCCCGCTCGGTGGCGTCGGACTCGGTGCCCGAGTCTTCGCCTTCGCTGTCCGAGTCTTCAGGCGGCGGGGGCGCGGTGTCGGGGATGGGGCTCGGCGGCATGGGCGAGGGGTCGTTCCAGCGCTAGACAGAGTTGGTTAACTCACCGCGGGGGTGATGGAGGCCCGGGTGGCGTGTACTCACGCGGAACTGGAAGTTCGTGGCATTCGGTGTGATGATGGTGACCTCCTGCGCGGTCGAGGCGTTGTGCATCGCCTTGGGGCCCGGCGTGGCGAAGGACACGCTGCCGACGAGGATGTTGTGCACGACGGTGCGGGACTAGCGGAGCGCCGCGCGCGTCAGCCCACCCGATGTCGCCGGCCGCTGGCAACAAGCGGAGACTTACGATAGCGCAGAGGATGTAGCCTTTGTACGGGTCCTTGTGTTTCATTCGTAAGTAGGCGAGGACGGCGGCCTTGTCCTGCCGGATCGTGTCGCTGTGCGACAGCGGGTGAGCATCGCAAAGTCAGCGGGGAGCGGGGCGCGTACTAGTGCAGTTTCTTGACCTGCGCGAACTCGTCCGGGTGGACGAGGTCGAGCGAGGGCATGCCGATGAGTTCGTGAGGTTCGTAGCCTGCGGGTGGCGCTCGTGTCAGTCAGCAGAAATGCCGCGGGTGAAAAAGTGAAGAGCGCACCGAGGAGGTCGTAGCAGGACGCGGTGGCGAACACCCAGCGGGCCTGGTGGGCGATAGGATTAGCGCATGCTGCGGCCCAGCGGACTGGGCTGGGCTTACGTTCTCCGTAAAGTCCACGATACCGACTGGGGGGCGCGTCAGCGGGCGGGATCGAACGCAGCAGGGAAGCAGACGCACTGAAGGAGACGCGGTTGGAGGCGTCCATCTTGGCTGGTCCGTGGGTTGGCGGGCGGGCGTGGCGCGATAGCAGGCTGGGGTAAGCTGGATGGCGGCGCGCTGCAGAGGAGGGAATATAAAAAGAAGAGAGACGATCCGAACGTGGACGGCTGCGTGGCGGGTGAGAACCGGGCAGCGCCTAGATCATGCTATATTCGCCGTCCTTTTCTGATGCTCTTGTCGCGGCGACAGAGAGGCAGCAGCAGGCCGTCGACGCTGGCGCAGGCAACGGGGACGGGTGGGGGCAACGACGCGGGCACTGACGCGGACGGAGAGGACAGCCTGCTTCGGCTAGCACTTCCATATATATTCCCGCCGCCCGCCCGGCCTCGCACAAAATACGCCGGCGCCTGCCGTAACATGCCTGGCGTCCGGCGCTCCCCTCGACGTCCCCAGCCCATTGTGTCTCTGCCTGCCCGTGTTTTTCTGTCTTTTGTCGCGCTCTCGCTTCGCCCTGCGCACTTTATCGGCGGTATTCACAGACTCAGATCCAGCCAGCGCGCTGAATCTTGCAGCGGACCGGCGTTCTGATCACTCAAACGTTCTGAGCCGGCATCAGATTCAGAGGCCTGTCCGCATCTCGGCCCCGGCGCTGCCGCCACTTGTCTCTGCACGCTCCGCCCGCGATGTGGTCGACAGCGCGCACAATCGCTGCAGGGGACCTCGTCATCGTCTGGCTGGTGAGAGCCTCTTCAGATTCGCCCCCCTTGCGGGCGCCTTCACGGATCTCAAACCTTGTCCTGATTAACACCTTCCCGAACTTTCCTGCTTCCCCAACCCTATCCGCGCGCCATGGCAGACCCGCGATCTCGTGCAGCCGCTGTACGTCGCGCCCGGGAAAGACTTCAACAGCAAGTACGGGTCGTACCGCCACGCGGACCTCGTCGGGCTGCCCTACGGCAGCAAGGTGCGCGCGCGCGGCGGGCGCGGGTTCATCCACGTCCTGCGCCCGACGCCCGAGCTCTGGACGCTGGCGCTCCCGCACCGCACCCAGATCCTCTACCTCGCCGATATCGCCTTCATCACCTCGTGGCTCGACATAAGGAGCGGGAGCAGGGTCATCGAAGCAGGTGCGTGTGTGGGCGTTTCCACGGATCATCTCCCCCTTCCACACACCCCCCCCCCTTTCGAATTCCATTGGGACGGCCGTGGCGCGTCCTATCTTTACGAGCTGCATTCAAAATATGGTTATGGGGTCCTGGGCCCGGGACCCCGTGTCCCGCGCTAGCTCGCCGGGGCACCGAGCCGTTGGTCAGAGATTGGCTAGATCTCCCTGCCACTAGCCTATCTCCACATTGGCCCCCTGTTATCGGTGCTTCCGCGGTGCTTCGATCGTCCCAGCCCAGCCACCTGCAAACCTCACCCGCAGCTTCGCATTTCGATCTTGACTTTTTTGATTTATGAATGACCTATCTGAACTGAACTGAACTGAACTGAACTGGACTGGAACGGACTGAAGGTACCGGCTCGGGCTCGTTCACCCATTCCACCGCGCGCACGATAGGACCCACAGGCCATCTATGGTCTTATGAGTTCCACGAGGCGCGGTTCGCCAAAGCGAGGTATGCATAGCATAGCACAACTCCCCCTCTCCCCGTTTCCCGCATTCTATTGCCGTTTTGCGTCCGGGCGCCTGCTGAGATGGCTGCGTTCCAGGGACGAGTTCGCGCGCCACGGCATCGCGGACAGGGTCACGCTGACGCATCGGAACGTCTGCAAGGAGGGATTCACGGTGGAAGACACGGTCGATGCTGGTATGTCAGATACGATTAAGCTCGTTGGCGGCACTGCAGTTCTTTCGTCATGGGTTGGGTATATGCGGTGGATGGACATCCGCATCCTGATACCCAACCCCGGTTGGTTCGTGTTGGTATTGAGCGTGTATTGATTGGGTACGTGGTAGTGTTCCTCGACCTGCCTGCGCCGTGGGACGCGGTCGAGCACGCGAAGAAGGCGCTGAGGGTACGTGATTCTGATTTTCTTCTCGCGTTTTCGTTGATGTCAGGGGGTTTCCTCACCTTGGCGCTTCGTCTACCAGAAAGACCGCGTGACGCGGATATGCTGCTTCAGCCCGTGCATGGAGCAGGTGCTCCGGACGGTCAGCGCGCTCAACGAAGCGGGGTTCACCGGTACGCCCGTCCCACCCATTTCTTCCCTCCCGCTAATTCTAATTCTAATTCTGATTCTGATTCTGATTTCTCACCGCCGAATAATCAGATATTACGATGTACGAGACCCTCATCCGCCCGCAGGACGTGTCCGTCGTGCCGAAGTTGAAGCCGATAAGCGAGGTGAGCGCGCGGTTGAAGGAGGCGGAGAGGAGGCGGGAGGAGAAGAGGCAGCGGCAGATTAGAGAGGCGCAGAGGAGGAAGCGGAAGCGGGCGGAAGAAGAAGGAGAGGGCGAGGGGGCCATTCAGAAAGAGGAGAGTGAAGGGGTTGAGGTGAAGAAGGTGAAGACGGATGGGGAGGGTGGGGAGAAGGGTGATGTTGTGGAGGAGAACGATGGGCAGGCCGTGGAGGGGAAGGACGCTGCGTTGGATGTGCGGCCAGCGCAAGATGCGACCGCGTCTACGTCCGCGGTTGTCCCCTCAAAGACCGAACCGCAACCCGACGCTGAGGAAGCTGGACAGGAAGAAGAGACGATCGTGGTCTCGAAGACGTTCCCCGAGGTCCGGGGGCATACGTCCTACCTGACGTTTGCGTGCTTGCTGCCCGCGGCGCTGGTCACTCGCGCGAGCGAGCCTCCTCCCAGTAAAGGGACCGGGGATGTGGAGATGGCTGTAGTGGCGGAATGAGGGACGATGAAACGAAGTAGATCTTTTCTATGTATGCACAATGCAGTGATTATATTTGTAGGGTAGATGCTCGAACGACGTTACTGATATCTATGCAACTATCGAGGTATCCTTTGAATAGTCAGAAAGATTGGAGGCGACGAGAGGGATCTGCCCCCGACTCCTTCAGATTGGTGGACGCCATCCTGATCTCTCCGGTTTCCTTGGCTGAGGCACTTGCAATGCCCCTCGGGATCTGAGGAGATCTGGCGGGAGGAATGTGTCCGAATTATCCGAATTGTCCGACACACCGGAAAATCCCCGATATAGTGAATGTTCAATGGGTGCCCAGGGTCCTCGTATCTCGCCATCCCTCGATTCTATCTCCTCAGACGCAGGAATCGATGTGCACTTCATCCTGCAGTTTCTTGTTCCCTACTAACATTGACCATGGCATCGAGCGATAGCGACGCGCTGGTGACTTCCAGTGACCCCCTTCATGTAAGTTGATCTCTGCCTGTTGGTAGGGGATTTCTTGAATGAGAGAGGTAGCCGGCGAATTTGATTCCGGAGCTCTGTCGAGGGTTTTATCATCTGGGATGGGTTACTGGGACTGGAGGGGGCATTAGTATCCGCCAAGGGTGTGTTTTATATCTTCGATTTCACTCAGGGATACTTATGCTGAAAGCTGGCGGAAACCGACAGTGATAAAGTATACATCGCCCCCTCCGGCGTGCAGAAGGAGCGCATCCACCCCACCCACATGTTCGTCCTCCCCTACCCGCAGCCGTCCCCGCACGCGGACCGCGTCTTCCTCCGCCGCCCCGCGCAGAACCTCAAGGAGAGCGCGTGCACGCCGCTGTTCTGGAACGCGTTCGAGCTGCGGGACGCGGGGAGCTGCATACATACGCATAGCCAGCATGCGGTCATGGCGACGCTGCTTTGGCCGGAGAAGGAGTTTCGGATCTCGCATCAGGTGGGTGTTGGTTTCGTTTCGTTTGTTGAGTTGCGGTGGGCGGTGCAGAGAGCTGATAAGGGTGGGATGGGATTGTGTTACGTTAGGAGGTATGTGTCGGGATGCATTCAGATGGGGACCGGCGAGTGATTTCTGCCTGCAGATGATCAAAGGCGTGCGCATCGGCGGCACCGGGCGGGCACTGTCCTTCCTCGATACGCTTGTCGTCCCCATCATCGAGAACACGCCGAATGAGGAAGACCTGAGGGAGAGCATGCACGAGGCGATGGTCAAATACCCTGACGCTGCTGGTGTGCTGGTGCGGAGGCACGGGGTATATGTATGGGGTGTGTGCTTTCCTTTCTTCCTATATTGTTAATATGCCTCAAGGCTCATATCGGGGTCGTAGGCTCAGATTGGGAGAAGGCGAAGGCGCAGACTGAGGTAAGCTTGGGTTGCGGCGACTCGTTCAGGATGCATTATTGACGGCTCCCAGTGCCTGGACTACCTCTTTGAGGTCGGTGTCAAGATGAAGTTAGCAGGGCTCCCAACTATCCTCGAGAGCTACCCGTGATTCCGTTGAACGGTGAGCATCAACTGTCAACCCATGGTTTTTCACCGTCCAGCGGAGCGTTGCTGTACGACTGAAATCTTTCTGAAATTTTTGTCAGCGGGGATGACTTGGACGCGGTGCAACATTATACTGGAATAACGCGTCGGTCCCTGTCCAATAAGAGAGGGTCTCTTCGTAGATGGGTTGTAGATATGTAGAATCATCATGATTATATCACACCTAGGGCTGTCCGGAGTCCGTGCAGTCACGTGCTATAAACGCGATCCCGTGTGTTGACGCGTCTTGAATTTGATTTCTATCTTCCCTGTAGACACTACCCTTCACTGTAGACTGCTCGTCCAAGTCTCTGCGTGTCCAAGAGATGGCGTCGTCGTCGTCGCTGTGCACGCCACCCCCGGTGTCGTACCCCAACCTGCCCCCGAGCTCGGCCGTGAAACCGAGGCGCCTCAGGCGGACGCCCAGCGCGGCTGTGGACTGCCATTTGTACGTTTTCTCCTCCTGTGCCGCTATTCGCCGACGTCGTCTGAATACCATCCTGTTCTTTCTGTATGATGTGCCAGCATTTTGACGAAAGGTACGCGACGGTTTGTCGTCTCTGTGGTGCGATGCCGTTCCTGAGGGACATGAAGTGTTCGGGCACAAGGAGTTCAAGGGGAAGCAGAAGGCGATTGTAGATGCGGCGGTGAAGGGCGCGGACGTGTTTGTGCTGGCGCCGACGGGTATGGGCAAGGTGAGTGTTTACACGACTGCTTGCGGTGGGATTGGATGATCATGTGCGTAGAGTTTGTGTTTCCAGATTCCCGCGCTGGCAGATGATGTGAGTTAGAGATCATTGGTGATTAGCGAGTGGGATGGGGTGGTTAACTGTGGTTGTAGCATGGGATTACTGTCGTCGTGTCCCCTTTGCTTGGTGCGTCCCTCCCATTTTCCATTTTCATCATTCACTGAATGTTGCCTACTCGTACATAACTGAATGTTGCCTACTCGTACATAACTGCATACCAGCTTTGATGAAGAACCGTAAGTGGAATTCCCTTTCAGCGCATTCACTCGACTAGCCGCCAGTAGAGGTCACCAAGCTGCGCGAGAAGCACGTACAGGTCGTCGCTTTGAACTCCGAGACGACCCCGGAAGAGAAGAAAGACGTGAGTACTTCGGTCCTTTCACCTCATATAGACTAAATCCTTCTTCGCTTCGCCTAAGATCATCAAAGACTTGTCATCCGGGCACCCAGCAAGCCGGCTTCTGTACAGTAAGTCGATGTATACTACCAGACGGACGGCGGTGCGTGTCCTGACCCGCGTCGCAGTTACTCCGGAGAAATTGTGCAGCGCGGAGATGCTCAGGTTGCTCGATAAGGTGTACGAGCAGCGGGAGCTGAATAGATTCGTGGTTGATGAGGTATCGTCGGCTCCATCCCACCTCACTCGGCTCGACTGACTGATCGACTGACTGTCTGAGGGTAGGCCCATTGCATCTCGGTACACACTCTGTTTTCCGGCGCCGAGCGAGGGTCTGGGCTGAAGTGTCTACGTGCAGGAATGGGGCCACGACTTCCGCGCCGAGTATCGGCGGCTTGGGATGTTCCGCGAGAAATATCCCGGAGTACCCATCATGGCGCTTACGGCGACTGCTACTCCTCTGTAAGCGTTCTTCATCCTTCTCCCACGAGAGGTGATTCAATGCAGTGTGCTGGCATAGAGTGCAAGACGACATTGTGAAGAGCCTCAAAATGTCCGACGAGCACCTCTTCAAAGTTGTGCACCCGTTCAACCGCGCGAATCTCTATTACGAGGTGCTAGTCCCTCCCCTTCCTCCCTCCCTCCCTTCTTCCCTCCCTCCCTTCCTCTTTTTCCCTCGCCTCTCTTCGTTCCTCACTCACCGCATGCATACGGCAGATTCAATACTGGTCCTCGCCCTACCCCGTCGCGCAGATGGCCGAGATCTTCGAGTACATCTCGAACCTGCACGCGAAGCGCGGGCGCGCGAGCTCGGGGATCGTGTACTGCCGGAACCGCGCGACGTGTGACGAGCTGGCGGCGTATCTGCGGGGGAAGGGGCTGAATGCGCGGCCGTACCATAAGGGGCTGAAGTATGTTTGTTGTTTGCTGTTCACTTACTGGCGATGCATGCACGGGAAGGGAATGTGCTAAAATGGCGCTGTTACTGGTAGGTCTTCAGTCCTGGATAAGACTCTGAGGGACTGGGAGAAGGGAGGCAGCGGGGATGGAGGTGTTGACGTGGTGAGTGCCCATGTACGATCGATAAACCACTGCTCTTACGTGATTCGGACAAGGTGTGCTCTACGATAGGTATGGTCTCGTCGCTATCAACCGGGGATAAGACTTTTGAACCGGTCTACGTGTAGCTTTCGGTCTCGGTATTGACAAGCCCGACGTCCGGTTTGTAATGTGGTCATATCTGCCATTTCAGTTTCTGACAATCTTATAGGTATATCATACACTATGACCTCCCAAAGAGCTTCGAAGGTACGGTCGCTCATTTTCTTGAGACCGAACAGATGAATATAGTCTCGCCTGTCACTCAGGCTATTACCAGGAAACAGGTGTGTCTCCCTCAGCATGACCCAACTGACCTCACTGATGGTTGAACGCTAGGGAGAGCGGGAAGGGATGGATCAGTGCGTCTTACCGCATGCCACCTAGTCGTACTCTGACGGTTGGTGCATATAGCCCGCGAAATGCGTACTCTTTTACTGTGAGCTTTGTTCCTGTGCCAGTCTGGCACGCAGCTGACACTCTCTACAGCAAGAGAAGATGCGTGCAAAGTACGGAAGTTGGTGGGTATGAGCCACGACAAAAGAGTCTGGGCGGCGGACTCTGCCCAGGGCCCGCCCCCTAGTCAGCGAGCCGTGGACAGTCTCACCTCTGTATGTCGCTTGTTCATGCCTGTGCTGCCTAGTAGTTACCGACTAATTTGGCAGCTGATCAACTTCGCGGAAGCCGATAGTATATGTCGGCACGTAGTACGTGACCTTTCCCAACCAACCTCGGAAGTACCCTCCAACATGACCTTTTGTAGATGATATGCAAATACTTCGGCGAGGCGATCGACATACATGACGAGGCACTTGTGAAGAAATACTGTAACAGGATGTGTGATGTTCGCTTACTCATTGCCGCCGTCGTTTGTTGTTTCTTATATTTGAGTCTAGGTGTGCAAGTACCCGGACAAGGTCAAGCGACGCAAGCTGAAGCTGGCATCAGAGGAGTACATCGGGTCGCAGATCCAGCGTCTAGAGAGGGATGTCCGTTATGATGACGAGGAAGGTGGCAGCCGTCCGCTGTCGCGACAGAGCTCTGGCGCGGGGGCTAGTGTGTTCCAGTCCAAGCAGCAAGTTGGTACAAGTGTCAACTCTGGCTGGAAGAGGAATTTCAGAGATGGTGATGATGGCGAGGGATGGGGAAACGCGAACAACGTCAATGGACCGAAGCCCCCGCCTAAAATCAGAACTTACGTGGCTCCAGGGGTCGTGCAGACGCCGCGGTATATGCAGAGCGGAGGCTTGAAGAGAAGCTTTTCGGCGTCCAACGAGACAAACGCCAGCACTGAAACTGTTCGCAAGCAACCCAAGACCGACTATGCGAGCCGTCTGGGTGAGTGGAAGTAGCTGCTTCGTCGCGGTAATGCTCCTAACCCATGCCAATTTCGCAAAGCTAATTCGGGACGGTTGCAAGCGCTTCGCACCAAGCCCTTCCGTCCCCCTCTGCTCAATACTTCGAATAGAGCACCGACTACCGATGCAAATTGTACTGATGTCGAGATGCAACGGGAGAATGAAGCGGCAGATATTGACGAAGGAGAATTGGTACAAACTGACCGCGCTGCCGAGGATACAGTGTCTCGACGCAGCTGTGAGTGACCAGATGGCACCCCTCCGATTCATGTCACTGAACCGATTATAGCGTCCCCGCTGGTTGAGCTCCCAGATGACGATGTAGAGTTGGAAATGCCGGATTCTGGAAAGAGAATTGGTGTACGTGACCAGAGTGAATTCATTTGACTGGGACTAACTAGCGTGATCGTACAGGTTGAAGTCCGCAAAGAAGGGTTCATCTCTCTTCGTCAGACATTGCACAAAGTCTTCATGTTTGGGGAGCATGCCACTCAGACTTGGGAGCGTGCAGGCCTCACGATCGATGATAAGGATGCAAAGTGCGTGCTATTATGGCCGCTGAGTTTGGCGACTGACCTCAGTCACCCGAAGGAATGATATCTTGAAATGCACTACGCGTCAGCTGGAATTCTCCGCGCATACTATGAGCGTTTCCGAGGAGGGATACCACAGTCGATGTCAAGGCACGATCAGGCTAATCAAGACTCTTGCGAACCTGGAGGTATGGGATCATCGCCAGATGCTTGAGGATTCGGAGGAAACTGCGGAGATCGTACAACTTATCCGCGAAACATGTCGCGCACGGAGGAAGGGGAAAGGGAAGGCTATATGATCTACTCCGCCATTTATGCGAGAGGTGCCGGCGTGTAATGATATTGATACGTTGCATCGAAGTTGTAGGACTTGTGATCATGGGCATGTGGTATGGACGTACCGAATTGCATTGTAGATTCTTCGGGTGAAGTCTAGCTTCCGACTGGGCCGATGAATATGATAACTGTCAGTTGACTCTGCCCATGGGTCAACAGCGGATCGACGACAGCAAGCCGGCACGCAAGGTCTGCGAGGCAAGTGATGAAGCTCATATGCGTCCGGAGAAAGATAACCATGCCGATGTCAGTGTTACACTCACTCCCACTCGGCATGCCTCGCACGATATCACTCATCCGGTATCAGACAGGCCCTGTCCAGGGTAAAAGCAATGCGAGGCGCAAACGGTTATCTTCGTAGATGAGTTCCGCATGTACGAGCCAGGAGATCGGCGACGGCAAGTACTATCATCGCAGCTATTGGGGGCCCTTTATTCTGCACTGAGGCAGCTTGTAGACAGCGAACCGACACGTCCATCAGCGGCCTGTCCTGTGATACATAACCGCAAAGCCTGTAGGAGGTTCACATGGAGCAATGAGGCAGAGTAAACACCGACCAATGGCAAGCTTCAATAGTTTGACCGACGATTCGTCTCGAGGCACTGCGATTGGAACGCTTGCCAGAGCCCATGGAGCAGCTCGGCCGAAAAGCGCTGCATTGCAGGGAATGGTTGAATGCCGGGCGGTCAGTGATCCCGCGGCTAAAATCCTTCCCGACGACCATGGGAGTAACAATAATCGCAGTCCGACAAGATCGGAACAGTGCTCTGAGTCGCTTCAGGACGTGACCTGCGAACGCTCCTCGACTTCCCCAGGTAGTGAAGGCCAGGGAGCCTGCAATCCGCATGCGATGCGAGTGCACTGGCTTGTAGCTCCATAACTCGAACCGAGGTTGGGACGTGGCCATGGCTGCGGACTCGTCAGACGTTATATAAATGCGACAGCAGTCGGTAAAAATCCAGTTATCCAGAAAACCCATTAGCAAGATGTTCAGCACTCGTATCATCACGCTCACCCTCTTCGCTCTGGTTGCTACGGCCTTTGCCGCCCCCGAGCCTCAGAGCAACCTACCATGTTGCCCTTGCCCGCCGTTGCCGCCCATTGACGGTCACGGTCCTGCCTGTCAGGAGTGCGCGTGCCCTGAGAACTGAAGTCTGCCTTACGGGTACGCAACATCTGCACTGAGCATTGTTGCAGCGCTAATCAGACCCAGTGGATATTGGAAGCTTCCTGGTCATATAAAGCCACAATGCATTACTACGGGCGGATAGGGCAGAGGGGGACGGAGAGGCGAGCAGCAGCGTTCTTAGCCAGGGACATATCTAATTGGAACGATCGATTAGCATGGTGTCCTAGCTCATAAATCATGATTGCGGGCCCAATTCAACAGCTCTTGCATCAATTTGAATGGATAGGGCAGGGTGACCCTACCATTGACGGTAGTGATCGGAGAGGCATCGCTCCAAGGTTTACTAGTAAATATCTCACCAGCACACGGGAAGCTCCCTTGGAGGATAAGGAGTCCGACTCTAAGGCCTATAAATCCAGTATTGTGTTCGCACCTTTGTCGCCTGAGAAATGTAGCCACGGCTTGCAAATGCTGCATAAACATAGGTCGCCCTTATCGGAGACAGTATCCCAGACGAATTTGAGCGAACTTCACGAATTCATATGGTGCAGGATACATACCAGTCAGCCAGTACAAGTGGTTACGACTCAGCTCACACGAGTCTAAGCTAAGCCGGATCCGGAGTTCTGCCGGAGCTTGCCGGAACGCTTCCAGCCTGACCTATACTGAGGGATCATTGGGAGGCGCATCTACAGTACACGCTGGGTTCACTCTTACAGCCGTTTGCAGATCGATAGACCACCAATTCAGAAAATCGTGTATAGTCGGAGTGGGTCGGAGTGGGTGCCAGGGACATCGGAAGAAGGTGGGGAAGTCCAAATGGTCTGGTTTCCGTCTCTCGGGGACTTACAATTGCTTGTCCGACGTGGTCCGACTGTAAATGATTTTTGAAAAGTGGGCCCATTGTTCTGCAAACGGCTGTCATCACTAAGTTACACACAATATGCGGAAGATCCGGTAAGAATCCGTCAAGTGTGCGGAATGCTACAGGCCGAATTCGATACTTTTTACTAAATGCAATCCTCCCAACAAAGTTGAGGACGCGCGGCCCGTAAAAGGAAGGTCGAGGCCATCGTGAAGTGACTGCACAGACGGCTGTGCGGCAAGTCTGCGCAGTGTTCCCACGGTCTCAGGCCATTTGAAGTCGAGTCTCGACACCAGAACGGCGCATATACATACTTACATAGAGTAGGTAGGGAGGTATACAAAGTATCTTTTGTGATATGTACTGAGAATTACAATCTCGTTGGGATGAAAAGGGAGGTTGCAGCAGGCGGCGGCTGTGACTCTTGAAACACTGATATCAAAGGTTTTCTCCTGCACTAAGTACAGGCTTGTCAGCATAATATCAGGATGGTGTGGAGTGTATCTTGAGTGATGATGAAATAAATCGAAGCCCCAAGAGTAAGGAGTCTTATTCACAAATGATGCATACATCTTGACAAAAACCGTCGGCAAAAAACAACAATGCGTGAAACAAACGGATTGGGAGTCGAACCCGCAGCCTCGAGCTTCAGGTTTTCCAATCCCGGCAAGACGCTTACCATCAACACTACAGGAACATATCAGGTAGAGATATTCAATTTTATATATTGCTTGCAGTGTCTACTGTTATCTATATACGGCCAAGCATAGGCTAACCCGCTGAGCCAACCCCGCGCTGCCCTGCGGAGTGACACTTCGCGCTGCGCGGGGTCCCGTTACGTAATGCGCGTCCTCAGCTTTGTTGGGAGGATTGCATTTCGTATACTTTTTGCAGAACCCCCTCAATGATAGTACTGTTTGACAACGTCCGACAAGGTGGTCATGTCGCCTGCGACACCACCGGATTAGACTCGCGGGACACGGCGTGCTGCCTGCAGATGTGACGAAGATTCGTTCTCGAGTTTGATGTATGTTGCTGCTTGAGTGAGTGCCTGAGTTATGCTATGGTACCGCTCGTACTCACCAGCCTTCTGATGTGATGCAGAGCCGGATACATATGTCACAGATTCAGGGACCAGACTCGTCTTAATGGACTCATTGTAAGGCGCTGCAGCAGCGTAAATTTGCAGCGGTATCGCCGTTGTGGTGCCTGATGCTCGTCCCCCAGTAACCGGTGAATTGCGTCTGGACGACTTCCTTGAGTATAGATCCTGTCCAGTGTTGGGGCGGCAGGTCACTGCGGACGGTTCGCAGGTCGCATCGATGGGAGAGCCGATACAAGTTTCAGCTCTAGATGCCGGTATTGAATACGATGCAACGTTACAGAAATGTGGCCATCCGCGCGACCCATGGTGGATGTGTACTCCGTAAAGCAGTCATGTCTCGTGCCTTCTACAAACTGACGTACCACTTAAACTACCGCTTAGGGACGATATACATCCATGGTGAGCTTCTCTGTTCTAGCGTTGTGTGCCGTACATGGGCTTACACTCGAACATAGGGAGAATTACGTCGCATGTATTGCCGGTCGCGTACAAATGTGAAGTGGAGCATATGAATTCCAGCATTATAGTGATGTAGACGTTTATTATCTCTCAACAACCGCATGCCCTCCTTTACCCGCTCTTTCGCCCATCGGCGACGCAGCAACTACTTCTTTATCAGGGTAATATTCCTGGTGTTTCCATCAGTTAATCCCCTCGTCCAAGATATACTCTCAGCTTACGCTTCGTTTGTTAAGCATCGCAAACCCCGCATGGCTGACAGGCTGGGCCGTGTCCGAATTTCGGGTTCAAAGGCGGGCAGGGGCAGCACGGTAGCTCCCTCGCTTCGTTGGTAGGTGTCGCGACAGCGAGGCTTGCGAAGGCGACGAGGACAAAAGAGAGGACACGAGTGTTTAACATTGTCGAGTGGAAATAGATGGTGCTACGGTGTGTGTGTTTGGTCTGGGTGTTTAGCTGTGATACCTTTCGCACTCGTCTGACTTCTTATATTCTTCAGCGATCCTACTGTCGGGCACGTACAGGGAACAAGGCCGCCCCGTGAATCAGGTTTAAGGTACCGCAGCGCCGCCAACGTAAGTGCATTGTGTGGCGTCTGTCCTCTATTTCGCCAACAACCGATCCGCCCAGTCACGTCGGGCCCACCGAGTTCCGATTCAGCGCGTACGTACAGCCTTGGCCAATCGTGATGAACCCATGGCGCTGATCGGAGTATCTCTGAGATCAAGTGACAGGCTATCGTATATACGCTAGATGGGATTCCGGGATGCTGTCCGAGCAGAGAAACAACGTGCACGCCGATGCTGTTTCAAGTACGGACATTACTAATATTTGTATCCTGGGATGGCGTGAGCCGCGGTAATGTATTCAGTGTACTACACGAGCGAAAGGGGAGGGAGATAATTTATGTGGCCATAGATGAGTGAGTACATATGCGCATAATATTTTGTGAACGTCATTTTCCTTTGACCTCTGGCAGGTACTGTTCCTCTTTCGCCCATGTCCTTATTGTGTTCATCGTCTGCGTTTTGGCGCTGACTACGAGGGGATCAGGGCGGCTTGAGAACGTCAAAGGGCGTTGGTACGTACAGAATGAGGGTACGGATTTAATCAAGCGTCGCAGGGTCCGCAATCCCGGCACTCAGGTCCAATGCCGAATTTGGGATTCATAGGGGGGCACGGGCAGCATGCGAGATCGGTGTTCTGAGGAGAGGGGGTAGCGAAGGCAAAGCCAGTGAAGGCGGCGAGGACGATGGTCAACAGGCGAGTGCTTAGCATTGTAGGGATTCAATCTTGTCTGAGGATATGCTGCGGGCTTCCGCTGCAGTTACACGCGAGCACCGCTGGCCTTTTATAGGTGTTCGCGTTTGTACCAACATAGGACTCGTGCCAGACGAAGAGAAAGCACACAGGGTCGGTCATACAGTTGCTGTCGCTCAGGAATAACTCGAATGGCACGAGGCAGCATTTCGCCGAGTAAAGGGACGGTTGTTAGCGCCGTCCTGATCGCTTCGTCGCAGGCGCGAAATTCCCGCGCATGTCCGCCCCGACTGTCTCTGCTTTAATCGCGGAGGGTACAGGGGCCGGAGCACAGATGGGGAGAAATGTAGCTTAGAATGCAGTTATTTTAGGACTTGTACCTGGGCGCAAATTAGAGTTAAAGGTATCTGGTCCGACTGTACCTGATGCGATCACTCACAGAGGTTCTAGTACAGCGCATTTATATTCACTAATGATACCTTGCTCCTGCGCTACTGCGATCTACGGCATGGCAGCTCCATTCTGTTACAGTGCCCCTGACTGTTCAGCAACTGCCAGGTATCATCCCAAGTTTCTCGCCGATGAAGTCGGAGAAGTCTTACATACGTGGCGTCGCCTTCGTACTAGGCCTATAGCTGTTGTTCACAGGCCAATTCAGCGGCAACTAAGGTGAAATGTCAGTGCCTTTTTTCTGCACTCAGGCATCAGTACCTGACCGTCCTCCAGCTTTCCACTTTCGGGTCTCGGAAAATGTAACAACACAGATGGCAGTGTGTATTTTCCTGTAGTGGACCTCCGACAGCCGTTTTCTTAGATTTCATTGAAGTTCATCAGCGGAGAGTTGAAGACCTGAGTCACCGACACGCGATGCACTTAGGACGGACGGTATACGCATATGTGGGGTACATCTCAAGAAGAACAAATGAGACCCGATGGCGAGGATCATATTCCCGTCCTTTTCTCTGTGGAGAAACACTCGAGCACTATACTTCTGCCCGTTGAGACGACGACTGCTACCACCGAGTAAACGCACGCAGGTATGGTATCTCTATCTGATATGTGGATTTTGAACTAATTGTCAGGACGTCATACAGCTACGCGCTAGAGCCGAGCCTGGCCGTTCTGAATCATATGCGGCTTTGCCCCTTTTGCTCTGAGGTTTGACAAGAAAGAGTGGCATTTTGAAGTTGCTTTCAAGCCACCGTTGCCCTTCCCGCGTACTATGACAGAAGACAGTTCCCATATTCCTTCTACTCGAGCTCCGGCATCGGCATGATCAAGGCTCTATCCGATACTCTTCCAAACATGTGACTTCGCACGCTGGTCACAAGCGGATGCAACAATACCTGAATATGTTGAAGGTTGATATTACACTTCTTGCATGGAACGACTTCCGCGTCGATACACGAATCTCCTTCACCCGGGTCGGCGCAAGTACAGCACGGTAAACTGTGGCTGGCCGTTGCAATCGTGGCGGCAGGTGTAGTTAACGCTACGCCCGCAAGGATCAGAAATGCAAATCGGGGATGCGGCTTCCGTGCATGGGTGGTTGTGAGTGCGGCAATTGTAGTGGGGACTCCACCAGTGTCCTTCCTTCTTCCCTATACAACCGTCAGCTGGTGCCCTACGTTCATGCAGACGCAGCGAAGCTATCCTAGTTGATGCGCCGTGTAGACTCGGAGATAGTCGGTCCACTGACGTTAACCGGTGCTAATATCACTATGTAATCTCTGATTCTCTGGTTGACAACGTCTGGAACCATTCTCCTTCAGTGTTGTTCTATCCAGCTGGAACAACTCACTTGTCCCAGTTATGCACGAACCGTGCCGGCAACTTCCGTCTGGGCTCACATACCGTATAAGGCGGTAGGGCCGTGCGAGCGGCAGAGCCCGCTACCGTAGACATAGATAAGATTTGGTAGCAAGCTGAAAACTTGACATCCTGAGCAGCACCATATACTAATATATTTATTTTGCGAAAGCAGTTGTCATGATTTCCGACTGAGCATTCACCTCAATGATTTGAAGAGATGTCCACTCACTCCTCCCTCAGGTTCTGAGTATACAAGTCATTTATGTAAAACAGCTGACATTGAAGTATGCTGCTTTCACCTGGAGACCGCATCTCCAACGCCCCAAGCTAGGTCATGTCTGTTCTCTTGAGTCCCTTGACCAGCATCCGCCACCTTGGCTAAAGATGGAAAGAGAGATGCCACGTGGTTCTACGATCGGGGTCCTTTGAGGACCCCATCTTTGATTGGTCCAAAGCCGTGTGCCGGTCCTGCCGTCCGCCATATACGGTTAAGTGCCAAATAGTGTCAAATAGATCGCGTAGATCTTGAAACGATCGCAGGAAACCTGCGAACGGCCGGGGGGTCCAAGACCCACTACCTACGGTAGCGGGAATGTGAGCCCAGACGGCGCGGGCGCTTCAAGGGATCTGCTCTCATATCGGCGCCAATGTCATGGTCGGTTCGCCGCCTGGCCAATGAAGTAATAAAGACATAAGGTCGGTGCAAACTGTACCGTAATACCCCTTCGCAGCGGACTGTGGCTATTTTCTTGCCTTTCTGCAATGTCTTGGTCGAAGTTGAAAGATGAGGGAAATTCCCTGTTCTCTCGGGGAGACTACGAGGCCGCTCAGGCCAAGTACACGCGGGCGATCGATACTACCACCGGAGATGATGACCCAGAGGCCGTTGCAGTACTGTACGGTAATCGCGCAGCGTGTCTTCTGTATCTCAAAAGGTCGGTCTCGCCAACACGCCCGTATGGTTCGGGTACATCGTGCCGACCTATCTACTCCTGCCGCAAGTTACCTCGATGCGTCCAGTGATGCACGTAAAGTTCGTAAATATGATAATGAAACAGCACTCTGCTTAATGTTTCAAATATTACTGCAGGCCACAAAGTATAATTCCGGTTATGCCAAGGCTTGGGGTCGTTTGGCGACGGCGCAACAGGTCAACTCCCATGCTTTGCTTCTTCCCCAGTCATGATATGATACTAGTGACTGGGAACAGGCACTGCATGAGCTTACGCCTAGTGTTGCATCGTGGGAGAAAGCCGTGGCTGCTATGAAGGTCAAGAATCCCTCCTCGATGAGTCTCAACGAAGTCAAGCAACTGCAGGAGTATGAAAACGGTTTGCGTACGGCTAGAACTGCCTTAGCCTTGCAAGGGTCCTCTTCGATTCCTGGATATCATATGACCCCAAGTAAAGGACAATTACCTTGGGAACGAGCTGAATCTATGAAGGCCGAATTGATGGCACGAGGACCTGCCGGCTATTCTAGCAGTGTGCGTGGCTTCTTTCATGCTGCGTTCCTTCAAATTGACAACATCGGCTTCACTCAGGCTTGGGTAATATCAGGAGCATACGAGATGAAACTGTTGTTGGGCATGAAGCTTTCCAGTCTGACCGGTCCGAATCACAGGAGTTCAAGACGGGAGTCGAGACCATGAAAGCTTTGAAGAAGATTCAAACTCCAGCGGGCGTAGCGTATGCTGGGGCCACAGGTGTACGTCTATCTCATTCGCTGTGTAACTCGGAATGGAAACCAGGCATATGTAGGCCATTACTAGTCTGACTAACGGCATCCTGAGAGATCATCGGGCCTTTACGATAGACGATCCTAACTGGACGCAATACTTCAACGATCAAAGTATTTCTTTCTCTGCAATGAATATGGAAATCATATATCGTCTCATGCATTCTTCACAGTGATCATGGAATCGTCCCAGTTCAAGGCCTGGACAATGGGTGGACCTCAGGCTGTCAAGAAGGCTGCACTGGCCTGACTTCGTCAGAAGGGCTGGAACGACGTACGCCCTGCGTTAGCCACCACTATTAGGTTACTACCAGTACCATTCTGCTGCAAGACATGGCCGCTTCACTGATTCTTATGAGTAGGGGTTGGATTATGCGAGGATTTATTGAGGGTCATGTACGCATGAACAACTCATCGGCGCCCGAGTTTCTTGGGCGCGCCCTGGAGGTCCTGGAGTGGGGTCGGTCTGAGTGGGCTGGAATCCCAGATGATCAACGAGGCGCAATATTTCAAGACACGTTCGTCCGCGGCGTCCGATGTCTGCGCCTTGAACGCCTTTTGATTGTAGGTTGCTGGAAGAGCTCGTAAGTTCTTACGCGCTATGAGTCTGCTGCAGGATTTTCAGGAAGGCCTCTCGAAGAGGTCGAGAGATGAGTCGATGGACAAGTTGAAGGAGATCCTTAAGGAGTCCGACTGTATCATTGAAGATGTCGTTTCGCGCCCTCTGAGGAGAGATATAGAATATGACCCAGGGTTCATCTCGTTCTTCACTATTTACCCTCGCGGCCAGGCACTGTCGTAAGTGGTCTTCACCTTTTCAGGGCGCAGACTCACGGACGTGCAGGATGAAGGGGTTCTATCACAAGCAGATGGTACTGTCAAGCACGGCCCGAAGCAAAGAAGAGGTCCATGATCACTTTCGTAACGCTGCGAAGTACCATCTCGCGGCTGCCGAAACATACCCGGAAGATGATGAGCAGCATGCTTGTAGGTCTCTTGTCCACCGTATTTTGATGACGATGACTTTATACATTGGTTACCACGTGTATGTAGGGTTCTTATACTGCGCGCTGGAGAACCTGTTCCAAGCGGGAACGCCTCTCAGGGTCACTCTTCCCATCATGAAGCGCATCACCGCCTCCATGGATAAGATGAAGCGCATATGGGAGCACTCCGCCATGGCAATGGGTGGCCGTGATACGGCTTTACAGAAGGCTATATGGATGGAAGAGGATGTTATGAAAGCTCTGAGTGAGGGTGCATACACAATGGAGGATAAAGTCATGCCGGAGCCCGATGCATGGCCCTATGGCACTCCATGGCCAACAAACTGAGAATCCAACGGTGGATGTACCAAAGATCGGTACAGGACGTCTGCAATGAATGAAAACGATCTTTCACTTATGATTGCCAGTGGCCACGTTGAGTTTGACACAAGTAATTCAAGGCTATGAGTGCTCCGTCAATGAGACGTTTGACTTGGGTTTGAGTTCCTTTCGCAGTCTGCGCCATCATGATATAGCTTGTCTATACCCATGAACACATCGCAGATGTTCGTCAGCGAGCAAATCACGGTAGCACAGTAAACACAACTCACCTCTCGGTTAAGCGGTGTCAACGGGAGGAGGGATGATGCATGGTTTGCACTCTCGACATGCAGTTCCCATTGACTGACAACAGCAGTTGTAACCACCGCTCTCCGTGCCAGGCGCCGCGGCGGCGTATCCAACTAGAGCTAAGATGGCGAGTGTGGTGCTAAGGAAGGTGCGCATTCTTTCGTAGCGTAACAGGCATAATCGTTCGACACTTGGGGACTTTATATCATCTCTGAACAAGAGACGGAGAGAGGGAGGGATTCCATGGATATACGAAACACGGTATGTATTGTTAAATCATTACACCTTGTCACTGACTGTCCACTTACGCGGAGAACGCTAGGTGGGGAGACTTCTCGAGCCACCTATCCTCCTCGGGACTACACAAATCCCACTTGACCGCTGTATCTATTCTTATCCATGTGCCCACCACGCTCGTGGTCGATGTCAGGGCGCCTTTGTGTTTCTTTGTACGGGGAGCTATGCATCGTCCGCAGCGTGTGGCGCAACACGGATCAGACTCAGGGGTACCTTTATGGAGCTTGATTGCGTTTCTGTCGCTGTAGCCTATATGGACGGACCTGTGAAGCGGAGTGTTGTCAGTCTTACCAAAATGCAAGCTCAGAGAATGATGCACACTCTTGCCATGTAACCCGCGCTTGCCGTCAATTTTGCGGCCAATACTAATTCAATGTTTGAAGTCCGGGGCCCAAAATGCTCAGTTGCGCTGAAGTTGCGAGGGGTCGAACAGTTCATTCTAAATCTAAACCAAGGAAGTGTAATTGAGCTCATCTAGAGCGTTTGCTACCGTGGTACGCAATCCCGACGTCTCCTTTCGACTGGTCTGGCGTCGCGGCTGGCACGCCCAATCAGGAACACGTTTCATGATTCATCCACTAGGAGAGCGGCGTCAGTAGATTGTGAATGGAATGACTTGATCGGCCAGACCGTGGTTTCAGTATAAAAGGCTCTTCAGAGCGAAGCATGAAGACCCAAGCAAAGCTCAGCAGCACAGCGAAGGACCTAACCATGCTCTCGACTCGCATCATCCAACTTGCCCTTCTCGCATTGGCGAGCATTGCCGTTGCTGCCCCTGCTCCGGAGCCCGCTACTACTTCATGTATACCATGTCCCACAAAGGGACCTTGCCCGGACCTGTGTTTCGTATCACCTTGAGGGCACATGTTACCTGGTGAGTTGACCTCATCTTGACTGAGCGAGAGAATACTCACAGTCGCGCTATATCCGCGCAGGGCCAACGGTCTTCGACGGTGCACATGACGATGCAACGGGCTGCGTGCGGAGACTGCACGACTTAGGAAAGTTACCAAAAAGAGGACGAAGAGGGAGGAGTGGGATTACGTGCGGCGAGCCTATACAGAGTCGAGTTTAACCTTCTGCTTCACTAGTTTAAGACCTTGCAATCCAAGACCTGGCGACTGTCATGACTGTGGTACAGTGAAATCGACGTACGAGATATCCATTAGCTGCGCCAGGATCTTGCCAAAGCAAGCTGATCTGTTGGAGATCAACGGCAAGCTGGAAGGATGGCGCAAGGTCGCTACTCACCGAGTGCTTCTCGGAATTTGCTGCGGATATCAAGATCCACAGGGAAGAATAAGGTTTGCCTCCAAGGAGTTTTCACCTAGATTAGTGGCCCATGTGCACTTCAGTATAACTTCAATCATATGGCGAAGCCACCTATAGCGGCGTGACTCGAACCTTTGGACCGAAGGTCACAACGTCCATCTGTACCGGAAGGCTCGGCGTCCATCAGCGTCTGCTACTTGTCACCTCATGATCAACATAGACAGGCGATGATATCGCTCACAAGAAACATAAATCAGGTTGTACTCCTCGATTATGAGTATCAGATTGCCACGCGCGTCACCCCAAAATACCCATTATGACGGAGCTCTACGCCTAGAAACGCGGTCAGAACAAACATAATACGAGAGTTCCGGGCCTAGCTACAGCCCTCGCAGTGGCCGAGGCTAAACCTTACGTCCCTGCCGAATGCACTTGGCAATCCGGAAAAGAGGTGTGTCCGTGATGATGGTACGTCTGAAGTAATTCACCTAGTCGTCTCGGGATTAACATGGTTTCGCAGACAAAGACGGAGTGCTCGGAGGCGTTAGCTATCGTTAGAGCAGATGAATTGCTGACGATAGGGGAACAACTCACTCGCAATATGCGCTCGATGGGATTAGACGACGAAGCGAAGCTGCTAACGGTTTTCTTCCGTCGTTCACCATACGCGTATTGCTCGGACTTGAAGGAACTGAACGAAACCTCTCATAACTTCACCGCATAGTCACCACGAACCCGGGAAGTCCGGCTGAGGCACACGGGCGAAGAGTAGATATCGGTTGCCTGCCGCCTTCTCTTGGAGTGGCGACAGTCTGAACGATATCAGCGCTGAGCATTCAGACACGACAGGTGGCGACCGATACCGACGGGTCGGCGTGATGAAACGTCTGGGATGCTTCGTCTATCATCTGTCAGAAGTCAGGCATACTTCGAGTTGTATGAAGGCCATTGACTTACTACTACTTTGACCGCTGGCACATCAGATTTGGCCGGTCGCAAGACCTAAGAATGACTCGCGGACCCGAGTTCCGGTTTCGTGGGATTGATATAGAGGCTCATACAGTCAAAGTGTAGGAAGAGAAGCGCAACGGCAGTCAACCATAGTGTTGTAACGACTTCAAAACTCAGCAGGCATCGGTCCCAGCAACGAGCTGGTTCGCTATATGTAAGGGTGTCAAATCACAAAAGCTCGCCTGTATGCTGTGGGCGTCAACACGACCGAGACTGACTGCGATCTGACATGATCTGTGAAGGGCACCGGCCGCGAACCGTCAGTATATATATACCGTGGAATGAGAGGAAGCGGATTTACGACGAAGACGCCCACACGTGTCGGTTTGACATCTACGAGAACAAGCCTGCGTTGATCCACGAACTTCGGAAGTGCACGTACGAAGGGATCCAAGAGCATGTCTGGGTGCGTGCACCGGGCTCTGAGTTACGCGGCGCATCCTGTGATACCTTCCACTGAGCTGAATGCGAGCAATACCCGCAGGAACAACCTTAGCATTCAGCCACAATCTACACGTTGCAATGCAGACCGTATCTATCCTACCCCGAATAGGCAGGTGTCCTGCCCGAACTGGATAGGAGAGCTGATGAGAACCGCCGCTGGTGGCGTCGAGCTGGTTTTAGCTCTCTGTCAATGGGCTGATATAGCTCAAGGCAACGCGGCGCTGCGAGTCGGATGATGCTGATCACATGGAGATGATGCTCTGGAGTTTGCCCGCCTGACTTGCGCCCAAAATGACCTCCGAACTTCCCAGCTCATGACTAAAGGCAAAATGAGAAGCCCGAAGAATGCTACGTACGTATGTGAATCATGATACCTCCCGGTGTCGACGACTTCGTAAGTTTTCTGCTGTACGACAGGGCGTGGACGCATGAAATACGGGATTTCAGCTATCGCATACCATAGTCATGCTATCGACGTAAGACAAGCCGCAGAGAACGGGCATGCGTTGTGGGCCCGCGGCTATGCGCTCCTGGGCGTTCAGTATGAAATTCGAAGAGAAAGGAGAAGACGTAGCAGGAACAAGGTTTCGGCGTCAGTAGTCCCAAATTTGGAGTGCACCTCCATCAATCCCGGTTCATCAGGCGCGTAGAATCCCTTTTCTGGGATGCTGGAAATCGCAGCACGGACACAGTGCGGACGTTCGTTCGGGTTTTCAGGCCTCACAGAGGGAATACAGCCGATACGTTTGTTGGTAAAGACTTGTAAAGTACACATCTATAGTTGTTGTTATCGTTGTTGCGCAAGCCAAGAAGTTGCAGGGTCAGAATTGCGGCGAAAGGTACTGACATAGCCTGAGACGTCGACGGATTGGGAAGCAATCAATCCGCCGGAAAGAACCTACAGGAGGGGTCCACCGCTTCCCAGCCAACCACCAACTCACAGCCAGCGCATACATCGGCGCGACATTCGCAACCCGTCGTTCCCCGCAAAAAATGAGTCGTCGAGGTGCACAACCTCAGTCTGTGGCCAGCACGTCGTCGTCGGCACCGACGACGATGGGGCCGCCGCCTGATAGAGACGTCGTCATGGGACCGCCGCCAGTGCCGCCGCAGATGACCGTCAATCTGACACCGACGCCAAAGCCCAACGAGCAAGAGGTGGTCGCGAAATACAGCAGTCTTAAGCGAAAGTACTTCGATCTTGAAGAGGTGAGTGTTTTCATGTTAAGCGCCCGTGGGTATATTCATACCGTCTCTATTCGAAAAGAAATACAAAGAGGCTACGGCAGAATTACAACGCTCGGGAGAGAGGAATGTGCGACTCGGGCAGGAGCGACGGTAAGCTCTTGATTCTGAAGACATGTCGCAGTATCTGAGTGCTGCACAGCATTCTCCTCGACCGTATCATCGAGCTCGAAGCCCTAACCAAAGGCCCCATCCCCTCCCCATCCCATGCGCATGGGCCCGGCCCATTTCCGTCCAGCTCTGCCTTTCCGCGCTCGCTCCTCAACCACGCCGGGCGCAACCACTTCGTCGCGAACCTCCGCCAGGCAGGGCACGAGATCGAGCACGAGGATCCCAGCATCGACCCGGTCTTCACCAGCAGACACGTCGGCCCTCAGGGCCGCAAACGCGAGGAGGAGCGCGACCGGCGGCTCCGCGAGGCGATCATGAGGGAGAGCCATCGCGCAATGATGCAGGGGTCGGACGAGAGCGCACGGAAGGGCGTGAAGAGAGCGCGAGGTGGCAAAGCGAGGGACGTCGCGGGGGGCTCTGCGGGGGAGGGCACACCCCCTGTGCTCGTGTCGAGTGGGGGCACGCGACTGAGGCTGAAGCCGCCTGCGCCGCCCTCTGAGCCCGGAATGAGCCCGCGCCACGGGCATCCATCCCCCATGCAGCATCCCACCTCAGCCCACTTTCACCAGCCGAGCCAGCCTCCGATGATTTCCCCTCACCAAGGGCGCCCTGACATGCGCCACGAACAGCAGCACTACACGTACCCCCCTCCCGGCTCGCCCCACGACGAGCGGGAGATGCATCACCATTCGCCCTCCGCTGGGTCCTTTCGTCCCCGGTCGCCACAGTCGTACTTTCACCACCCTGGACAACCCCAGCACGCTCCGTCGAATGGGCACGGGCACGGACATGTCCACTCTCCCCCGCTCCCGGTCGCCTTGCCCCGCGCGGAGCGCACGTCAAAGCCAAAGAGGTTGAAGGCGCATACGGTGGCGTCGAAAGTGTACAACATCCCCACTATACCGCGGGATAGGAAGGGGAAGCCGATCTTGCCGCTGAATGTCGGCATCATGGTTGTGCTGTCCCTCGGGGAGGTCTGTATGAGAGAACATTTCCATAATGAGAGGTATATCTACCCGGTTGGGTATGTCGTGCAAAGGTGCGTATATCGCCTTGGGGCAGGCGTGCGTGTGATCCGGGCTGACGCGTCTCAGGCGCTATCTCTCGATGATAGACCCGCACAAGGAGGTGAACTACACCTGCTCCATCCTCGACGGCGGCGACGGCCCCAAGTTCCAAGTCGTGCCGGACGACCAGCCGGGACACGCTATCATCTCCGGGACCGCTACTGGCGCGTGGGCCACCGTCGTCAAGCAAGCGAACCTTATTCGCGATCGGCAGCATAGCAATAGCGTCTCTGGCCCGGACTTCTTCGGGATGACCCAGCACTCCATCAAGCACTTGATTCAGGAGCTGCCCGGCGCGGACATGCTGAGAGACTATGTGTGGCAGCACTTTGTCGAGGGAGGGTGAGTAGGGTGATCTCGTGTTATCATTCGGTCGCGCGCTCCGTTATGCTGTGTTTCTGCGCTTTGAACGTCTTCTGTGGTTCCAAAATAGCTTGTGGCTCTGACCATCTGATATTGATTTCTGGCACTGGGACGTATCTTCTCATCTCATCTTTCTTCTACGTTGTGTTGCGGTCTTTGTTGATGATCCCCTTGTTTGTTGTCACTAAAGTAGACCGCTCGGAGGCAGACACGCAGCTGTGATCCCCGCATACCCCGACGAGCAAGAGGGCAGCCAGTCCGGGTACCCTGTGGGCGAAGCGTACCCGCCCAATCAAGAACGAGAGATGTATATGCGCGAAAGCAGCAGGCCGGCGACCCAGTTCGAAGACGACCTGTTTGCGTCACTTCCATCGCAGCCGTCGTCCCGATCGCAGCCGCCGTTGAACATACGTGTGGAATATCCCGAGGGGTCGCGACCGCCGTCGATGTCCGGGAGGGACAGGAGTCGGAGGAGGAGCTCGCGTGCGAGCGAGCAACTTGGGAACGGACACGGACATGGGCACCCAGAAGAACTCGTCCCGCCGTCCCCTATGCACCGCTCGGGGAGTCACAGGAGCTCGCACTCGCCCGTCATGCACCGCGAGCGGGAGCGTGAACACCACTACTCGTTGCCGCCGCCGCAGTCGCCTGCGACGAACCACCCGCCGTATCGTGCGGCGTCCGGGGGATCCAACGGGAGCTATCATCCGATGTCGACGTCGCCGCCGCCACCAGTGCCTGCTGGTTTGGCTAGCATCATGAATCCTGTCGGTGCTTCGAGGCTGTCCGGTTCCCCGCCGTCCGACTCTGACTATCGACGAAGCGGGAATGGGAGCAATGGACATTCGTGACCATTACTGTGAAGAAGACCTGTGTATAGTGTAAAATGCAAGTCTCGATACTGGTCACCTCAAGCTGCGCTGTGGCTCTCGTGAAGGCCCCTCTTGGTCCGTCGTCTCTATCATATGAAACCCTCCTCGGCAACGGGATCGACTGAAGTTTGCTTGCCGTCTCTGGGTACTCTATCGATTTTCTTAGGGGACAACTGTTGCGCTGGTTTGTCCGATGTTGTATCGTTACTCCCTGCTCTGGTGTGTTAGCGTGAGGTCTGCACCCACGTCTGGCTCATAAATGTCGAGATCGTCTCTTATGTCGATGCTAGCTTCCTTTGTGATGTCTGCGAGCTGCTGCTATGTATAGCGAGTGCGCGTTTGCCTTCATCCTGTTCTTCCAGCGGCGCTCCTTTTGTTTGGGGCTTCTTCACCGCTGGAAAGAGCAGGGTCCAGCTGTGTTGACTGCGTCCCCTAGGGAGCGTCAGCCGCTGACACCCCTATGATGGGTGCGAAGGCGATATTGAAAGTGATCAACGAGTGGTTTTATGTTGATAGCCTCTGTGGGGACTCCTGCCGTGGCGAGGATAGTGCTGGCCTGGGGTAGTATATGGGGCTGACATTTATACAAGTGATCACTCGCATGCAGTTTACATATAGCTACCTCACAAACTAGCGATCGAGCCAATGAACTGATGGTTACTATTGTGTGCACGTGTAAGAATTTCTCCTCGATCCGAGCGTCTGCATAGGCCGTTGCGAGTATACTAACCGTCAGACGCTACTCAACGAGTGGAAGTGTGGCGGCGCGGTGAGTACACTCTCTTGGGATACGTATGGTCTGACAGTACCGTCTTATAGTGCAACACAACGCTATAGCTGCTCAACGCCGTAAGTCTCCTTCCACCGATGCCACCGCGTATACCCTCTTGGTTATACTCCGAGTCTCAGCCGATCGACCCTGCTTACGGGCATATAATCACAGAGATTCATGTCAAAGTACATGTGAAGCGTGCCATTCTGCGTCCCCAGTTCATTACGATTGGAGCAGATCACAGGGGCTTACCCGTCAAGTGCTCGAGAGCGCAAGCAAAACCGCCAGCCAGTCTGTAATCTTGTACCGAGGGAAAACTGAGGTGACAGTCGTAATGGGCAGAGCAGGAAGGTCTGCCCTGTCCAGAGTTATTCCTTCCGTCCTGATCGTGCAATGACATGATGACCCACCGGTACACTTTTGCTAGGATCATACGGGCCGTCCAGTCACAGGCTCACAATATGTGAGATGGCGACCTTACTAAGCTTGTGCTCCGTATTTCCGCATACCCGGGGACAGGGGTCCAAGGTAAACTGTTTTCGACTAAAGGGAATCAAGTACACAGTTAACCTGACATTCCTGCACAAGGGCCGTGGGTAAGCTGCCATCATATCTGGATCACAGTCAATTCCCAGCTTACCGTCTACTATCGACGTGTTGTCAGTGAACGTTCGATTTAGCGAATTCCACTGGGATATACGGAGATGCATGCTGCCACTTATTTATTACCGGGCCTAGAGTGCCTCAGGCTGGATTACGATTACTGAACGATTGCTTATCTCATCGAGGAGGTAACCACCCCCATCGGTACGGTAGACACGCGCCCATAAAGCACATATATCCTCCGGCGGGACATCCACTGGAGTATCGATACCTTTGCAATGCTTCATTGGACGTCCGAGACGGGGTTGCGGCTCAAGCCGCATTTATCCGACTATTTCCCTGGCACCTTAATATTTTCAGACTTCAGGTGAGCGTATACCTATCAATACACCCGCGTCGTCGTCATCCCGTCCTAAACAGCCGTCCGACATCATGCTATACACTTCTCGATCGATACGGTATGACCGACGATATTACCTCCGTGGTACGTCGCATCATTAGAATGGCGGTCTTGCTCACCGGAAAGGAAGGGCGTCCGAAAGTTTTGATTACCGTCGGTTCCTGGTATGTCATATTCTGCGTAGACATTGCTGTTGCCATACGGCCACGCTTCACTCTGTAAGGTGAGTCCACTTTGATCATACACCTCACGGTCAGCGTGAACATGCTGCTGATTTCCTTGTTCTCATATCGCCCAGCATATAGGGACATCCTTGCGACAGAGAGCAACCGTTCATCCGAGCTACAGCCATTCGGTATAGTGATGCATGATCGTCGCCTCCCAAATGCGCTACCATGCGTGTCTACCCAAGCTCGAAGGCGAATCTAGAGTGAGTCCACGCTCACCCGCGAGCGGGCTGGACTAGGCGGGTCCCTGGCCCTGGCAAATCAAGGGAAGGGAAGCGTGCTGTGATAGGCTGCCAGCAGAAACAAGGCCTACCCTATCGTCATCTATCAGGGCCTTCTGCTCGGGCGTTATTGCTCGTCGACAGCCCAGACCGCGAAGCTGAGTGCGTAACGCTGGAGGGTTCTCACAACGTCATTCGAGATTCTGCGAGATTGTTCGCTCGCTATGGACTAACACATTTTGAAAACTGAAATCCGGCCATGCTTGGATCAACATATGCGCGCTGATTATCGTCTCTCATCTCGCAGCACATCCTGTAGACAATTGCAAGTCTCCCCCAAATCATGGCAACGCGCGGGATCACTATCACGGCGGCCCCACCATTAGTACTGGCCGCGTATCATCAGCTAAAGTCGGACTAGCTACCAAAAGGCGAGGTTTGTCCGGGACTGGACCAGCCTTGGACCCCGCAGAACACCCCATTTCGCGACTCGCCCCTACACGCTCATGCCACGATTCGGGTGCCCGTCATGCTATGCTATGTCAGGGAGATGGATGCGCAGATAAGTCGTTCCGTGAGATAGACGAATCGGGCACTCATCGTTCTTAAGGTTACTTGCACAGTGTCCTGCAAGGATAGGCTCGCACATGCGCGCTTGTAACGACGGACGTCCCTGTTCCGAGCTGCCCCAGCGCGTCCGGTGTTCCCTCTATTCTCAGCTCGGTGAGCGAGTGACGTGCCTCTCTTCGCGCGCGACATGGGTCTTCTAGCACGCTCGGGCACGGGATGATATCACAGGCAGACCGCGACTTCTTTCTTGATTCGATTTCCCAAGCATTGGTGATCGCGGCTGCGTCTGTTCGCTACTTTCACCCCGGGCTCGGATGTTTCCCGTGCGCCTTCTTTGGCGCGCGACGATCCTCCGCTACACCGACAGTGGGAGAGCACAGCAAGTCACCGGAACAGCGAAAGCACTAGCTCAGTCTCAGGTGAAGAAGATTTCGTGCCGAGCGCCCTCTTCGAAGTGCGCCGATCCACCGCGGCTCGTCGTCACAGGGATTCGGATTCGTAGGTTCGGCGGGACATGGATGAGAACGTCCGTCGCCTCTTCCAGTGTGCGTAGATCCAACTTTCACGGTTAACTACATAGCGTCCATGATGTAGCACGCAGGCTAATGAAACTTCTGTTCTCGTATCGAATCGCGGATGAACGAGGACCTGCGTGCGTAGCCAGATCGTGCTGGGTGATCCTAGGTATGATCAGCACTGAGCGAATTCGAGTAAATCGTTGTTGTCAACTTCCAGCCGAACAAAGTAGTGGAAATGATCACCCTTCAGCTTAGCCTGAGGCTCTTGATACACTGGCAGCAGCACCAGAGACTCTTTCGAGGATCTTAGATCGTCAGCCATATACTTGTAATGTAACAAATTGGAAGATGCGTTGCTCATGAGGAGGACAAGAGGAGAGAACGAGAATCCCAAACAGTCGAAGTCCCAGTAGACAGAAATGACAAGAAAGACATGAAATCCGCTTGATACATACATTCATATGCAGGAGTTACGGTACGAAGAGAGTTGATCGGATGATGGTAGATATGTGCGATGCATGCGTGCGCGTGTAGATGGGAGAGGAGAACAAGACAGGAAGAAACGAGACGGGACCGGCGGGCGTACTTAGTACTCAGTATAGGCTACAACAGAGATATCGAGGTCAAGAGAAACAAAATCAAGAAAAAAAGGACAAAAGAAAAAGACAAGGGAATCCAAAATCCAAGACACAGCACTAATACTGTACATCTTCTATCCCCCTTTCACCCTCGCACCCGGTGGCCCGCGCGTATATCGTATATACAATGCAGCTCGCGTCTAGGGTAGTAGTGGTCTATGGTCCGCGGGGGTGGTGGTGGTGTTGGTGGAGGCTGGCGGCTATGAGATGGGCTTGTAGTAGATCGTGGTGAGGTACTGTAAACCGCGGAAGAGACGCGTGTCGATCAGCATATCGCTCATTTGGCGCTTTAAACAATGGCATAGGAAAGTGGGCGTCAATCCCCGCCGCACACGAGCCAGCAAAAGGGGAGAAGGGGGTCGGCGAGGAAAGAAGGTAGAAAGGGGGGAGGAAGGAGGAAAGAAGAAACAAGACGCACATTACTCACCTTCCGCTTGTACCGGATGGTCGTGCCGACCGCGAGGACGCCGTTCTTGATCGCGCTCGTGCTGAGGTGCTGGAGGACGACGTGGCTCGGGACGGGGAGCACGCTCGCGTCGTCCGCGAGCCCGGGCCCGTCGAGCGCGAGCTCCCTATTGCCCTCCCTTTCCCGCTCCCTCTCCTTTTCCCGCTCCCGCTCCTTCTCCCTTGTCAGATCCGTCCCGCTCGCCGTGGTGATCGGGATCGGCACCGGCTGGCGGGCGCGCCCCGCGCCCTTGCGGCGCTCGTCCTTGGCGTCGGCGCCGGGGCGCGCGTTGAGGATGAGCTTGTCGAGGAAGCGCGGGAGGACGGGCGCGGGCGGGATGTTCGGCGCGGGCGTGGGGTGCGCGTGGCGCGCGGGGTCGCTCTGCGCGGCGAGGTACGCCTCCTCCTCGCGCGCGGCGGCGACGAGGGCCTCGGGCACGTCCTGCGTCCACGTCTCGGTGTCGCTGGGCGCGGCGTCGGGGCGCTCGGTGCGCTCCGAGTCGGACCAGAAGGACGGGGGCCGCGAGCGCGGGGAGGAGGAGGAGGGGAGGAGGGGGACGGCGACGTAGTTGGCGAGCGTGCCGTCGTCGGCGACGGCGGTGGGGAGGTCGTCGGCGGTCAGGGTTGTGCCGTCGACGATGAATTTGAGGTGGTGCGTCCCGCGGGGGAGGGGGACGGTTGCGGAGAATGTGCCGTCGGGTCTGGAAGTTAGGTGAAGTCAGACATCCTAAGTCAGTGATCCGGTGTGTAGAGACGCGAATACGCACTCTTTGTCCATGGGCTGGCGGCCCTCCCAGTTGTCGTCGCCGGCGCGGATGAGGAAGACCTCGTTGCCGCCGCCACGCCAGGTGATGCGGAAGGGGACGGGCTCGGCGGCGTCGAGGCTGGTCTTGCGGCGGGCGGGAGACGAGGGCCCCGGCTGCTCGTCGTCGTCGTCGAAGAGATAGCGCGTGCGCTCCTCGTCGGCCTTGCCGAGCGCGATGGGGATCGTCGAGTAGACGGTCTCCTGGACAAAGTCGGGCTGCTGGTGGTGCGGCGGCGGCGGCGGCGGGGGTGCGGCGGCGTGGTAGGAGGGGGCGCGGCGGGAGGCGATGGAGCGCGAGGAGGGGTACGGGGGGCGGTAGTAGGGGTTGCCGCCCTTGGGCCGCTGGTTGGGCGGGTAGATGGGGATGTGGGTGGAGGCGTGCTGGACGAGGACGTCGGGCATGGCGGCGGCGGCGGCGGGGAGGTCGTCGGAGGTGAGCTGGTGGCGGTGGGGGGTGTACGGCTGGGCGGGGTCGTGGTAGCCTGCGCCCTGGGCGGGGTTCGGGGTGGCGGGGATGGGGATCGGCGCGATGCGGCGGTGCGGGGCGGCGGCGGCGGCGGAGGCGGAGGCGGGAGTGAGCGAGAGCGAGGCGAGGTCGGGGAGCTCGAGCGACTTTTTCTTGGTGCGGAGGGAGCGGTGGGGGAGCGGGGACGGCGGCGGGCCCGGCTGCTGCTGCTGGGCGGCGCGGCGGGCGGGGGAGTCGTGCCGGGCGGGGCGGGCGTGGGCTGCTTGGTTGGAGGATGTGTTGCCCATGGCTGGGAGCGAGCGGCGAGCTATATACTGGCCAGTCGAGGGGGCCCGCTTCGGATGAGCAGCGCTTGCGTCTATGGATAGACTCGCGACCTGCCCTCTGTTGGGCCCTGTTTGGCGCACCTTACGTATTACGTATTACCCCCGCCTTCCTCTTTTGGGCCCCCTCCCCGGTCGCCAGCCTGCTCGTTCAGCCCGCTGCGCGCTGCACTCGACCCCAAATCTGACCGGGCCATCCCACCAACAGCCCCCGCCGCCGGGCCCGCCCTGCCTATCCGGGCGCCGCGCCGTCGCCCCGGGCCCCTGCACCTATCTGGGCGATCATCCCAGCCCGCGTCCCACGGCGCACGACGGCCCTCCCCGCACTCGTCATCCGGGTTATCGCCAGTTACCCCCGTCCATCTATGAAATGCCCCCGGCGCGCCTTACGTCGCTCGAGCAGCCGTCCACACGCGTGCGGGTCAACCGTGGCAGAACTGCCGACGGACGGGCCCTGGCTTCGCTCTTAGTGTTTGCGCGGCGAAGCGTCACTCGGCGTAAACGCAAACCCAGATCTCCCTGGCTTAGCTAGTCCCAGCACCGTGCGCGGTCCCCTGACCCCTCGTACGTATTCCCCCTTCTCCTCCCACACAATTTTCCCCTCGCATACACTCTCCCCTTTGTCCGATCATGTGCAATCTAATCAGATTCCCTCTCACGCGTCGTGTCCGCCTCGAAAATACTGCGCTGCCCAATGCTCAGACCCTTGCCCCGCCCCCCGCCACCATCAGATCTAACCAGCTATAACCTCACAACAAGGTTTTGAGTTCCGACAGCATATCCGCATGTACATAGCCCCGCTGGCATATGGACGCGCGCACGTCCACATCGCCATCATTCTCCAGTGATACCGAACAAGCTTCAGCCCGTCCTGGGACGTCGACGGCTCCGCAGTTAACGTTAGCTTTCTAGGTATAGGCAGGAAAGGCACACGAATGAGTTGCCCTTGAGTCTTTGTGCTGTTCGTAGCATCTAGTTGACGCGCATATACCCAGGTCCTGATGCCAACATGAATATCCCACAGTTTACCTGTTTCTAGGTGCAGTATTCGCTGCCAGCCCGCCCGGAATAACTACGAGGAGGTTAGGTTTGCCACTCCCAGCGGGCTCGGACCACGATCCTGATCACCGCCTCAGAGTCCGACTCCACTCCGATCGGCTCCCGGATCTGATCCCGCCTGTGTTCTCCACCAGAACGAGGATACGGTCGGGCGTCGGGGCGCGCGAAGTTTCTCATTGTCTACGCCCCGGAAGGCGAGGACGAATCCGTGCCGGGTGGTAGGCGCAAGCATGAAGTCGCCCTCGTCGAACTCGAACGCGAGCAACCGCTGCACACAAGTACGAATTCAGACGAGAGACACCGTGGCGAACTCGAGAACCGGGGGAATCCGAACGGGGAAGAAACCCCTGACCTCGCGTCCTTCCGCTCACTTAACCTCCGGGGTATGGAGCGCCCCCTCCTTCTAGCGGCGAAATGTGACCTGCAGCAGCAAACCGGTCCACCAACCCGATTCCTGTGCGCACTCGGGCTCGTGTTTATCTCGAATGGCTTCGCGCCCCACCGCGCTCCACACCACGGGCGGGTAGGGCAGGACAGGGTACAGCGGGCTTGAGTGGTAGATTCCCCTCCAATCCCCAATCCCCGCTACCCCGCTCTGCCCCTCGCCGGGCTCTTGGAATTCTGCGGGATATGCGCCGTCCCAGTTGGTCCCCCCATCTCTGCCACGACGCGGGCGGGCCGGCTTGGATGGGGTGTATTTCCGCGGCGAAGGTTGTTTTGGTGACTAGCTAACAGCTACGGACTCTTTCTGTGTGAATGGCGTCCGTTACGGGGGGGACGGCCTGGGCTCGCAGGAGGGGGTGGGTATCGGTGTCTTTGTCCCGATGGCGGCGTTCATCTGGACGAGGAGACCGGACTGCTATCCTCTAATTTTGTTTTGGGGGGGGAGGGGGATCGCTATCCTGGATGTACAGCGCTCCGCCGTTACTGGAAGTGCGCGGGAAGGTGCTGTAACTCGGGAATCGCTCGTCTGGGCCTTTCGTCAAGCCCGGTGGGTGGGTGGGTGTGCGTGTGCTCCCTCTCTCAAAGCAGAGCAAAGTTATCCGCGACGCTACATTTCGTCGCGCACCGCCGCCGTCCTCCTGGCAACCCTCCCCACCCACCCCACCGCGGGGGCTAATTCAACTCTATCATACCCCCGCGACGAGGGCGGACGGGTCTAGACTGCCTCGATGTGCGGAAAGCGGGGAAGGTGAGTGCATATCGGTGCGAATGCTATTGGTGGAGATGAGTGATAGGGTTAAGGTGGTATCCGACGTTACGATGCGAGTATATTCGGTTCCTGGACGGAGGCTATCGCGATAGCATCGGCCGCGGGGCGGGATGGGTTGGGTGGCATACTGGCATACCAGAGAAACAGGAGGTGAGCTCGGGTTCGTTACCTGCTCGCGAGTTGTCTATGTAACTCGAATCACACTCGTAGCCTAAGCTACATATGACCTGGTGTATCTCGCACGCCTGGTTATTCCCTCCGCATCCGCGCTTGGAAGCTCTTCCACCTCACCCGGCGTCGTCCTCGAAACGACCACCTGACACCTACCCCAGGTAGAGTGCTTCCGTCGATCGGGGGGCGTACCCTGCGGAATTGGCGCGGATACGCGAATCCAACCTGTCGGTTGTCCTCTCGTAGGCAGGTGGCCCTAATTCTCTCCGTGCTCCCTACCCGAGCCCGTCGATCGGGCGTGCGGCCTGGGCCTGCGCGCAAATCCAACCGCTCGGTGTCGTTTCCTCGCTCCCTCGCTTCTTTGGCAGCAGCCCGGAAGGGAGGTGCTGGTGCCGGACGAGGCGCCCGCCTCCAAGCCGTCGAATACCCCAGTCGCGGTGTTAGTTGCACGGCAAGGACGCGGGCGGACGGACGGACGTAAGCCTCGGAATGTGTCGCGGGATTAGAAGGTTATACCAGTAAGCTCTGGTTCTCTGCGTTGGGGGATGATGTTGTTCGTCTTTGCTCACCTGCGGCTTATTAGACGTGTATGACCTTCAATAAGGAAACACCCCGTGCCCGCCTCACTGATTCTGGCATCTGTTCGTCTAAATCTGGATGTATAGTACGTCCTCCCGCTTCCCGCCTCCGAAGACCTAACCCCACGCGCCTATCAGCAGGGGCCTAGGCTTAAGAACGCGCTTGCATCCCTACGACGTACGATGCATCTCGGTCTCATTGCGGAGCGATCGTGTTGTACATCTCGAGGTAGGTATATTTGTTGGCCTATGGGAGGGGCAGCGTGGGTAACCTCGCTGCTTCTCTCAGTAGTGCCTTATACCAGATGCTGCTGTCCGACAAGGGAAGGCACCCGCGAATGTCTCGTGTCTCCTCGTCAGATACCCCAAACACGGCCTTAGTTGTACGGAGGGACGGGTTGTGGACGTAAGTCTCTTATCTCCTATTCCACTTATACGATCTTCAGATCAATCATCCGTTTTCTTCTCGTAGGAAAGAGGCCTTGGACTGTCCATCCCGGTGAAAGGCCCCGCTCATGTGTAGGTACGACGAGTCTCCACCGAGGGTATGGGCGTCCGACCGGATGCGTTGACAGTGCTTCCGCTTCTGCTCATCGATCGCGCCTCTGCTTCCCGCCGGACGTAAACGCGCTACGGGCGACCCTTGCGGTGCACGTTCCCGGGCTTCTCTCACCTGCCCACCTAGAGCCTGATTAAATCGAAGAACGCGATTCGACGGCGCGGAATGTGGCAAGGGGTTGTTACTACTGATCACGCTCTTGCATCGTTAATCTTCGTTAGCGGTCCAGCGCAGAGTCAAGCATGGGAGATGAGTTTTATTCACGCGAGACGGTGAAGCTGACGTTTGGCCCACTTTGGAGGTTTGCTTGTCTTCTTGCCAATCATAACTGCTGAATTCCCCGTATTTTTCCCATCTAGGACTCCGTGAGCCATAAAGGGGTGGATAGCAAACACTAGGCAAGTGTCCAGCTAACTCGTATGGAAGGCGTATCTGCGGATCTGGGACAAGGGAAAGATCCCGACGGCTGCCCTATCTCTCCGTCTCCCCGGGAGGACGAGCTTCTATGTGTCGGCGGCCTTAGTCTTCTTATGATCAGGCCAGCCCAGACCTGGGCTCGTGTTGTGAGTCCCGCGAGGTACGAGGTATAATCTAATTTGACTGGTCCGCGGGATCCAGTGGGCGGACTATCTGATCTCTGTAACAGAGCCTGTCGTATATGCTTCTTCTATAGTCCTGTCATTTTTGAAATATAATCCCGAGATCAAGGGTCTGTGCCATTGAACAAAATATCTCGCTGTGCACAAGTACGCAGGTAAAGGAGAGTCCCGTAGCCGACAAATGGTCCCTATCTGGGGTGCATCCTCATAACTTCCGACATACTCACTGCCTAACCTTCCACAGCGTTTTACTCTTCCCCATCTGGCGAGTTTCAGTACCTGAGGACCGATATCAATCCGACCATCTCAGCAGCAGCTAGCATGGAGTCCGCGGCATGTCGTGCTCCACGACTGTCGACGTCTTCCCGCTGTGGGGATACTTAGGGTTTCGGCTGCTCGGTTTCAGAAGGGTCACAGAATGTCGCGATATTGCCTCGTGCAAGATAGCCCAAGTGAGGTGTTTTAATAACGTGAGGACAGCAGACGAGGAGAGCATTCCACGAATTGTCGTCCGTAAACACTTGGCACTAAAGTTAGCGATCCAATAATATACCACAGCCAGTTAACTGTTTGGAAAGAGATAACGCACCCACTACGCGTGAAGCAAACTGAGCATTCACGGGCCTTGCACGTTCACACCGGTCCAATCCCGGTGCCTGAGTAACCAAGAGCGGGACGTCATACCTATCCTGATACACCGAGAACAAAACGAAGCCAAGGATAGCATAAAAGGTGCCGTAGAGATGTCAGAGCGGGATGCGGATGGTCACGACCACTGACCTCCACGGTTAGACTTGTTGGTATGAGAACGTCGGACGTCACATCCATCAGGATCTATAAGAACGAGGGTCGTTGGTTAAAGCCGCCTGGTTCTCCCGCCATATGGGAAGAGCCTGGACTCACCTCGTGTACGCAGACTTATGAACCATGTATCGACTATTGCAGAGCGTTGTGATCTCTTGGAGAACCCGTAGGAAGAACGTGTTCAGGTAAACGTACGCCAGGCGAGTACTTGAATCGGCCAAAAGAGCAGCGAATTATCGATCACTGTTCTGAGCAAGTGGTCAAAGAGTGGCCTATTGATTGGTTACTTGCCGGGCTAAGTGACATCACAGTGACGGATGGGGGAAGAAGAGAGCGCTGGTGTCCCGCTGTTTCTTTAATTACGCCGAGGGGCGACGGATTCTGTAAGCCAGGGACCAGCCTAGATCTTGAGACCGAGTGTAAGGAAGTGGGAGATAGGCTTTTTGGCGGAAGAGACGCTTCCGCATGTGGTGCGATATAGAAAGGTTGGGACGAGCAGGCAATCGAAATATATGACCGATGGGTTAGCTGAAATTCTCAGTTTGAACAGCAGCATGGTATCTGACCGTTCAGAGTATGTAGGTGTCTGCTTGTTGGGGGAGCATAGACCTGTGGGGATGTAACGACTAATAGATCATGTCGTCGGCCGCCATGTTCAAAAGCTACGCGAGTGGATATAGAATCCCACCAGTTGTCCATATGAAGAAGCGATACATCCCGATAATCAAGGCAGATTCGTGGGTCAAAGGCGGCCAACATTGCCAGATATCGGAGAAGGACAGACGACACGCCTGTCCGCGCTAGTCAGCAATCTAACCTGGAACGGTACCTCTAATGACGCATAGTGAGAAGCTCACCGTTCAGCCTGGGCAACCATGTGGAGTCTGGACTGTCGAGAAGTAAGAATTCCCCGAGCGGAAGGGCGAGATAGACGGGCGATAAGCATATATCTGTATTTATCAGCCTATGGTGGATGGACAACCTCCCGACATCCAGGTACCTGGGAACAGTCGAGCCAGTCCCCAGTCCTTGCCGCCTCAGTCTAGATTCCTCCTCGACGGTTCACGAGGGTTCTTGATCTATGAGCGATTTCGGAAAGTCGACGATCATCGAACTTCGCATGGGAGATGTCGTCACTCGCAGGGCAGTGGCTGACTTCGTGGGCGCAAAGGATATTGGCGTTAGACAGACCAAATGATCAGATCAAGGACTCGTTAAACGTCCTCAATGTGCTGGCCACTGCAGATATTGAAGTTCGAAGCACGCAGCAGGAGTGAGTATGGGGTAGTTTCAGAGACTATCGATGAGTATTGGTGTCATGTCAGAGTCTCCCACAGATGATGTCCAGCGCGTATCACAGGATCCTACATGAATGCAGGAACGATGTCTACCAGTGGGCGATCCATTCGCGGCGCAAGGGTTGTCTTTGAAATCGACAGGAGAAAGACGGTTCCAATGGCCAAAGGCATAGACATTATGCATGAATGCCGCTAGGCGGCCAAAATGACAGGAAGGCTGAAGCTAGAACACGCAGACACCAGAAGACCAGCTTCGTCAGATGCATGTGGATCTGAGGACTTACCTTCAGAGCACACCGTGAGTCATCGGAAAGCCTGTGGATAGTGGATTGTTAGAAATGGCGAGCATCTGATGGTCTTCAGACTCCAGACACCAGCAAGGACAGTCACCCGCGTAGGCCCTGACTGGGGCGCGAGCCAAGTGCAAACCTGATCCATAGATGTACCATGCCGACCTTTCCAGTACCGTATGTAGTACGTGTAGTTAGGCACTGGCAATCGATCTTGAATTCCAGAGACTACCCAGGCTCCTAAACCATCCGTCCTTAGCGTTCTCGCTCCTCGTCTACTAGGGCGCACGTGCAGTGTTATGTAATACAAATCTATTTTTAATTTATTACCGGATACAGAACGAACAAGAGGAGGAGATCCCCGAGGCTGACTAAGCGGACGGTGGCTGATGCCTTTCAGCAGCGGTCGGCGGGCGATGTAGAGAGGGTCTCGACACCTACCTCGTTGTGCTCGCTCAGAACACATATAAACGGGTGCTAGAATGGTTCAAGACCAATGCAAATACCTTTGGTATACTTCTGACGCTCAGAGGGGCTTGTCTATAGCCATTATGCCTCTTCAGCCGGATATTCAGCCATCGGTACTACTGATAACCATTGCATGAGTATACCATTCAGTCAGGACATTTTTACATTGCTATAAAGTACCCCAGGCGGTAAATCCCAAGGTAATAAGTTGTAAATGGTTGCGTGAAGGTCCGCCGACCGCTGCTGAAAGGCATCAGCCACCGTCCGCTTAGTCAGCCTCGGGGATCTCGGCGACGACATTTGTGCCAGCCGTCCTATAGCGTTCTCCTCCTCTTGTTCGTTCTGTATCCGGTAATAAATTAAAAATAGATTTGTATTACATAACACTGCACGTGCGCCCTAGTAGACGAGGAGCGATAACGCTAAGGACGGATGGTTTAGGAGCCTGGAGACTACCATGATAGTGCCTTCGCGCCGACGAACAGTTAGCAAGACCTTCCTGGACGAAGAATCTTCCGCGGAGGTTCGCACCGACGTAGTACCGCGAAATTAGGACTGCGCCGAAAGGACCAGCAGAACGCCCCACTCGAGACTTGCTGCCCGTGCTGGACATGGACCGCGGCGCAACCAGCGATCAGGATGGGGTGCGGGAACGATCTCAGTATGCTGCTAAGACTGAAGCGCTGGGATACGGTGGAAGATCGAGTTTCGGAAAGTCAACCCGCTGCCGAAAGACTCGGAGGACAAACCGTGGCAGTGGGCACTCAGGGAGTGGTAGAACGTGCCCTTCTATAGGGCTTTTGTTGCTCGTCCCCAAGTCCTTCTGGAAGTCTGGATGACTTCAGACCGATAGAACCGCTTCTGGTGCTCAAGAACCTCCCCGACCCTGTGAAGTATGTCGCCAACGCCTTGTGGGTGCGAGTCGCCCGTGTTCGGCTACGACCCGAAGGTCCTTTTCCAGCTTTTAGATACGCCTGTGTGTCACGAGGCGCCCCTCAGTATCAAGTCCCTGCACAAGTCCGATGCGCATACGTGCTTTCGAGTAATGCGAAGGAGCGCTCGTCGGTATTCTGTGCCGAGTATGATGGAGACGCAGGTGATAGAAGGAATGTGGAGGTACCTCATCCGGAGCGGCATGAGTTTCTTGACAACCACCATGCGTTTCCACCTGTATAGAGGATAGGGTGAGGTGAGGAATCGCGGCCCACTGGCAATCTTGAACGAGCGGAAATAATGGAAGTGGTGAATGTAGCCTCTTTGGTCTAGGTCGCTCGTGGTTAGGGTTACTGTGAGCCGAGAGGCTCTGTTCTTACCAGTCGAGCGGTAGCTGCTATGTATTTTCTCTTGAGGCGTTGGAACCAAACATAGAATGCTATAGCTATTTAGAGTTATCCCGAGCCATATGTATCAGGCGCCAAGCTCTGCTATGGAAAGCCGACTTGGCTGACCTTGGCTTCTTCGCAGTGGCTGAGCGTTGCCACATTCCGAGCCCTCGGAATCAGATATGAGTTACGCCCACGTCTGCCACACCACTGTTGGCAATCGTGCAAGTGCATTACAGCACATAGCACCGCCGTCTCGACATCACTGAGCCTGCTGAGTAGTCTGCCGGCGGCTGCACACAGCTCGGGACGGAACTGTGGCATTACGGAGCCACGTGCGAGAGAAGCATCGGTTGTGCATGCGTCACTGGTTCTTCCCGTTGACCTCGTTCGTCTCTCTGGCGAACGCAAGCGAGAGGGAACAAAGATAGAATCGATCACGCGTCCATGTATCACAGCCGTCTGTCAATCGCTATAAGTAGCTCTGTAGCAGTCTATAGCTCCCGCTGTATGCCCATCCTTTCCCGGCGCTCGCCTCCACTGTCTCTTACGCTCGCTCTTTCACTACATTTCCCCTGTAAGTATGTCCATGTCGACGGTGTCCACGGACGGGCCCACCGCCCCTCGCAAACCGCGGACCATCATTCTTTGCTTCGACGGCACCTCGAATCAGTACGACGGTGATGTGCGCGAGCTCAACTCTCCCTCTGTCATATTTCTCTTGAAAGTCTTGCAACGTCTAGAACACGAATGTCGTAAACTTCTTCTCTCTTCTCAAAAAGGACGACTTCGACGAGCAGCTGTGTTACTACCAGGTCAGTATCCTCTCTTGAAGGTCGTGAGAAGGAGAGAAGGGAGTGCAGAAGACAGAATGCCAGACCCGAGAAAATACCCCCCCCCCTTTGTGGATGTCAAAAGCGGAGATAGCCTCATCTTTAGCCTCTCGAGCGTCACCACTTTCACTACACCCGTACCCTAACCCCACTCCAGCCCGGCGTAGGAACGTACTTCAACCCAGGCGCCATCTCCCCGCTCTTCCAATGGGTCGCCAAAATCGCAGACGAAGCGGTCGCGTGGTACCTCAACGAGCACGTCATGGACGGCTATCGCTTCCTCATGTCCAACTACCGTGTCGGGGACAAAATATGCTTGTTCGGTGAGCATATATCCCTTTTCCTCTTGTAGTTCACTTCCTTAGCCCGCACATGCACCATCTCTCATGAATTGGGTCATATATGCGCCTCTTACCTACCTGAACACCGCATATATGGGCTACGGTTCACCCACCAGGCTTCTCCAGGGGCGCATATACCGCCCGCGCGCTCGCAGGGATGCTCCACAAAGTCGGGCTCCTACCGAAGGACAACGACGCGCAGGTCCCCTTCGCGTACAAGCTCTACTCGCGCACGGACAAGACCGGGCTCGAATTGTGCCAAGGCTTCAAGCGCATGTTCTGCCAGAACGTCCAGGTCGAGTTCGTCGGAGTTTGGTGAGTGCCTGTGGAATCCATGGCAAAGAGGGTCGTTGACGTAGGATGTATGCAGGGATACGGTTGCGAGTGTGGGGGTAATCATGGGCAAGACCCTGCCCTTCACGACGTCGAATACGACTATCAAGACCTTCCGGCATGCCCTGTCTCTCGACGAGGTGCGCATATACCCCACGTATGCCCTCGAGAATCTGATATAGAATCATTTGGACTAGCACCGCGCAAAATTCCGCCCAAACCTCTACCACCGCCCCGCGCCGGACGACAAAGCCGCGTCCAAAGACCCGGAGCACGCCAGCCCACCAATGAGCACCGCCGCGACCTTCGCGTCCGCCGCGAGTTTGCTGGACGGAAAGCGGACGGCCGGGGTCAAGCTCAAGAGACTGTTCTCTGCGTCGGGTAAGAAGAAGCAACAGGCGAAGGGGCAGAATGATGGGGCGGTGAAAGAAGGTGATGTGGGTGATACCGCTGAGAGGGGAGATGCGGATTCTGCCGCGAGGAAGAACGAGAGGAGCGAGGTACAGGTAAGGGAAGATGGCCCGGGAGATGCGGCATTCCTGTCGCCCGACGACCCTGCTGCGCCCGACCTGCCCAGGGCGAACAGCCAGGACGTCATCTCTGGTGGGACAGATGTCAAGGAGGTCTGGTTCTCCGGGTGTCACAGCGGTACGCTTCTCCTCCTTCACTCACTAACCTCAGGCAACTGAGCCGCATGCCAATGGAAGATGTGGGCGGCGGCGCCGTGCCCAACTCGACCGCACACAGCCTCGGGGACATCACGCTGCGCTGGATGGTTCGCGAGGTGACAATCTCGCAGTGTGGGATCCTGTTCGAGGAGGCTGCGCTGAAGAGGCTGAACATACCCGAATATGGGCTGACAGTACCCGCCATGTCCCCCGCTCCCTCTCCCGCTCCTACTATGCCTGGCGCTGGGAAGCAGGCGAAGCTGGGGGTGGATGATAAGAAAGAGGTGAAGCTGAACGTACCTACGACGTCTAATGGTGATGGGAACGGCACGGGTGGAAGTGGAAGTGGGAGTGGTAATGATGTAGGGGCTAAGCTGGACGAGATCGACGCCGTCCAGCCGATCCACGACGAGCTGGGGTGGAAGGGCAAGTGGGCGTGGTGGCTGTTGGAGATCGTACCGACGAGCTATGCGTGGCAGGATAAGGACGGGGTCTGGCACAAGACGTGGAGGTGCGTATTTCGCCTCTCCTCTCACCTCGCGCATACAAAATCACGGTGCGAGGACAAGGCTGATTTCGCTTATGTTGCATAGCATCCACTTCGGTCGCGGCAGGAACATACCCGACCCGAACCCCCAGTTCCACACTACTGTGAAGGAACGAATGGAAGGCGCACACCTGAAATACAGGCCGAGAGCGAAATGGTCCGGGACTCCAGAATATGTCCTGGATTAATTTGGCGACCGGACACGCCATGGAGTTATACCTGCATTATTGATACCTTCGCTGCACCAGAGTCACCACCAACGCCACCACCTGTACGCTGCAATATTGTTATTCACTTTCGTCAGTCATACCAGATTCCGAAGCATACTACGGTCAATGTAGTACGCTGTCATGACTAGTTACGCACGTTATGACAATCATGATTTTCTGTAATGAAGCGCGACCCAACTTACTGACAGATTGCACCTATCAGCTCCCGTCAAGTCCTACGAGGCCGAGACTTCTCCATCCCCCAACCCGCTAGAGCGACAACAGCAGCACCGACGAAGCAAGTCCCGACGTAGATGATCATCTTCTCGAAGCGCCCGCCCGCAACGCCGAATCCAGTCTGGCCATTCATAGCATCAGTTGGGTATCCCTGGGATAGGGACGTGGATATTGGGGTGGACACGATGTTTCCCAATCCACGGGACAGCATCAGCAAACCGAAGATGTACGTCGACAGGGTCGGGTCGTCCTCTGTGCATTCCGCATTATCTTGGTACTATTCTCAGAGAGTGGAGGTATGTGCACTTACTTGCGATAGGCCGGACGAACCCGGTCCACAAACTAGACCACCCTCCTGCAAGCCCGCCGTATGCCAGGCCGTAGGCGAGGAGCCCTGCCAGATTGCGCGAAAGCACGCCCCAGAGCACGAAAGTCGCCAAGGAGGTCGAGAGCAGCGTAAAGGAGCCGAGCAGCCAGGGGTCGAGTCTGTCGGAGAGGACGCCCATGGCTACACGACCACAGACTGAGCCGCCTGCGGCATGGGCGTATTGTCAGCCATGGACTCGTCAGGAGACTGATGTCAGCCTGACCATTTAGGAGTGCGATGGCTAAGGAGGATTCTGTGCTGTTGATGTGCAGCTCTGTTGCAAACGCTGGAGGGGTTGTTGAGCAAGCGGATCGCTCAGAAGAAAAGGATACGACTGACTGGGAAGCCAGATAATCGGTATGAAATACGCGAAACCCTGGATGGTATTCGCGATAAGAACGATCCAGAACACCTTATTCTTCATCCATGTCCGCTCTGTCGCACGAGAATTTGGCCCGTGCACGCGGGATTCTGGTAGACGTCCTTTGACGAATGGCAAAAGGGGAACGAGCATACATAGAATCGCTATGGAGAGGATACGGAGGGTGCTCGACGCTCCAAATTTGTTCAACAGGGGAGGCAGGATGAGGGGAAGGAGAAGGCCTCCGGCCCCAGTCCCTGGTCATAGCGTCAGAGTGTCTATGGAGCTTTAGCTAAGTGAAGAGCTATACCTGCGAACATGACCCCGTTTGCAAGTCCCCGTCGAGCGACGAACCATTCGGACATATATGATATGCAAGGGTGGTAAAGAAAAGCTGACGATATGAGATGAATGGTGAGGTCCGCGAGGGAACAATTCTATGATCTTACATCCCCCGACGGCGTACAGCACACCTTGCAGAACGACCAATTGATTAACCTGAGTGTACGGTCAAGATATTCAAGGGTATCCCCTGCTAAATTGGCTCGCCTTCGTAGCATAGCTTGCTCCGAACAGGCTAGCCCAGCATAAGAATGTGCCAAACCATAATAGGGGCCGTCGAAAGTATGGACGGCGACCGGTCAGAGTATGGATCACAGGTCCTGTATCAAAATAGAAGAAGAACCGGAGGGTTTAATTGAACACGAAAGCCCGGGAATAACAGCGTTACCTGAGCAATACATGATCCCGGAGGATAATGTGCCGACTAGGGGCAGCAGTGAAGAGGAATCCTTTTGTAAGGCATAACGAGGATCGTTGAGGTACGATGCTAGGAAGACGCCAAAAGAGTTGGGAAATCCCCATACGATGGCCTCAACGAAGAAAGCTGCCACCAGCTGCGTATCGTGACTGAAGTGAGATATTTGCTCGTCAAACTATCTAGTACGAGAACCCCTTACAAAAGACCATGCTCCGAACCCGTTGTCGATAGGAGCGAGAACAGTTCCGTTGCCATCGGTTGATCCTGATTCAGACCCCCCTGCTTCTTGATCCTCGGAGATCGTTATAGTAGACGTCGAGGCCGGGAGAGGTTGCCTTGCTGCCAATGTAACTGTCTCTACTGATGGAGGCTTCAATGTCCTGAGATTGATGAAGTCTGGCATTCTGGGAGATTCACGGGCAGTCAGACGAATTGAGACTCGCAGGGAACGAGTCAGCTGCAGGTAGGTAGCTTTACTGCGCCCCCGTGCAAACACGTACAAATATACCATATCCAGAAGAATATCACGTGATGCCGGCAAACGCGGGCTTCCCGCCGCGCGCGTGTCCGGCCAGTTAGAGTATCTTCAAGTCTGGACTAAGAGGGTCATATAGATGGAGCAAAATAATTTTTCATTGAAATCTATATAGCTGTGATACATGTGGCTGACAAGGTAAATATATAAGCCAACAGTAAGGAAAGGTAATAAACCCTAACCCTAAAAGCACAAATCAAAAAATGTGCACAGTAGGAATTGAACTTTAGACGTCCTGTGCTAAATGCATGCCGCATAACCACTACACTAAAGAAGCAATGCATGTCTTACACGTTAAAAATATATGATGGCAATGTAATTGGCGCTTACTTAATACGGCTGGGTCCAGTTATTTTTAGTGACGCGGCCGGAGGGGTCGGAGGTCACATGATATTCTTCTCCAAAAGGTAATATTTGGTCATGTTTACGCGGGGGCGCAATAGCAAAGACGCAGGTAGTGGGTTCATGCCATATTTGGTAGTCCTGGTCGGTCCGGCGAACCATGGCGCTCACGGTCATTGACACATGGGCGCCCACAACAGGACACTTAGTACTTTATTTTGCTTATCCGGTGCGCCAGACATCCAATTCTCAACGTAAGCACTCTTTCTTCCAGGACCCAGAGCTTGGCTCTATATCAGTCAAGTACGGCGAGGCCCGGATTTTTCCACAGCCCATCCAGCCAAGGCGACCACAGCCGCGCTCGCAAAGCACGTCCCGACATATACAATCATCTTCTCGAAGCGTCCCCCTGCTACATCGAACCCTGTCTTGCCATTCATGGCATTTGGAGGATACCCCCGCGAAAGGGAGGTGGATATTGGCGTAGACACGACGTTTCCGAACCCACGGGAAAACATCAGGAGACCATAGATATACGTGGACAGCGTCGGGTCATCCTCTGCGATTCGAACTGTCTTCAGCTTATGGAAAGATGTCATCCGTTATGGTGACTTACTGGCAATAGGCCGAATAAACCCGGTCCATAAACTGGACCATCCTCCGGCAAGACCCCCATATGCTATTCCGTAGGTTATCAATGCAGCGATATTGTCAGAAAGCACTCCCCAGAGGACGAATGTGGCTAGGGAAATGGAAATGCAAGTCATAGATCCAAGTACCCAGGGGTTATATCTATCCGCCAGGATGCCCAAAACAAGACGGCCGAATACGGATCCACCTGGCGTACAATATGAATCATGACGACATGGCCTCCGTAGAATACCATGCTCACCGTTAAGGAGTGCGACAGGGAGAGCGGAGTCGGTGCCATTGACTCGTAGTCCCATTGCGAAAGCTGCACCAAGTCAGAACAGAGATGGGGGATTCATAGCAAAGAACTGACTTGGCAACCAAATAATGGGGACAAAATAGGCGAATCCTTGGATAGTATTGACCGCAAGCACAAGCCAGAAGACGCGGTTCCTAGTCCATGACCAGTCCGTCAACCGAGCGTTGGGACCATGTACCCGGCTTTCCGGCAGGCGACCCTTGACGAACGGTAAAAGGGGGATGAGCATGCCCAGAATGACAATCGACAGGATGCGGAGTGTGCTTGGCGCTCCGAATCTATTCAATAGGGAAGGGAGAATGAGCGGCAGGAAAAGGCCCGCTATACTTGTTCCTAGTGGTATAATATCAGGCAACTCTCTCGCACTAACAAGTGCAGCGGGAAGATACCAGCGAACATCATCCCATTAGCAAGTCCCCTGCGAGCGACAAACCACTCTGACATATATGATATGCAAGGATGCCACAGAAGGGCTAAAAGGTGTTGGATCAATGAGGGCAGGGGTAGCTATACGACAATATACCCACATCCTCCTATGGCATAAATAACGCCCTGCAAAATAATGAGCTGATTAACCTATACGACAATCAGCCCATTGGACGCTTAGTGGTGATGCAGGCCTGCCTTGGTAGCATAACTTGCACCGAAAAGGCTCGCCCAGCAAAAAATAGCTCCAATCCACAGGAGCGGCCTGCGGTAATAGGGTCTCCGACCGGTCAATTCATGGACTACGGGTCCTGAATAGGCATGAATAATTCAGCGTGTCGCACAACATACGACAGATGACGGGATGACCTTACCCGAACAGTATATTATACCGGAGGATAGAGTGCCAACGAAGGGCAATAACGAAGAAGAATCCTTCTGTAAGTTGAAACGAGGATCGTTCAGGTACGACGCTAGGAATACTCCGGAAGAATTGGGGAATCCCCAGACGATCGCCTGGACGAAGAATGCTGCAACAAGCTAAGATACATAAGTTCCAAGTCCAGTCTGACAGTCAATCCCTTACGAATGACCACGCTCCGAAGCCTCTGTCCACTGGCGCAAGGGTGGTTCCGTTAATTGAGTTATCAGCCAGGGATTCCGAGTCGCGTCTGTCTGGCTCGGTCGCTTCATTGACGGACACGTTCACAGTGGACGTCGAGGGAGGCAAAGGCTGTCTAGCGGCCCATGTTACCGTCTCAACTGATGGCGGCTTCAACGTCTTCAGGTGATACCACTCTGGCATCTTGATATGCCTCCTACATGGACCGGCGCACCAGCATCCAAGCTGCACGTAAATAAGGTTTAAAGGGCGCCATGCGGTCCTCGGAGCGGCTTCGTACTGTACGTTCGCACTACTACAATTCACAAGTTCCAGGATTCGATAAATTACATGCACAGCGCGAGCGCCTGCTCGCGCGCTGCTCCGGACTCACATGCACACTCCTACAATAATACAGCGTTCAGGCGTGATTCATGATCTGACACAAGAGAGCGGGGATCGAAACGAAATGGCATGCTACGGGGGGAATATGAGCGACGCAACCCTATAGATAATGATTAAGCTCTAACGTAGAGTCATTGAGTCACGCGAAGCGGGAAGGACATGCAAGTGGGAAGACTCACATAGAAAGATGAAGGTGAAGATCAGATGTGGATAAAGGGAGCCAACAGCCTGTCTAGAACGTTGAGGCCCATTCTGCGAGGTTGAAGTCTGACTTCCGTGCATGGTCGATCCAAGGATGTTTCTGAACAAACCAACATCCATCAGCATTGAACCAAGCATGCACGAGAAGTCATTGACTTACCAGCAACTGCTTCGGCGTCTGTCTCGCATCCGGGTCCTTCAACAAACAGCTGTCCACAAATTCCTCTGCCATCTTCGGGAAGCGGCCCTCGGGCGTCAGCCGCGGCGCGGGCTCGTTCACGATGTGCTGCAGCAGCTCGAGGATGCTCATCGTCATTCCACCGCCCTGCAGGCTGACGCCCTTGCTCTTGCGCTTATTACGCTTGTCTTTCTCCCGCTTGCGCTCCTCGAGCGAGCGGCTCGGCGGGAGCGCGATGGACCCGGGACGCGCGGGCGAGAGCGTGCCCTCGAGGTCGGAGAGGTCGGAATCGTCTGACGAGGAGTCGGAGAAGGGGAATCTCCCGAGGGCGAGCTCGATGAGCGAGATCCCGAGGGACCAGACGTCCGACTTTACGGTGTACTGCGCGCCTTGAATACGCTCGGGCTGTATCATGGTTAATTTCGGTCTCCAGGGAGAACACGAAGCGACTCACGCTCATGTATGTTGATGTCCCGACGAACGTGTCTGCTATTGAGTTGATCAGCTCACCCGAGACGCCAAAGTCACAAATCTTGATTTGTCCTTCCGAGTTGAACAGGATATTCGACGGCTTGATATCTGGGTGGCGTCAGGACAGGGGTAAGGGCCGGTCGGAGTGTACGAACCTCGGTGGATAATTCGGTGGACATCGTAGAGATACGTGAGCCCTTCAAGTACCGCCAGCGCCACCTTAGACACGACTTCAATGTCTATGGGGCCGATCTTCTTGTATATCCCGTCAAGCGACCCTTTGTCCATAGCTTCCATGCATATGCAGATGTTGGGGTCAGACAAGAAAGCGCCGTAGAAGGAGACGATGTAGGGGCAATGACAATCATGCATAATGTGCAGTTCACGGAGAATCTGCTTCCGCACCGCTGGTTTAGCATCAATGAGGACAATCTAACAGAGTCAAATTAGGGGCCCCAATGTCACAAAGAAATCCATAGACCACCAACTTTCTTTGCCATAATGGTGCCCGTCGGTGTGTGCTCAACCAACTTCACACTGCCGCCGTTACCCTGTCCTAGCTCTCGCAGCTCCTTGAGGTCCTCATTTCGCAAATCGTACTTCTTCTTCTCATCATTCAGTTCCAAGTTAGCCAGAGTGTCCGAAAGCGCCGAATGATACGTATTCCTGTGCGAGTTGATGTTCCCCGTCGGAGGGGCTGAGGTGGCCGTCGAAGGCACCGCGAGCATGTTACCGTCACCATTCTCCACCGCGGGTGAGGCATCCGTCTTCACCTTCGGCGCCTTCAAGGTCATAGGCGGGGGCCTCTTCTTCCCTCCCGCGCCCGGCGCGGGCGCCGCACGCATAGGCATAATTGTCTCCGGTTCCGGGGCTGGTGTCTTCGACGCGCCGACGTCAAGCTGCAGCGCCTTGAAGTTGCGTTTTTTGCGGATGGGCGTCGCCATTGTTGCGGCTACCAAGCACTCCGAAACTGCAGCGACGTCGTGCGAGGGGCCGGCGTCGTCGTGGTACGGGTGGAAGCCGTGATGAAGAGATGGAGAAGGCAGCGCTAGTTTCTGTTGTCGAACTGCTTTCTACTGATGCTTACGTAATTCCATTCAAAGAGCTCTATCAAATCATGCAGGAGCTCCATGCATATGGCCAGGCTCAGCCACGAAACAATATGTCCTTGTCGAACCTGAATACGGTCGCACGGACTTAACGTCTTGTATTTCTTTTCCCTCTTATCCAATTATTCCGTCCTCTACCTGCGAAATAGTCGCTGCTTTCCCTTTCGTTATATCAAACAACTGACCTCTTGAGTAAGTCCTTTAGCTGGTCACTGATCTTTCGTTTCCCAGTGGTTTCTGATGTGCCCCTCGACCTCGACCCGGAATTCCTCAAGCTGTGCCTTGCCACATTTGAGAACCAGGCGAACTATTCTCCCATCTCCCCGGTGCCCATGCTCTTCCTCTTCTCCCATTGCCTCCGTCTTTGCCAAGCTTGACGTTGACGGGAGCGGGAGGACTAAGGAGGACGGTGTAGTCTCTGACCCGTCCCGCCTCACCAACTACTACCCGGTGGCGTATAAGGACTTCTATGGTTTGCCTAGCAATCCTCCATGCATCTACAAGTCGGGCCCAGCATCGAGCGAACGGTCCGGGCCAAAATCGTATCGCATTATTCGTGAAGCTCTACCCCATCCCCGACCAATGGCACGCTCTCGGAACGAGCATCTACCAGTTACTCGATTCCCAGGCTGTCAAGTGGACTTTGATCGACCCCGTCGCTTTTGCCGAACAGGGGCAGGTGAAGCCGTTCTGCCCGCTCCTTATGTGGATTGGGGTCTATCCCGAGTCTCTCTCCTACCACGCTGCCATAGCTGCGGCTGAGGCCATCAAGGAGATCCTCGCTCAGGCTGGCTTCCCCGAGATTGAGGTCGCTTTTCGTGAATCAGTCGTCACCCGGTCTGTCGCTCCGGGTCCCAAGTTGCTTCCCTTCAACCCCTTCGCAACCCTGTCCCCGAACTCCTCAAGCCCTTCACGCCCACGCTTGGCCTCTCCATAGCGCCGCTGTAGGCGCCATACTACGAGGATACAGGTGCCCTGTACCTCCGTGTTAGCAGCGCCGACAAGCGCACCGTCATCCTGACCGCCACCCACGTCGCTCGACCTCCTCCCGCGTTCACCAACGCGGGTGTGTCGCGCAGGCGCAACGGCCAGGGTACTCAGGAGATTGTCGCGCTCGGGAGCGAGGGGTATAGCAGAGCTGTAACGAGTATGCTGAGTGTCATTGGTGACTTCGCTAGCTCGATCGACATCTGGAACGACAATATTGCTAGGTTGTCCGAGCCCGCCGAGGGCGGGGAGGAGGATGAGGAGACGGCCGAAACGCGCAAGGAGTACCTGGACCTGGTGGACAGGGCGGAGAAGAAAATCGAGAAGATAAACAAGCTTCACAGCGACGTCACGAGGTCCAGGACGACCCCAGCACATCGCACCATCGGTTTCGTCCTCCACGCCGAACCCATCGCCGTCAGCGACGGACCACACAAGTTCACCCGCGACTGGGCGCTGGTTGAACTCTACGAGGACAAGATCGACTGGGTCTCGTTCAAGGGCAACAAGGTGTATGTTGGTATGTTTTCCATCGCTAGCCACAGTATCATTGCGCGGTTCCAGCCGACTGTTATATTTATCCTCGTGGGCGGGAACCTCTCGTCGTCCGACTACCGCATGATCATGTTCCCCCGACCCGAGGCTGGCTACAAGTACCCACGCGACGGTCTCCTCCAGGCCAATGGCGTCGTGAAGGACAAGGAGATCCGTTCGCCCCAGCAGCTCGACGCCAACGGCTACAAGTGCCTCCACGTAGTGAAGAACGGCCGGACCACGGGCACGACCGTAGGACGCGTCAACGGGTTGGACTCGTCCACTCGCGTATACACCGAATACGGGATCGAGCAGACGTCCGTCGAGGTAGCCGTCCTGCCCTGCGACAGGAAGCGGGGCGCCTTCTCTGCCCCCGGAGATTCTGGCGCCATCGCCCTCGAGAGAGGCGGCGGCATCGTCGGCATGCTCACCGGCGGTGGCGGCGCGACTGATGAGACAGACACCACCTACTTAACCCCGTACTGGTGGCTCGACGAGCAGATTAAGAAGGTCTTTCCCGGCAACTACCTCTACGACGTCGTCCAGTAGATGGTAAACTCAACGCGCAACGCACCCCCCCCCTCCGGACGGGCCCCTCGACGCACTCCTCTACCGGATCCTCAATGGGCTCTTCAATGAGCTTTTCTCCTTTTCTGTCGTCTCGTCCGTCACCTCTCGTCGCGTCTCGTCTTCACGCTCGCTTTCCCCCTTTCCGTCCTATTCTGTCCTGCTTGCCTATCTATTGTCAGCCTGTGTCGATGATGACGCGGTGGATTGCGGCCTAGGTTCGTCTTGTTCTCTCCCTTTTACTTTCCTTCTCGCGCATGACTAGCGCGGTCTCGATACACGGCGGACATGCGAGGTGTCAGTTTCTGCGGTGGCTGCAAAAAAGGATACCTCTGTCCTGTGAGGCGTCCTTGGCCCGTTCAGCCGGATCTGACATCATTGACCCAAGTAGACGGTGCCACCGTGCCAAGGTGTGACGACTTTGACTTCGCCTTGAACTGGTTGTCGGGTCGCTAGCTAAGTAGCATCAACTCTGCGAAGTGCTTCGCTGGATGAATATGGAGAAATATTTACAATTCAAATATAATCTGTTTATTGTCAACGTGGGCACGGTGCGTGTATCACGATGAATTGCGGTCTTAGACTCCGAAAGTACTCACTGAGTTACCCTCAGCAATGATTATTCTGCTGCATCAAGGACATAGAGAAACATAGTAGCTCCATAGTCTGGCTATAAGTACGTTCGATTCTTGGTCAATTGGCATAAGTTACTTCTACATGTCGTGACAGGAGCTGGCTTTACGGAGGCACACATATCATCAGGGCATAGCGTGGTTGATATATCCACATACGCCGTTCGTTGGATCCTTGGGCAATACCCGTCCTTCTAGTAAGTATGTCTAGCAGGCCTTGGGAAGCTTCGCCCCTGGGGACTTGTCACGTGCACTAGATGAAGTCGGAAGAAACTCACAGGGCAGTCAGCGCTCGGGCGCCCACCGTGATACACAAGACGACACAGCAGCGATCTTCTGATATGCCTCATGCTGGCACAGCTGTCACAGTGAGACGACTTATATACCCACGGATGAACCATGCGTATCGAGGAGGTTGCTTCCCCATTGACGTCGACCTTGACCTCTCTGCCGGCCTCGAACCATGCCTATCTTCGCCCCTGCGTTCGGGTCCTTCGGCGACATCGTCATGCTCACGAAGGCTGTTTACAAGATCGCCACCACTCTCGCGCATATCATCGGACAAGGCGCACCGTCGGGTTTCGTGGATCTGATCAAGGAGCTTGACAATCTCGGGAGGGAAATTGAGAGAGCAGCCGCGATAGTCGAGACGCAGAAAGTTATGACTGAGTCAGGCTTGTCACCTGAGCATCTGAAGCAACTCGAAGACCAGCTTGTGGATACTCAGAAAGCTGTCAAGACTATTGAGGAGGAAATCAAGAAAGTGCATACCAAGTTCGAGACGCCAACCGCCAACTTGGGTCTTGTCGGGAAAGGAGGGTCTGCGATGTATAAGTTTGGATACTCCGTCTTCAGGCACGATCAGGTCAGTAAATGGAACAAAGAGGTAACCAAACATTACGAGGATTTGCAAGGAATACTGAACATTCTGACGCGGTAAGACTCGATACCGCATATCATTCGCATGAAAATTGATGATGACCTTCACGAACCTCACGACTTGCACAGATCTATGAATGACAGGCTAGGTCCAGAAGGTTAATCCTCCTTCCGTAGTGCCACTACATCGAATTCATCACTTTTCGTGCACCAGCTGGACAGCCTGACCCTGCAGAGCAAGAACAGGAGATATTTAAATCGGACCGTGGCATGGTTCTCTTCGAAGATCCTCAAGGGCGAAAAATACCCCTTGACTGGGCAGTATGCGGGAGTCCAGATGCTCGTACCAATCTCTGTCTCTTCATTTTGTATACTGACCCTTGTTCGCTTCAACAGAAACGACGTGACGTCCTTCGGCTCTGGTATAGGAGATCGCCGAAATACCGACAGAAGGTCGAGCGAAACGAGTACAAACTCGTCTACCCAGACAACACGAACCCGAACCTCGATGACGAGAAGGATGAGTGCAAAGTCGAGGTCGGCGCGCACGTCAAGCTCGTCTGGCTGCCGCATCGAAAAATCAAGCCGAAGCCCTTCACATACAAAGTTGTCTACGTTCCAGGCTACGATCATGTGCCGCCAGAATACCAACAGCTCCCACCGAGCCCGCCCATCTCCGAACCGGACTCAGAGCCACTGCCGTCGGAGGATGAACCTGAGCCGGACCCAAAACCGCCCACTATAATCCAAATCCGAGAATTCCGGATCGAAGATACGTTTGCGCGCTTGGAGGGAGCATCCGCTAGCATACGGGAGGGCCGAGGTACCCCTCCCTGATAGTCCGCAAGCCTCCGTCGTGCCTTTGGAACCTGAGCAACAGGAGCTCCCATTTGCTGGGCCGTCTTCACTGTCACACACGGAAACTCGAAATCTGCCGTTGGTCGAGGAGGATGGCGGAATTGAAATGGTGGCTCTAGGTGGCCACCGCGCATCGTCTTGAGAGGTGGCTCTCGCGTCGCTCACCGTCATCGACGGTTAGAGTGAGAGTGGATTCCTTATGCGAAGAGGTGTACGCTCTCATGGGTATATTGTTGTGTACTCACATAGCACGAGATCTCAAGGGCCGATTAGCAAGCCTTGAAATGCTGCGGTAGTTTTGTCACGATTTGGTCTCGAGCTCTCCCACAACTTTTCGCGCACTTGTGAGCTCCAGAACGGAGCTGACATCCCTATGACGGCCATTTTCACGGAAATCGCTAACTTGTCAGACCTCTGAGTATTTCATGCCAGCTGGTGAACGTGACGTTCTATTTCACGTGACTGACGCGTTTTGTTTGTCACTCACACCATGTCCAAAGGTCCAAAGTCTATTAGTAATATTCTTTCGCTCAGTCGTCACTCTCGGACTTTAAGTGACAGGTTTTGCTTGCAGTGGAACGCAGGGAGAGACGTATGGTATTCGCGCTGGCAAAGGGTTTGGTGATCCGGTGGGGCCGCGGGGACAGTCAGGTGAGTGGACTTTGATTATGTTCGAAGGCTGTAAGGTCCAACTGTACTGCTACTGAGTTTTGCATTGTTCTCCCTGCCTACCCCCCCGCGCCCCCGCGGTTTTTTTGTTTCTTTTTAACTAATTCATTGATCGCTGTAACCCACCAATCCTCCGGATGCGTGGAGTAATGACAACGGCCTCCGAGCTGCCCGACCAAGAACAACGAGCTGTCTTCAGGCGCCTGAAAAAGTGTGCGGCTAAGACCGTCATGTATCTTTGATCCTTGCTTGTTGATCTCAAACGTTACGCTCACTTGCATATTCTAGCGTAATCAGTCATGCAGATCGGTCTTAGTTCCCATGTAGGGACCGGAGCCTGTGCGTAAGGGGGTCTGACACGTCTTACAGCTGCAGTAGTCATCGTTCTATGTCGGGACGCGCAGCGAGCGCGTGCGATTTTGCCGTGCGTGTGAGCCAACACTGCAGTCGACGTCGTGTTATACGTTATGATAGCCTGTACGTCATGTTCTACGATTTTTCGCTGCGATTATTGTTGACGACAAGACAGTTGCAACGAGGACCAACTCATTGCGTCAAAGCTGTGGCACAGCTGACGGAGATTCTGGGACGCCGCCTCTTACAAGTCCTATCACTGACTGTAGAAGAAGCGGCTGTGGAGGCGTGCTGGCGCAATCGCTGTTTCTAGCTCTTCCCTTGCCTTTGGTCATCCTGAAGAAGCAAATGGACGAATTACAACACATGCTCAGACACTCACTCCGTCGACCAGTTTTCTTGAGAGAATCGGAGGCTCAACACTTCCGAAGGTGCCGTAGATTCTTGTGTTTCTATCTTTAGACGAGACTGAGCGCTTGTTGCAGTCACCATCACAGTAGTACAGGAACCATCACTATGTGGGTTAGCAGGTAGTCCTCAGGGCTCCTGGATGCTTGTACTCGGCTCAAGTTATTTGGCAGGAGATACTATAGCACGGATCCGCTGTGGAGTCAAATATGCCGACATCAAAGGTAATTCTTGAGGCCTCAGCACGTTGAGATGATCCATTCACTTTTTTGGCTGCAACTCGAATTTGGCGCCGCTAGTTTGGGACGTCGGGAGAGTTTGTTTGAGCGATGCTAGGGTCGACAAACCGAAGACATGATGTCAAAGGGCGATCTATATCGGTGAGGTACAAACTTGGTCTGAGAACCCTTGAAACTGATTTGATATGATCCTGCTTTCCCGCACGTCCTCGGACCGGTGTTGGCAGTATCTGTATCTTCAGGTCATAGTTGAGATCATAACTTATGACGTTCTTAAGCTGATAGGATCGGACGACCGTCTATAGCTTCCATTCAATTGCTACATGGAGATAATATACTTATTTGCATCCATGAATGAACAGCGCCACCACGCCACGCTTCACGGAAGTATATCGCTTTTGTTGTATTAGGCCCTGGATCGAGTCAACGGGAGGAATGTTAAAGGCGTAGGTCCTCCCGACAAATGCCCTGTGTATTCTATGCTGAGTGTGCACCTCATCGTACCCCTACGTAGCACGTAAAGGAGTTCCGCCGGCGCAGCTGGGAATGTTACGGCACGCTGTTATCGTTTCTCCAATGAGCCACATCATCAATACTGTTAACGACGATAACGGATTCCGATCTGTTCCAAGTGGCAGCAGTATCACAGCAGGTATTTTCTACGACATTCACCGGAACCTACGCAAATCCTGTTTTACTAAGGTTCGTGTATAGGTTACACGGAGAACTCTCAGACATAAAACTGCAAGATGGAACTGGCGGCTAGGCGCGTCAAGCCTTTTTTCGGAGGCCGAGAACTACAGGCATGAACTGGGAGCTTGTCGTGCGGAATCAGGGCCCTGTTTTCTCAAGGTAACATATGGACATTTGGCTGCCCTAGTAGACTCACTGACCCGTTCCTAGACCGATATGGGGGAAAGAAAAATTCTTCTATGCTGCGGCGAGAAACCAACGCGGCCTAACAAATTTTACGGTGCAAGCGACCGTCAAGGTAACTGACAACCGCTTAGCCGATCCCAAGGAGTTCGAAGATAGGCTCAGATATGCCTTAACATGTAAGTCGGGTAGAATGCCAGCATAGTCGCTGATATGCTCATCCTCTACAGCTACGGTGGGCATGTATCCCTTACTGCTGTCAAGTGCCGAGCCCGTCTCCAATGGCGGGCAAATCGCCTGCAAGATTCCAAGTAGCTGGGACGAAGCCGATGCCATAATTGCCGCGAGACTAAAGAGATTCGATAGCGTTTCTGAATACAGCGTCGACGTATTCTTGGAGACCGTTCTTACTCGAGAGGCCGCACGCCTGGCCGCTCCACACATCTTCTACGCACCTTTAGACGGTGCGGGCGAGGCGCCTACCTACACTATCGCAATTGCGAGTCCGCATTGTATTATGGACGCGCGCGGAGCCATGATGATCCTGCAGAGCATACTGAAGGTCATGTCGGAGGGTGCGGACGAAGGTTCACGTCCTCGCTGGAATCCAGGTACGGTGGACTATCTGGACCTTCTTCCACCTCCTCTCGAACTTGTGAAGGAAGTGAGCGCCATCAGTGACGAGAGTGTAGACCGCTGCCTCCGTAAATGGCGCCAGGACACCAGCAAGGTGCGTCGCCTTATCCAATTATAAGGTGATGCAACACGATCTCAGCTTCCTAACTGCAGATGAATCACATATTACCTCCGAAGACTAGGTCACCCAGTGGTGAAGGTGTCACTCGTCGGGTCCTTTACTCCTTCTCTCAAGAGGAAAGCGCCAGGTTATTCCGGAAGCATAAGTCCCTTGGGGTAACGAATAACACGGTTTTACAAGCCTCACTCTGGCTCGCTACTGTCATGTTGGCACCGCCCAGAGATGAGGATTATTCATCGTCCCATTGTGTCTCGTTGCTCGCCGTGGATTCGAGGGACCTACTGAGTGCTAAATGGAGCAATACTTACAGCGGTCTTTGTCTATGGTGCGCCCCAAGCACTGCTGAGCGTACTTGATCTATAGATATTGATGTCTCCTAGCGATGCTTCCGTCAGTTGTCCTCTAGAAATGGCCGCTGGCTCGGACCGGAACTCTGCATTGCTTCAGATGATGAGGAAAATCACAGCGGACATGAAGTAAGCCCCAAGCCTTCAACGGGCCTGTAAGGAGACACTCAACGCCTTCGCTAGGTTCTGGAGGGATAGTGGTGCTCTCGTTGACGTTGTCAATACTACTGCTGAAGGCGCTGCGACTTGGTCAGGGGTAGCGGCACAGAAGGGGTTCGTTGTGGCCTAAAGCTACCACGGCTATCATATGCGCTAATCTCTGCTCACCTAGCATTGGCCTCTGCAACGCTTTCACCTCCAACTTGGGTATAGTTGACTCGGTCATCTCGCGATTCCACGGAAGCGCTCTCGAAGTGCTGGACGTGAGTGCTTCCGGCCGTATAACCGAGCCACAATAGTAAGCTCCTCTTTACGAAAGATTTCGCACGCGTACTCACCCAAACCAGCTTCACTCGTGCTTGGACGTTCAATGGCAAGTACAACATACAGGTCAATTACAATGATCACTACTACGACCGAACCACGATCGATGCGTTTCTGAGAACCGTCGTAGAAGTGCTTCGATCTACGCTCGACCTATAAGGACACTCCTTTTCTGTTTCTCCTTTATTTCTCCGAGACATCTAGAGAAGTGTCGATCGCATCAATGACCAAGGACTGACCGACGCGACTATGCTCATCATAGAGTATATGCCCTATTACAAATAGACCATATAGATAGAAGAAACGAAACAAGTACGATATGTCCCGGAATAGAGAAGTCCTTCCATAGCCGTCCATCACCCTCAAATGAGTTGTAGTAGCAAAGAGATAGATGCCAGAGCGGTCACCGCGACGCCGACACTGTCCGCGCAGCCGAAGTTCGCCTTGGCGGCACTCTTCTTCTTGCTGCTCTCCGTCTGGGACGCCTGTGCGCCGCCCGTGGTTGATGCGGGGGTAGCTGAAGCCGACATGGAGTACGTCGTCGACGCCACGTTGGCGGTCGCCGCCAGCGCGTTGTCGGACGTAGCTTTGGGAATTGATCGTCAGCACGGGGAGAGGGGGGGAATCAGGCGAAAGGAAAAGAGTACGTACAGGCAAACTTGCCACCGTTGTTTTGAGCCGAAGAGACCACCTGCTGTAACTGCGTGCTCGCGTCGCTCGGGACGGTCGACATGAACCCAATCCGTGGGGGATCTTGCGACGGGTGGGTAAGGTTGCCATAATAAAACGCGATGAGGTTCCTGCACCCGCACGTCAATTAATCTCTGAGGGATCAACAGACCAGATAACCGCGATCACTCACGACTTGAAGAATGGGTCGCCCAAGCTCCAGCTGAACAGCCCGCCGACGGACGGCGGGTCCGTCGAGACGAGGTTCCCGGCGTAGCAGTTACTCGCATCTCCGGCCTTCTGCTGCACGACAAAGTCGCGCGGGTCGACGGGGAACATCTTCCCGCCGATCTGGAACGCGAGCGTGTGCGGCGTCCCGCAGGGGAACGCTGGGACCGAGTTCGCGCTGGCGGGGTTGTACGTCGGCGACACGGTCGAGAAGATCGTGTTGACGACGTCTTCGGGCCCGCGGAGGATCGAGTTACCCTAGGGGAGGTAAGGTGAGGTTAAGGTAGTGAGTGCAGGAGGGAGGGGGGCGTACAGTGTCGATTAGAGCGGAGACGGTCGTGGACTGCACGCCGCTCGGTTTGATGGCCGAGTCAGCGAGTTTCTGACCGTCGAGGTAGACAGCGTCGAGCTCTACCTCCCAGCGGCTTCACCGCGAATCAGCAGGGCGGAAGCTTCCGAGTGAGAAGGACTTACAGGGGATAGATCTGGCGAACACACTGTCAAAAACAACCAAAATAAGCAACCGGGACCGCACGCACCTCATTGGGGGCAAACGTGGGCGGATTCAATCCGCCGTCTGCAGGCGAGTACAACTTTACGGGAACCCAAGTCAGGGACGAGTTATCCACTCCGTCCGGAAGCTTGCCGATCGTCAGGACGCCGGGATTACCGCCGACATCGATGGTGTCTCGCTGGAGCGTGATCTAATAGTAGGTGACGGTAAGATATGGGAGACGCGTGCGATGAGTCTTTAGACCTACGGTGAACATCGGCTGCGCGAGTTGGCCGGTCATGGCCAGGCGGGACAGCAGCGGTCCGTTCTGGGACGTCGTCGAGACGAATTCATCGGTTGTCTTTGGTGTGTTGAACTGCAGCGCGTCTAATCTATGTAGTATATCTATAAACTCGTTGACGGCTCACCTGTTGATTGACCACAGCAGCCTGGACTTGACTGCACGGACACAAGCGCTTCATCGTACGTAGAATAATCGGCTAGCTACCGTCACTCACCTCTCGCTAGGGAATCCGAGTCCAAAGATACCCGCTGCGTCATTGTCTACGACCACACTGCTGTCCGTCTTGTTCACCGCCGCGAACGGCTGACTCTGTATGGACAATCCCGCCAGCGTGACCGTGTCCCGCCCGACGGGACCGGAGGCCGAGGTGCCCGTGGTCGAGTCCCCGTACTGCATCAGCACATCTGCGCCCGTGTCTTCGAAGGTGGATAGCGGGTACTGCGGCCAGGTGGACTTTTCGCACCCGCCCGTCTGGCACGCCGAGGACACGACCCAGAGGTCGCTGGAGCCGGTGTCAAGGTTGAACGCGGTGGTCGTGTTACCGAGCATCAGCGCGACGCTGTAGAACAGGTCCTCCGAGTCGCCCAGGCCGACCGCGTTCCCCCATGCACTGCGTTTCTCCACGTCGCGTCTGGCTTTCCGCTGTCTCATGATGGGTACATCCCCCCACCGCTTCTGTTGTGCCTCCGTTTCGGTTGCAAGCTGTCTCTGCTCCCATTTACGAGGTAAGGCCAGGCCGAACTGCGCGGTATCCAGGGCGAGCAGGACCACGAGAGATAATGAGAGAGGAAGGGAAAACATTCTGTGTCAAAATCCGACCCTGTCGTGAATGGTAGCGCCCGGCGCGTCGTTCCAAGCTATCAGGCAAGCTGAGAGAAACGAAGGAAAAGAAACGAAGGAAACGAGAGACAAGAGATCGTGAGCAGAGTCGTGGCGGGCCCCTCAAGAGCGTCAAGGCTTAAGAATAGCCTGGCGTCCCGTTTATATGGCTGCGCAGGAAGTACGCCCAGAGGATTGATCGGTGCCTTTGGTCGAACCGAAGTGATACAAGACCACGTTGCCCGCACCCAAGCATCAAGGTCATCTTTCGATGAGACAATCGAGCATATGGATGTGTATCGTCTATAGGCTGCAATCCTTCATAACGGCGAGAGGGACGACGTTGTACAAACTGAGCCAAGAATTGAAGAATATCTTACCGGCGTCTGAATCGCTTGCACTATTTTCAGCATGCTTCCCCTGCTGCGCGACTTATTTTAAGGCTTAGTATCTCATTGGTGGCCGCCGGGACAGTGGGTGTATCGAAGAGGCGGTGAAGATCAAAGGATATATAGTTACGACTGCAGTCCCAAAGACAGCCATCCGAAGTGGCAAAGACACCTGTCCGTAGTGGTGGAGGAATTCCTCAGTAAGTGACAAAGGCACTTGTTCGTAGTACCCAAGGCACGTACAGCAAGTGTCTTGGACACTGCTCGGTAGTGGCTAAGGACACCCATCCGTAATGGCAGACACTTCTTAGTGAGTGCTCTACGCACTTACAACTGTGACCCCACCACGTCAGTTGTGAGTACCTAAGACGCTTACCGGCCGCGACAACCATCCAAGCCACTGCGAGCAAATGCCTCTTCCCGCAGTCAAAAGGCAAGCGCGTGAATAACATGGCAACGAATCGTTTGCTTGACTGGAGCCAATAGGAAGCTTTCGAACAACACAGTCGACCTCTATGTCCAACATTGGCACTGCATGAAAGACTGAGCAGAAGACGCCCAATACAACATCGAGGAATCGACCGGCACATATCCCCTAGCTCTCGTGTCACGTACGGGTGCGAGCAAATACCCGCACGGCGATACCGATCCTACAAGGAGTTAACTTGTAGCGATCCGAGATGTACTCATAGTGACAGCGTCCATCTGACAAGACCCTATCGGTACGTTCAAAACACTGCGGAACGCGGACATATCTTCAGCACCACGTCCACAGACTCTAAGAACTCAGCATGGCATGTATATCATGTCCACAACGACATGTCCCCCGCTCGAGGCCAGCATTCACTCTTTCTTCGCGTTCCGGACCATCGCCAGCTCCTCCAGCAAGGTCTGGTGCCTATACGCCAACCGAATATCCGGTACATTCGTCTATATCCAGGCATATCATCGACTACACCACATCGCACGAACCCAAGCAAAGGAAAACATACCTTATGGATGTCGTTCCCTGCTGCTCCCGGCAAGTACCATTCCTGGCCCAGCCAATGGCGCTTGATCTCCATCTCGAACCCGCTTTGCTTCACCGAGTTTCGCGCTAGTTCAGCCAGAGAACTCTGGGGTAGCTTGTAAATCTACACGCGCGCAGAGTCCGTTAGTGCCCGGTGCTACTGCTCCACGCAAAGTAAAGACCACGAACGTGTGCTGCAACACTATACTCCTCCAAAAGCGGTTCCTGAGAGACAAATCCCATAAGCAATTATTCATCACAGGGCTCCCATAAATCCTATATACCACTTACCTTTGTGAAATGGAACTGCAGCGGATCGTCCGTGCTCAGGCTCACGTTCAACCCCACCTTGAAGAAGTCCGGCAATGGGTTCCGTTCGTATGTCAGGAACAGCGCGTTATTGCTCAGCGGGCTCATCGCCATCCCGATCTGCTTCAGATAGAACAGGTATTGCAGTGCAGGCACCTTGCGTAGGAGGATACCATGCGAGATCGAGTGTGAGGAGAGGAAAGCGGAGGTGAGGTGGTCCGTGTCGCCGGCTTCACCGCAATGAGGGCGGAATACGAAGGTGTCTGAGATAGACAAAGGCTAAACAGGATTAAACCGAATATGAGGTGGAATGGACTGACTGAACCCGCGCGCTTGTCGCCAATTGTTTAGGCTTGCCATATTCGCGAACATATAGTATAGCCTATCATCCACGAAAGTAAGTAGTCGAATAGGCCCAGCTTCATTGCAGTCGTACCAATACGAATATGGCGGCGACGTCTCCAAGTTCCATACACGGGGATAGGGGAACTTTTTATGTATCCTCCTCTCCACTTTGGACTCATCATCCACAGTATCGAAGCCGATGACTCTCTGTAGGAACACGTGCAGCTCGGGGTGCTTCCTCGGATCTTTGGTCACCTCGAACAGAGGCTTGAAGACGTCTGCTTCTGGTCAGCAAACCGCCGATACGGGGAAGAAAGAAACTCAAGCATGCTCACTGACGACAATATCTTCGAACTTCTCTATGGACCCGTTCGCTTTGTACACGTCGTACAACCGGGGTACCTGAATGAGCCAGCGAACGTTGTGGGAGAACAGCTTGTGGTTGACGATCCATTTTGCCAATTTGTCCCATTCGTCGGCTGACCGACCGTATATACTGATGCGCCATTCACAGTTCTGTCGCATTAATCAGCGCTATTAGATGCGATGCGATTAGATACCTTGCTCTCCACGTACCTGATATTTACTCTGCTCCAAATCCGTCATGACCTCTACACACCCAATCAGCACCTCCATCGCCGCCCACGAATATGCACACTCACCTTTCGTCAGCTCAGCAAGATATCTCCCCTGTATGTAATTATCCGTCTTCAAAAAGATCTCACGGAGCCTGCTCTCCCCAATCGGGTTGTACTTCAGATTGAACTTGTCGAAGCGGTGAAATGAGTCCTGGTGCGCGTGCATGTCGAGCGTATCGATGGACAGGTCGTACGCAGTGAGGTTGAGCGAGGCGAAGACTTCGGCGAGCGTGAGCTCTTTGCCGTCGCGGAATATGACTACGTCCTGCAGGACAGCAAGACTGAATGTCAAACAGGCAGTCAGCCTTGGAAAGGACAGACGATACTCACATTTGGCGAACGCTTCATCTTCGATTTGATGAAACGAAGGAGATGTTTCTGGTTCATGCTACTCGAGTGGTGGACGTGGGTATCAACCTTGCGAACATTGTAGAAATCGCTATCGCACGGTTGACTAAGAGTATCGTGGCCAAAGTCGAGCTGACCCACCGATGAGGTACATGCTATTAAGACGATGGATCACATTTATGAGCTGAAGCGAGGCCGTCTGAAAATAAAAGCGATCTCACCTTCATATCCGCCAGTTCCTGTGTTTCATTTAATAGTTGGTACATCGTGAACTTACTCGCGAGATATTTCAGCCGCTTAAATGCGAAGCTTTTTGCAGGTCCGTCCGCTATCACTCCAAGAACGTAGTCCAAATCCATGAAATACTCCCGAATGTCCGGGATGTGGAATTTCGACTTCCTATCCTCCGCTGCTGCACGGTTCAGTCCATCTAACTCACCTTCAAGTGCGCAAACAGATAGAGAGAAACACACCAGCGACGTTCTCATATACCTGATACACCCCCTTCTCATCGAGCTCGTAATCCCACTCATGCTCCCCAGGGATGAAACACTCCTCGAACTCAAACTCCTCGTCCACATGCCCGCCCGCCGGGATCACCTGCTTCTGGTCCTTCCAGTGCCAATGTGGCGGCGGCGGCTTGGGGTATATGCGCCAATGCTCGTGCGGGCTCTCCAGCGTGCGCGTGCGCGTCTCGACGTCCTCGCGCCTCGCCTCGGGGCGCGCGCCGGACACGTCCGCGAGGTCGTCCGGGAGCCCGTTGAAGACGCCGTCGTGGTCGCGCGGGTCGTCGCCCAGACGCTGCTTCGAGATGCGCATGTATTTATCGCGCAGCTCCAGGCACTTTTGGAAGGCAGTGAAGACCTTGGAGAGTTCGAGCGTGATGGCGGTCTCGGGATGCAGGAAATCTGCGCGGTGTGAAATGGGGGAACAGGGTGGAAAGTGAGAGGGCTGCACACCTGCCACCCGCGCGTCCGGCTTTGCGTGTCCATTCTGCTTCGCATTATGTTCTCCCTCCTCCTCCGAGGCCTCGAACGGCGACTCGCGCAGAGTCGCGTCACCCGGGCCCACCGTAGGCTGGAACACCGACGGGAGCTTGAAGCTCCCGCTGATCGAGTTCGCCAGGTCCGGATGGTCACCAGCGGTCAACCGCGGCGAGCCGCCATACACCGAGATGGGCTTGCTCGACGAGGCCTCTGACCCCCGTCTATGCGCCCACAGCTTCTCCTCTATCTGGAAATCCGTATCGAAACCCACTCCGTCTGTGAGTAACATGGCCGGGAATGAAGAAGGGTACGCATACGTGCTGGAAGCTTTTCTCCTCCGTATACCCGAAGAACCCGTCTCTGTTTTCAGGAATCCTCAGTCCCGGCGAGAGCGTCTGCCCGTCCACGGACGACGCGGGCGACGGCGTCGATGCTTCCGCCTTCGGCTTTTCGTCACCGCTCGTCATAGTGCGGGGAAGACTGTCTGCAAGTGTTGAATAATGCAACTGCCTGGCTTTTTATGCAAGGATCGTGGACGTTTCCGACCGTGAGTCCGAGGAGGTCGGTTTCATTTTACGGAGCTATTTTGGGCGATTGGGCTGATCGCGGCCACGTGCGTTAGAGTTGGCTTCGTGCCTGGCGCGTTGTGGCGGTTCCGTTTGTGGCTCAGGCTGCTGCAGGTTCACTGCAGTTCAACGAGAGCAGCGAAGTCCCTGGACCCTGGATCCACAAATATGGACGCGTTGAAGAAAATCACTGTCTGCCTATGTATGCTCGCTAGCACTGTGCTGACATTGGAATATCGATATTAATATCGCACGTCTCATTTGCGCCGATCCGACGAGCAAATGTAAGTAGTTCGCACATGCACATTTGGAACGTTCGTCGTTTCGCGACCTCCATGATAGCTGTAGTCTTGCAGATCGTGACTCAAGGTTTTATGATCAACGTATTTTTATATTGCGGTTTTTCCGTAATTTGACCGGCGATTCAACTCGAGTGTATCAGGACGAGTCCGATGGGGACAGATGATAGCATGGAATCATGTATGCGCTAATGATACAATGATGGTAGCAACTACACCGCTCAGCTTCCTCCTCGATTCGTATATATACATTTTCTTGCCCACGACTCGGAGGACCAGGGGGATCCCATACTAACGAGCCAAATCATATCAATCGACCATCGCCTCGGGTGGCGGGCCCAGCAACTCCGCATACGAATCCGTCACAAGTCTTATGGGGTGCGCATGCTGGTGCTCCACGAGCCCGCTCGTCTCCGGGTCCGGGGGCACGAGCGACAGCACAATGAAATCCTTCACCACCAGCGGGCCGACGCGGAACCCGCCCACGGCGACGTCCGCGCGGCAGCGCACCTCGCCCTCCCAGTCCAGGCTCCCGCCCTCCGCGCTCGGCACGAAGCGCAGCTTGCCCTCGCCGAGCACCGTCGGCCGCCACGTCTTCTGCCCGCGGATCGTCGCGGCCACTTGGCGGTACAGGAACACGCGGATCGTCGGCTGCGTCGAGGTGGACCTGGCTTTCCCTTTAAACCGGGAGGAGGGCGGGAAGAAGGAGGGGAGGGGCGGTAGGTTGATTGGGAGCGAGGACGAGGACCGGGGAGAAGGAGAACAGGCGGGACTCGTGGGGAGGAAGGCGAGCAGCGAGGCGGCTGGCCCGCGCAGCTGCACGTAGAACGGGATCGTGTCGCTGATCCCGTATATCTGCACGGCCGGGATGAACAACTGTTGTCCGTGAGAAAATGGGCGGCAGACGATAGGTGTGCAGGACTTACGTGGCAATCGAGAGGCTCGACGCCCGAGCCCGTGCGCGCAGGCATCGTGGACGTGACCTGGAACCACTCCTCCGGCGCCACTTTCATGGTGTGCCGGAAGGAGAGCGAGGGCGATAGTATTGGCCGGTGGGGTCGTGACCGCGGGTAGTAATTCAGAGGCAGACAGAGTTCGGTGCTACATTGACAGCATAACATGAGCCAAAGACATGAGAGCAAAACTAGTCATACACGTACCATTTCGTACGCTTGAATATCCCAAGCGTCCGCTCCGTGACAGCAATTACCAGGGTATACTCGACCTTCACAAACAGCCCGGGCACGCCGGGGAACTCCATCTGATAACTCGGTGGCGAGGGAGGGTGGGCATCGCCCATCCGACACGACGCAGGTATTGGGAGGTCAAACGGGAAGCGGTACGGGCACTCGCCGTCGCCATCCCATATTGTCAGGCTTTCTGAGAGGAGGTTCCGGGTTTCGCTGAAGCCCTCGGACACCGTCATGCTGAGCTTGCCCTCCAGCTGGAGTATTCTCGCCGTCAGTCCAGGGTCCGTGCAAGTGTAAATGCGACGCGACTCGCCTTGGCAGAAACGGAGACGACCTGAGTGTCCTCCCGGCTCTCGAGGCGTACCTCGCCGGAGATGAGCGCGTTGCGTCGGTACGTGGGCACGGCCGCGCCCTCGTCCTGGTTATCGAGGACCAGCGTGATGCGGCCTTTCTTTCTAATGTGCTGGCCAGTAGGAATGGGTATCCTCGGCCGCGCGGTAAAGTCGAGCGTCTCCTCAAAGGGGGAGGGCTGCGACGTATAGCTGGGTGCCTCCGACGAAGAGGCATAATCGGGTGGCGGCAACACCACACAGTGATAGGGCGGGCTCGGGGTTGGGCCTGGCTCCAGTGCTGACTCCATTGAGACTCGAGGAAAGGTATCTATAATAGTACCACCAAGACAAAGCGGGAAAGGTATCGGTAGCACTGCGTCCTGCAGAGGCTATCATATAACTTCTGCTTGACGCGCAGTGAGTAGGAATGACTCCCTTGAACCAGCACATGTTGCCGCGCGAGCCAGTTCAGGGCTGACAAAGCGCGGGGGACGGGTCGCCAAGACGAAGGCTAAACCACTGCAGTTAGGGGTGGACACCATACACACTCGAGGCACGCATCGCGCTAGAGGAAGCCACTAAGCTGGCGATCCGGTGCCGGTGGCGTCGAGCCTTGACTCGCTTTCGCACGCAGTTAGACTTCGACAGAAGGTCCAGACCCTGCACCGCTTTCCTGCGAGAAGATAGGATGATCGGGGCCTGGAGATCTTACCTTGGGCTGCGTTTGGTTCCGCCGATGTTTTCTTGAATCTCTTGTCAGTTTCGTGGCAGTCTGACAGGCATCGTGTACAAAGGTGATATCCACACCAATGCAACAACACTGAAATTACCGCAGTACTGGCCCTGAGTCAGGAAGCGCACGGCTACGTCACCCTGAACGTTCGCGGAATCGTACGAGGACGAACGTGTCGTCGTCGGACGTTTCGGATCGTCCGAACACACCCCAATACACCACTGCAGGCCACTCCTGCGCAGTCTGATTATCTCTCTCGATTATGCGAATCCACTAACCATCACGCTCACGCGACTGCGGAGGAGCAAGTCTTCGAGCTAGAGTGCCTGCGGCATTACTCATAGGGTAGATGTGCGCAGTGAATGCCTCTGCGGATGTGGTGTCTCGGTCCACATCACTGACGCGATAAGATCACGGAAGGTGATGCAATCATACAATTTGTGGCTACAGCAGGATAGATCCAGACATCGAGCAACAGCAGCAAAGAATAATGTACCAAAGTCCCCTAGCGGCCATGCAATGACCGTCAGAAGTCCCTACGCAGCGAACCGGTCCGCCAAGAAAACACGACGAACGCCCCGACTCATCCTGTAGGTGTCACCAAGTCATCCTGTCAAACCAGTCCGCGACCCGACATCGACGGAACACACTCACCGGAAACACGAAGCACAAGCCGGGGCTCGTAGAATGGGCGGTTATCACGTTCTTGAATGCACACTCGCAGGCCGCGCGACGCTCTGCCCAAAGTCCATCCGGCTCAGCCGCTCCTCCAACCTCCTCGCCCTCTCCGCATCCATCACCACCTCCCACTCCTCGTCGCGGCTCACGTAGCTCACGGGCCGGTCCCTCTCCTCCGTCATCCAGCTCTCCCGCCGCCCCGCGCGCACCTGCGCGCGCAGATCCTCGCTCACGTACCCCGACAGCAGCAGCATGCTCCCGCGGTTGTGCCCGTACGCGGGCGGCGGCGCCACCGCGATCGCGCTGTCCTCCACGTCGCCCGTGCCCACCCCGCTCTCCGCGAGCGCCGCCGCGTACGTCGGCAGCGGCGGGCGGTTCCACGGCGCGAGCGCGAGCCGAGAGTTGCTCGCGCTGCTCGTGCGCACGAGGTGCATCGAGCGCGGGAGCACCGCGCCCGGGTGCACGTGCATGTAGCGCTCCGCGCGCAGGCGGAAGACGCACCGCTCGAGGAAGAGCACCTCGGATAGTGTAACGACTGCGAACGCGACGTGGATGAAGATACCCGCGTTGAATACGCCGCTCGACCCGCTCGTCTCCGAGCCCGCATTGCTGCTGTCGCTGTCGCTCCTCGCCCGTTTATTCACGATCATGGCCGCAAAGACCCAGCCCACAATCGTCCCCACTAGGAAGAGTACTTGCAGGACGCAGAGCACGAGCGTCGACGCGTGCAGCCCGCCAAACCTGCGCGGCTTGAAAAAGTGGCGTCGCCTGCTCTTGTGCGTCGACGAGTTATCCGAGAGGGGCGCGCCATTTGGCGCGGAGGGTAAGGGCGGTGCGGGCGTACCCCTGGATGTACTCGTAGTCGTAGATTCTTGGGCATGATCGCGGTCGGCTGGATGGCGGGCAGGCAGCGGGGTACTATTCCTATTCGCCTGCGCCCCCTCCCCCGCACTCTCCTCCGCGCGATACCCAATCTCCCCCGGTTTGCGGGGCAAAGGACCCGCCTGCGCCCTCGGTCCCTCCTCCGTTCCCGACCCCGCGCTGCTGCTGCTGGTAGAAGCCTCCGCGTTCGCGTTCGACGCCATCTTCTTCACTCTTCAGAAATATAAGACGGCCGGCCAGATGAAAGAAAGGTGCCCTTGCGCCTGGCAAGGAGGACAAGAAAAGCCGGCAAGAAAGTACTCGACTTTCAGGAAGCAAGATGAAGAGAAAGAGGGGGGAGAAGAGAGAGATCAGTCAGCAGTTGTCCATTGACAGAGTGCCATCAAAGTCCTGTGCGTCGTGCCCGCACCAAGTTGAGGACGACTAGCGCGTCGGCGAGGCCGGGAATCAGACTCCCGGTTGTTAGGTGACCTCCGGCGCAGTATACAGCCAATCAGGTGCGTCGCACTGTCTTCTAACCAATGGCGTTGCCAGATGGCGTGCACTCTACATTGTGGATACGGTAGGATAAGTACGTGTTACAGTGGGTTGAGAACTCATTTGGCCCGTGCGAAGTATTCATTTTACGGGAGGTGAGATCTCTTCCGATCCATTTCTCGCAGAATCTCAGGCAAAATGCAATCGAGAAGCACGCCAATAAGAGCTCTATGAAATTAAATCCTCGAGTGTGGTAATGCATATACCGCAGTTAGAATAAAATATACCACGAAATCACATCATAGGTCCAACTCCATTCTGGTCTCCTCCCGGGGGATCACAGGCCCGAGATCCACGACGGTCGAAAACGAGAACGTCTTCATCTCAGGCTTGCCGTGGCTCCTTGACGGCGTGCCCCCGCTGTCCTCGCCGACGGGATCGTCCGAGCGGTACGTATACGAGACTAGCATGTTGAACTGGACCTCAAGATCAGCCTTCGAAGAGCGGATGAATGAAGATAATAGAGCGCACCTTGACGCTGCCAGTAGCCTCCTTCGAAATGACCACTTCCCCGCCGACGACAGTTACATTCGCGCGCTTCTCGAGCACGCCCACCGTCTTCGTCCTGCTCTTCCCCTCCCTGCCGGCTCCTCTCACATCCACATCATCCATCTCCTCGTCCTCCAGCCCAAACATCTCCTCATCCTCGTCTTCGTCGTACTCCCAGGCCTCTGAGAACGCCGCAACGGGGATCGTCGACGATGGCAGGGACACCGCGAATGGTGGACGGCGCGCGGGCGCCCCGTCAGGCCCAGCAGGCTGCTGCTGCCTCTGCACGGACAGCCGCACTTGGATGGGGTCGTACAGTGGATTCGTGAACGCGAGGTGGAAAGGGTAGGTCTTCCCCGCCATCATGCCGTCTGGACCCTTCTCCGGCTCCGTACCTGTAGTCGAGGACTTGAGATTCGAAGGCCGCTTCGCGGGCTCAGACCCGGGTGCTTTCGGTAGAGCCACTGTGATATCCGGCAGATAGTTCGCGGCGACGAGTTTGATTTTGTACCGCACCGACTGTGCCTTCTGCTCCGGTTTGATCAGGATGTGTCGGCAGCTGGGACAGCGCTTCGTCTTCTTCGACAGCAGCGGGATGCGCAGTGGTTTAAGGGAACTACAGCGGGTACTCAACGGGCCCCGATAAACGCAGACACCATCGTCCACTCACCTGGCCTCGATCGACGTCGCCCAGCTGTTCATCCACCGCTGCTCCAGCACCGCCACCTCCTCGATATTCTCCAGGTGCTTCACGAACTCAACGTCGGGCTCGCCCGCGGCTCCCAGCCCGCTCACCGAGGAGATCTCCACGCGGCTCTTATACTCGGGCATCTCGTCCTTGCCCGCGGTGCGCTCACGCCCGACGCGGCTGCGCGTCAGCGGGCTGTACTTGCCCACGCCGGGCACGTCGCGCGCGAGCGCGGCAGAGGCGGCGGCTGTAATGGAATTCGTGTGAATGTGGTGCGAATGGACGGCAGAGATGACGGAGGGAGACGATGATGCACGTAGGAATGGCTCAAAGTGTTCCTTCAGGCGCTCAAACTCGAGGAACTCGGGCGCGGAATCTTCGAATCGCTGGAGCTGCGCTAAACTAGTGTTGATGTAAAGATTTTCAGAGATACTGAGGTTTGCGTACCTGCTAGGCCGGTTGGCTTTTCGAAGGTGATGCCTACTTCGGCAGAATCCCATCTGCAGTGGTTGCAATAAAGGAAGAATGGCGGCTCTCCGACTGCATTGGTTGGTATCGGTATCGTATGCATGCGGGCATCTCCCGTATCTGGCGGGTCAGAGGGGACCACAGAGAGCGTGTTTCGGCAGTTTGGACATAGGAAACAATTTCGAGCACAGCTGTGACGCATCCGTAATGGGTCGACGTAACCCCCACAATCCACTCACCGGTTCTTCTCCGCCCTAACACTCGCACTCGGCACTTCAAATAGACAGTTAGGGCAGTAGTACCCACTGACTTCTACCATTACGCATCGGTTGCATCGTACGGCGTCACATTCCTCGCAGAAAAATAGAGTATGTAGCGGATGGAAGCTGTGAGACGACGAAGGTAGATTGGGCGGTGGGGGTTTCGGGTTTGAGGAGAAGCATGGGCAGTGATATTCGACCGACGGCATAGAATAGGCAGCGCGACAGTACGGAGTGGGAGGCTGCGGTCCTGGTGTGGCTCTTCCCTGGAGAAGCACGTGCAACGGGCGCGTAGTGTCACATCCTGTGACTAATTACTCCATCTTCGTTGCCACAAACGCTCAACCAACTGCCCTCATTAAATCCACAGTGGGTGTATATTTACTGACCTGAATTATATAGCTCTAGGTCAGATAGCAGAGATGAAGCAAGATAATGGTGGTGGGGATGCCCTTCCTTTGCCCCTGGGACAAGTTCACTCCGCGACCAACAAACTCGGCATCTTCCTTCAGGACGCTTGCCTCAATCACCGGTACATTCGCAACAGAGATACTTCTAACATTGTGGAACGCCCTGAACGAATCAAAGCGGTGAAAGTGGGTATCTCTGCTGCACTCGCACGGCTGGAGGACCTCGCGGAGCCACCCAAAGACCCGGACAAGCTGAAGTCCCAAGGTGCCTCAGAACCAGATGATTTAGCCGCTGCGATGGGACGCATGGCCATTCAAAGCCGAGAGGAATATGCAGTTGGCGCAGGTCTTCCTCTCGAGATAAAAAAGAGTGCGGCTAGTGTGGATCTCCTGGACGACAAGGCGGTGAAATTCGTGCATGGCGATATTGAGGGAGACGTGTACCTAGAAAATCTAAAACATTGGGCGAAAGAGAGCGAAGAAAGAATTTCAAAAGGAGAATCAGAAATCCCCGAAGGACTGCCCCAAGGCGATTTGTACCGTGCGTCGTTCGCATCTAGCATTGTAGGAACCGAATATGTGATATTCTCCCTTCATGCCTCAGTGTGCCCTAGCTCTATGGACGCCATCCAAGGCGCTTTGGGGACTGTTTGTGAAGCTGTTGGCACCGTTGTGAAAGCTAGTCGCTCGGAACCGGCGGATAGAAAGGCCGCAAGCAGTTCCCCTTCGGACCTTCTACAGGCGTCCAGGGCATTTGTGGCAATAAGGCCTCCCGGACATCACTGCGGAGAAGACAGCCCCTCTGGTTTCTGCTTCGTCAATAACGTCGTAGTCGGGGCTGCTCATGGTGAGTAGGCTTAAATTGTCTATCTGGAAATGACATCCTAAGCGCAGCGCGAAGCCCATCTCCGACATGGAATCAATAGGGTGATCATCCTAGACATTGATCTGCACCATGGTTTGTTATAGACGCCATCTGTACATCTCCTCCAATGTTATATTTTACGCTGTAGGGAACGGGACGCAGTCCTTGATCTGGCAGATCAACGAAGAATCCTACCGACGGAAACTCGAGTCCAAATATTCAGGCGAGACCAAACCTGAACTGCAAGTATATTACGGCTCTGTGCACGACATACTCTCATATCCCTGTGAGGTGAGCCCATGTGTCAATCCAAAACTGCGGCATTCACCGTGCAAATCAAACTACTCCACTATAGGACGGCAAACCGGAATTAGTGCAGGCGGCTTCCGTATCAATACACGGACCCCACGGGCAGTATATCGAGAATGTCCACTTAGTGCCGTACGACTCGCCCGAGCAGTTCTGGAATGTGGTGTACAAAGGTCCGTATAGCAGACTTCTAGACAAGGCCGAGGAATTCCTCGGGCAGACCGGTGGCCCGGGAGACGATGTCCTTGTTTTCATCAGGTATGCCGTCCACCTCCATCATAAGAACAGCACGCCAATGACCCCCGCAGCTGCGGCTTCGACGCGTGCGAGCACGAGTACCCTTCCATGTCCCGCCACCAGCGCAAGGTCCCGGCATCCTTCTACCATCGGTTCGCTCGGGACGCCGCCGCACTGGCGGACAGATACGCACGCGGCCGGTTGGTCAGCGTGCTTGAAGGCGGGTATAGCGACCGCGCGCTCACGAGCGGGGCGATGGCGCATATCTGTGGATTGGTTGACCTGGGTGAGAAAACGGAGTGCGTCAAAGAAGTCTGGTGGGATCTTGATAACCTCGTGAAGGTATGCGCCCTGCATGTACTCCATTTCTACGCTTTTGTGTTACCTGACTGGCCGTCTCAGTTGGAGAAGGCAACAAAGAAGGGCAAGCGAGGGAGGCAGTCCCTCCCTGGCACATCCGAGCCATGGGTGCAGAGAACACTTGAAATTCTCTCAGTCCTCGACGAGGGCTGCCAGTACAGCCTCCCCTCGTCGCGCGTCCCGCCCTCGACCAGGACCCTCCGTGGGCGGAAGAAGGACCAGAACTACGCTCAGCTCGATGCAGGTACGACCCCGCCGGCCTCCCCCCCTAAACGGAGAGGAGGGCGAAAGAGCAATGATGTGACCGAGGTGGAGACGGTCGTGGCGCCGTCTGCCACCTCGGAGGATAACAGTGGAAGCAGGACGGATGCCTCAGTTGAAGCAAAGTCGGAGACGGAAGGTCAAGGTGTTGTACAGAAGAAATTGCCGAAGGTTATTCTACACGTCCGGCCCCTGCCCGAGGCGAAGTCTTAATATTGTTGCCTGGTCCAGGTCATCTGAGCCATCTTTCTTTCGCCTTTTGCTTTCATTGGTGTTTCCTTCCCGACTCTATTGGATACCTTTCTTGCCTTATACCCTTCCCTGCAGCCAAGCAGATATTTTGTATTGTGATTGGTTCTATACATCATAGCGAAATCAAAGTATGTATCGACCATTCATATACACCAAGGAACACTGCTCCCCCAGCCGATATCCACAGCGTTCGAGGGACGACGCCGGAGAACAGGGCGCCTACACCCTCCGCGGTATAGATTTGCTTCAGTCGCATCGTAAGAGAAGGCATGCTGTGCTTGGATGGGTCCTGCGGAGGGGATGTGAGCAGTCGCATGGGACAGGACAACAATACATCGTACCCGGAGGTCTAGCATTACACGTGTTTTCAGTACGTCGAGGGGCGTAGTGAGCGCGGCTGCGACGCCTCCCGCGACGCTGCCGCACACGGCAGCTTCGTGTGCATGTAAGGGCCGTCTGTCTAGGAAGTCTGACAGCTTGAGTTTCAGAAGCTCGTACAACGGGAATTGCAACGATGTAAAAGGGATCTAACAGCTTAAGTTCACTAATACTGCAATTGTCCAAGGAACTGCACCAACCTCCCTCATTATTGTGGATCCGAATCCGCGATAAAATCCTTTCAGGCCATCGTTCCTCCAGACCAATTGGGCTGTCGACAAGGATGATGACGCTAATGCGCCATACGTAGACGTCTGAACCCGTGTCTTAATTACTTCCGTTGGAACGCGAATCAGGCAAGCGGCCTGGCAGCATGCTGAGTTCCCATTAATCTGAAGTGGGAAAGGACATAGAACGTTCGGAACGCACCACTTCCCCTATGGAGGCGGAGACGAGGTGGTTTACGGGTGCGAGGTTCCCGTGGAGAGGGAGTGTTTGTTTCAGTGTGTCGTACGTACAGAAGAATACAGCAGCTGCGAAGTAAAGTGCGCCATAGAGGGTTTAATGCTGACTGTACACAGATAATCGGGAAGACACGACTTACCACCCGGTGCACTACCCACTACTACGCTCCCGACACCTTTGTAAATGCCCTTGAACCCTCCCGCTCGTAGAAAGCCTTGGGACGACTGTAGGCGCGTCTTGACCGTGTCGATGGGGAAGAAGAGAAGGTCAACCGAGGTCCCCGCTAGACCACCAGCCTCGGAGCAGATCAGCCGAGAGTTAAATAGCTGAACGCGTGAGGGAGCAGCGTACGACGAGCGACTCGTAGAACGTCGGATTTCGCTGGCTCGACATCGCACAGGAATCCAGAGATTATGGGGGCAGATATTAGCTGAGCTATTTAACAATGCATCTGCGACGCTCGGAGCAATGGCAAGTGAGAGGATAGTCGGTCTCGACGTCGAGGCTGTCGACGACGAATCGTTGACTCGAAACTCAGGTCTTTTGAGAAGCACTTGTTCTTAGTCAATTTGGATTACGTACGCGTCTAGTCATTTTGGAGTCCTTGCTTGGTCCTAAAGCAATACTTGTAGATTGGATCCTTCTTCGACTTCGACGGTTCCAAACTGCAGGAATACAGTATCAAATGGACGATTCCCTGGAAAGGCCTAATATCCTGCCGCCTCCAGCTTCGAATGAAGCGCAAGACGACGGTCAGTCATCGGAGGAGGAGGACGGAGGACCAGACTGGACAAAACTACCGTGCGTCGCCCAGGTCGAGAGGATCTGATTGAAGCATCACATATTCCTTAAGATCGTCGTCGGGCCCCAACGCAGCGCGCCCGGTAATCCCCAAGCGGGGTGAAAAAGACTATGAACCGAAGGCAGGCGGAGGGTCCGGCCTGCAGCTTCACTTCTTGGATCGTGCAAGGACGGCAATGTTTGGCGCACTCGGGGCTAACCGTGGAGTCAATAAGTGAGGATCATATTCGAACAACAGTGCCCCGCCTATTGAACATGCTACATTTATATAGCAAATCGATGAGCTACGGGCTTTGGTACCCACAGCTCGCACGCGCGCACGTCACCGTGGCCAAAGGAATTCACTTCACTTCCATGGGCCACTTCGTCCAGCGTGCTTCTGCGGATTCCCAAACAAAACTGCAGAAGAGACTAGAGTTACTTCCGGAGGAAGCTCTTTACCTAGTAGAACGCGGTGCTCTCTGGTGCTGGAAGCAGGTTGATGTAGTATCAGAGTCGGTGGATGCCACTGATCCCGACGGTCGAGGCCCTCCAATGAGCGTACAGCAAGCTTACGCTGAAATGATAGGAACTCAAGATCTGACTCTTGAAAAATATCAGGCGCGTTGTGAATTCGTTATACCATGATTCATTCGCATGCTCATATCCCACCGCCTTGTGATCGCGATATATGCAGGTTTTCGCGTACCTGAAACGGCTGGGATACATTGTCACCCGTGCTGAACCGCCGAGCCCTTCATACCCAGTCCCCCCTCCTTTACAATCTAGCACGCCCAGATCAGTTCTCAATACCCTGCAAAGCATATGGTCTGGCGTTTGTCGAAGGCTTCGCGCGCTAATTGGAGGTAGTATCGACTGGTGGAGGCCTTTGTACCTCGACGGATGGCTATATCATTACACTAATTACCGTGCGTCACTGAGCGATAACCATGCCGATGTAGTCTTTGTTGAAGAGCCTGTATGCAGCTTCTCTCTTCAAGTCGATGCGGTTCATCCACTCAGGACATAGCACCCCGCTGCATCTGACAAGTAAACCTGCATCCGCTCCCCGCTCCCCATATCACATCTTCTACCACCTGTACAAGCCTTCTACCCCATTCCGCAAGACCTCTCCACCGCCTCCCGATTTCTACGTTGTTGTCGTGGAGTAAGATCTAGTGTTCGGCGTCGTGTCATACGCTGATGATTGTCATTGTCTTCAGCGCCCGTAACACGCCTATGCCATCCCTACACGAGCTCGCGGCCCTGTACGACGAGCTCCCAGATGTACCACCTCCCTTACCTCGACAACGACTCCAACCCGTACCTGACAAACCAGCTGGGGTTCCATCTACAACACCGCAGTCCCTTTCGACTCTCCAGCAGATACTTCACAGTGTTCTGCCTTTCCTCTCTAGGGCCCCGGCTGAGCCGCCGATAAAGCCGCGGAAGCCGCACCCCTTCATGGCTTTGAAAGCGGGGAAGAAGATGGTGGTGATGGCGGCTGTTGATAATGGTATCATTAGCTTCTTCAGGTTTGGACAGGGGGCATTCGATGAGTGGCCAATGGTCTAGTGTGGGTAGGTGTTGACTAGGTTGGCATGTGTTGAGATTAGAGCCTGCACGCCGGAAGGAAGATGCGTCAGAAAACATGGCGGCAGACCCTAGGTTTGACATGCTGTTTGCCTCTCGATCGTTACCGTGTTGGCCCAGCCAGGACTCTATGTCCGTGGATTCACGATGGAAGGCAGGAAGTAGAGTGATGCCGCGGACTATGTTAACCCGCAATCTTCAACGATTGGATTGTCTACTCCCTGGTGCAAGGTAGAACTGCTTTGGGAGACCACAAGCAGTATCACGTTCTGTTGATGTTCTACATTTTGCAATCTCGAGCTTGGGAGGCATCCCCATATTGTATACTCTAGTCCAGCGTCATTTTGAGCGAAATGACTGGTGGACGGTGTATTCCCTCAGCGTAAATTAGTGCAGCATGCATGGTCTCTAAATCTGCGTACATGCCAACACAGGTCAGTACTCGGGAATACCGTACATATTCGACGGCGAAACAGCGATCTCCTGCAATAAATCTCCCACTGGGTCACGCTCGCTAGCTTTGCCGCGATGGCCCTCCGCAGGTAGGAGCTCTGTTAATCGCACTACGTCCAGGGACTGAGAAACACCATCCAATACAATATAGGGTGCGTAGTTGCCATTATTCGAGAAGGTCGTACAGAGACCTTCCAAATAATCCAAGGGTATTCGCCAGAGAACGTCGGGGAATTGTACCCTACAAGTTGCATCGGCATTAGCTTGTATCAGCAGCACTGATAGATCACGCACCTGAATCGAAACAGAGGCATCCAAAGGCAATGCCATGTCCACGTCTGACCAGCATACAAATCGGAAGGAGGGTCCCATCCGGCCTCAGATAAAACCTTAGCAATGCCATATATAGCCCTCAACAATCTCAGAAGGGCCCGCCGAGAGACGGGATCGGAGGACACGGCAGCCTGCCACCAGAGGCCTTCAATCACCGCCCGGTCGAAATGCGACTGAACTTTGACGTATAGACCCATGCAGAGAATACTATGAATCACCTCTCTCAGGCATAGGGCTGCAGGAAGGTCATAAGCAGGATCTCTGTGACGCGAAGTTCAGATACTCAGCAAATAGAACAACGCAATCAGAGATGGGGGTAGGGCATACCTAAGGAACTGGACCAGCATAGCTATCCCTTCATCAACATGCCGTAGCGTCGGGCGGGTAATCAGGGTTCTCGCAGCATAACTGCTTTCTCCGAACGCTGTAAGAGCGTCCACCTCCTTGACCACACTCAGGCAAGTGCTCTCGGAGAGCGAAGCTAGGGCACGCTGAGATGGAACAAGGAGCTCAGCTACGACCTCGCGGCGATCCCGCCAAAGGTATGCTTGCGCTCGGACGCGCTCAACAACTTCATTCGCACCGTGTTCGATTAAAACCGAACGGAAAAGGGGGATAACTGATGCAAGCAGTGCCATGTACTGTATCGCGAGGAGCTTCGTGGCTGATGTCCCAGTCCTAGGAAGCACGCATTGGTCAAGCTGCACTTGTAAGGACAAGGTTAGGACAAGGGACTGACTTCGCATGTTTAATTAGTCGTCTGCAATCTTTAACAACGCCCCTTTGCTTCTGAAGTGCCTCCGAGATGCGCTGTTGGCATGAAGGACAATAGTACGCCGTAAGGGCTTCCAAGAGGACTTTGAAAAGTGGAGGAGCCGTGGCTGAAGTCCACCACCCATGGTCCATGATCATCGTATTCGCAACACCGCATCTGAAGGCACAGCCGACCGGTTCCCGGAAGATGGGCGACAGAAGACGGGCGACTACAACGTTGGGCCCTGCTCCGAGCAGCCTTTCAGCGACGCTGCTGATGAGTCGTTCGAGACGTCTTCCCGACGCGGACAGAACAGTGTCGAGGGTATGTCCCAGTCCCGCCCGAGTTTCGGTGGAGTCCGTATCTGAAACGAACTCATAGTCTAGCCATGGTGCCTGATTGTGCTCTGAATAAGTTGGGTTTTCAAGTGCCCCATGTCGCAACCTTGAAGCCACAAAAGAATCGAGGCGCCTAGCTAAAGGAGACACGAAGAGTCGGTCGATCGTACGTCCGTGTCCAACTAGATCAGACGCCGTGGAGTCGGAGGACACAAAGGACAGAACGTCCATATCACCGTCGTTGCGGACGCTAACATACGAGAATACACGAAGGGACTTCAGATGTAACAAGGGGTCGACGAGAGGATACCTGGTAATCCCTCGTTCTCCGTGCTTGCTTTTGCCGTAATGACTGTCCTCGGAGTCCGCATCTACATCATATGTACATCTGCACCACACGCATCAGTCCGTTACAGAACCTTGCCAGCGTAAGGCGGCTACTGTGGATTGTACATCCACAGTAACGTCTACGTACCGGCTGATAAGTAGCAACTTGAAGACAACTTAGACAAGCCCACGATTTCGCGCATTCGTTGCAACTTGCTATATTTCAGTATATACTGTTACACTTACTACACATCTCCATTGACGTCAGCACGTGACTACCTTAAATGTAGCGGCAGGGATGACAATAGAGCATATTCGGTGTGGTAATTACTACGGGAGAGAGAGAGAGAGAGAGAGACATTCTTTGTATTTATACTGCGAGCAGGTGAACTACTACTAGCGCCAAGGCACAGTACTACTCTACGTAGCGATAAATAGTGATAAATATTTACAACTGAGTTTCAGGAAAACTGTAATAGAGTCCACTATCAACGAGCAGAGTCTTAATGTGTGCGGTTGGGTGTGCAGGGGAGGTCAGCAGAGAGGGTGGTAATTACTACGGGTGGAGCTCCCAAGTAAGGGAATTTTGATGGATTTAAGCGACCCCATTGGCCCCACGCTGGGGTAATTACCACAGCGAATATGCTCTAATATTATTATTACATGTAAGCAAACGCAGGACATCTGTCATGGGAGAATAGAACTCTGCTATATCACCTTCTCTCCGGATAAGCAGCGCAACATGTTGTAGTGACAGTCTTACCCCACTCGATGCTGCGCAGGCAACCCTTCTCCACTCGCCATCCGAGGAGAGCGACCATAGCTGCCCCGGCAAAACATGTACCTACGTACACTATCATCTTTCCGAACCTACCGCCAGCAACGTCAAATCCGGTTCTGGGATGCCATGTTGAGTTAGAAACGCTGCGTGAGAGGGAGGTCGAGATAGGTGTCGAGAGAACCTGTCCCAGGCCGCGGCCGACCATGAGCATGCCGAAGACGTGCATGATGAGTCTAGGATCATCTCCTGAAAGCCGTATCAGGTAACCACAGGAAGAGATGCAATAATCTGGAAGGCGTACGGGCGATCGGGCGGGCGAATCCTGCCCAGAGGCTGGACCATCCACTGGCAAGAGTGCCGTAAGCGACGCCATAGGCCAGGAGCCCTCCTAGATTGTGTGAGAGGATCCCCCATAGCACAAACGTCGCAATGGAGGTAGAGAGAAGAGTCGCAGAGGCCAAGATCCATGGACTAACTCGGTCCACGAGCACACCCATGGTGAGACGAGCGAAGACGGATGTACCTAGTGACAGACAGGACGTTGGACACCTCGGGTACAGCGAGAGCTTCATAGACCAACGCACCATTGAGCAATGCTAATGCCAGAGATGCGCTGGTATCTTTCACATGCATCTCGGTCGCAAAGGCTATGGCCGAAAAGATGGTGAATTACCGGCACAAGACGGTACGTGAGCAAAAAAACGCGACGCACTGGGTAGCCAGAGGATAGGAACGAAGTACGCAAAAGCCTGTAGTGCATTGAGCAACATGATCAGCCAGAACATCCAACTTCTCAGCCAAGAGTAGTCCATCGATCGTGCAGTCGGACCATGAATCCGAGACTCCGGGAGCCGACCCCTGATGAACGGGAAAATTGGTAGCACAATGCATAGCACAGCTACAGCAACGATCCGAAGGGTAGTTGGTGCACCGTACTTGCTCAACAAGCGTGGTAGCACTAGGGGTAGCACGAGACCTCCGACGGCGGTACCTAGATTCACAGTCAATTCTATTGAAGCGTTCGAGCTAGTCATCGAGTTCGTACCGGCGAAGATAATTCCGTTGGCTAGACCACGTCGAGCAACGAACCATTCCGATGTGTAAGATACGCATGGGTGATAGACGAGTGCTGAAAGACCCAGTCAATCAGAATACAGATGATAAATATAAAACGTGCTAATCTTACATCCTCCGACAGCGTAGAGGACGCCTTGCAGGGCCACAAGCTGCCCGACCTGACATCGTGGGGTTAGAAGCGAAAGAGTCCTGCAATGCCTTCTGCCGACACAACTTTACCGTTTTGGCATAACTCGCGCCAAATAGGCTCACGAAACATATCAAGGTCCCGCACAGGACGGCATACCGGCGAAGATAGGGGTAGCGAACAATAGCGGAGTAAACCAGAGGGCCTACATTTGCAGGGTTACGGAATTTAGCCATTCGTAAATGCAACGTGATGAAGGCTAACCGGAGAAGTACATCAATCCAGAGGAAAGGTTCCCCACGAAGGGTAGGAGCGAGGATGAGTCTTTCTGCGACTCATATTGCGGGTCGTTCAGGTAAGATGCCAGGAAGACACCGAAGGTGTCTGGGAATCCCCAGATGGTGCCTTCTATCAAGAACGCACTGAAGATCTGTGACAAAAACAAACTAAGAGAGGTATCACAAGGTCATGAAATGAGTCTCGCTCACAAATGCCCACGCTCTAAATCCCCTATCGACGGGTGCCAGAGACGACTCGTTCAATCTCAGTATGTCCTCGATTGTTTCTTGACTGCCGCCATTTGAGTCCGAGCCTATGCGCTGCTCACCCTGATGCCCGATATTGTGCTGTACTTCCTGGATGGACACATTCAAGGAAGACGAGGAGCCCGGTAGAGGATGTCTCGCCGCTAATTCCAACGTCTCTACCGACCTGGACTTGAGCGATTCCAAATGAATGGACTGGATTTCTGCCATCCTCATTTGCTACTGCTTGCCTACTGCAGGCGACGAGCGCGTCCTTCCAATTTCTGAGTCATTTCCAGGCTTACCTCACCGGTACCCGATATGACACACTGTGGCTGCATGTCGAACACTTTCCACCATGGCACCGGCTCTAGCCTCTTGCCAGGGCCGGCTGCTAGGATTAACCATACATATGCCCTGCGTACGCGGCTGCAGAGCATTGACGCAGGAGTGCGCGAAGGACCCGATCTTCCAAGTTCCAACCTTTTGATCAGTTCTTCAGGAAATCACATGATTCTGTATATTCTGTACCTCGGTCCGGGATGTCAAAATTCATAAGTAGGGTAACTATAGTATTCATGGTCAACAATACACCCTATGCCACGACCCAGCCAGAGCGATGGAGGATTGATTCAGGCTTTCACGTGTTGCTCAAACGGCCTTTCTCCGCGCGCCATCCGAGAAGGGCAACCACAGCCGCCCCTGCGAAGCACGTACCTACATACACGATCATCTTCTCGAACCGACCACCAGCTACATCGAACCCGCTTCTGATATGCCATGTCGACGACGAAGAGCCGTGCGAGAGAGATGTCGAGATAGGCGTGGACAGGACCTGTCCTAGGTCACGGCCAAGCATCAGGGTGCCAAAGATATGCGTCACAAGTCTCGGATCGTCGCCTATGCGTTATTTCAGATGTACCGGGAGTCAATGGGATATGACATAGGGTACATACGAGCGATTGGGCGAATGAAGCCAGCCCAGAGGCTGGGCCATCCACACGCAAGAGAACCGTAAGCGGCACCATAGGCGAGGAGCCCTCCCAGGTTATGCGAGAGGACTCCCCACAATACAAATGTCGCCGCAGACGTGCATGCAAGTGTGGCAGACGCCAGGAGCCACGGATCCACCCGGTCAACAAGCATGCCCATAGTGAGACGGGCAACGACCGATGTACCTGGTTGTCGACATGAGGGTGAACAAATTCGCTAGGGTGAGTGAATAAGTAGAGGTACCCTTCAGCAATGCCAGTGCCAGAGATGCGCTGGTGTCGCTGACATGTATCTCTGTAGCAAACGCTGGGAGTCAGCGGAGAATGGGTATACACGCAGGTCTGACGGGACAAGTGGAACGTACTGGGTAGCCAGAGGAGGGGGACGAAGTATGCAAAGGCTTGCACGACGTTAACCAGCATAAGCAGCCAGAATATCCAACTTCTTAACCAAGAGAAGTCCATCGATCGTGCGGTGGGTCCATGAACACGAGACTCGGGGAGTCGACCCCTAATGAAGGGGAAGACCGGAAGCACAACACAAAGGACAGCTACAGCCATGATGCGGAGAGTCCCCGGTGCGCCATATTTGTTGATCAAGAGGGGCAACACTAGAGGAAATATGAGCCCTCCGACAGCAGTACCTATATGAATCATCAGCGCTGTGGCGGCGTCATCTAAGATGTTGCATCGCACCAGCGAAGATAATTCCATTTGCAAGACCTCGTCGAGCCATGAACCATTCGGATGTGTAGGACACGCAAGGGTGATAGGCTAGCGCTGAAACACGGCCGGAGATCAGATGACGGGCAGTCAGTCCAAGTCATTGTAGACTTACACCCTCCGATAGCGTACAGGACACCCTGTAAGAGCACAAGCTGCTGGACCTGGTAATTCCAGGTCAGGCTGCTGGAATCCATCCGATCTCCACAGAGAAATGTACCGATCTAGCATAGCTAGCGCCAAAAAGGCTAGCGAAGCATATGACAGTGCCCAGGAACACGGCATGCCGGCGAAGGTAAGGGTAGCGAATGTTGGCGGAATAGACAATAGGGCCTATGGCTTCGTCACTACATTGAGTCACCTGGGAATAGGATATCTTGGATACTTACCGGCAAAATATATCAATCCGCTAGATAACGTCCCGATGAAGGGCAATAACGAAGAGTAACCCTTCTGTGCTTGAAAGTGGGGGTCGTTTAGGTACGAGGCGAGGAAAACACCGAACGCATCAGGAAATCCCCAGACGATCCCCTCTATCAAGAACGCGCTGAAAATCTATATAAAAAGTCGAACGCAGCACAATAGGATCTTAGAATCACTCACGAATGCCCATGCTCGGAATCCCCTATCTACGGGTGCGAGGGATGACTCGTTCAATCTCATGACATCTTCGAGTGTCTCTTGATTATCCCTGCTGAAGTATCTACGCTGCGCATCTTCTGTATTCCGCGGGGGTTCTTCGACCAAGACATTCACGGAAAATGACGATCCCGGCAGAGGCTGCCGTACAGCCAATTCCAATGTCTCTACCGACCTTGGTTTGGACGTCTCCAGGTGGATCGACTGGGATGCGGCCATCGTAGTTCACTATCGAGTGGTTAACTAGTTAAGACTCGGGAGCAACTGCGGTGCTGCATACGCTACTATACACAGTCGAGTCATCTCGTTATCTCGTATGCAACCGACACGACACTTACCCTTCGCGCGTCACGATTCTTCTACCGCAACGACCGGCCGAGAACTTCTCGATTTCGGGGGTTCCTCATTCCCAACCGTAGTTTGAAAGCCAAACCTTTCGAATTTCTGGAGATGCATCCCATTGGACGCACAGCGGAAGAAACGGACCGAATGAGCCAACCAATCGCGGGAACCACAGGGGATCATAGTGGCACTGGTAGTATCATTTTACTGCTGAGCAAGATCATATTGTAAGTATGTGTGCTACTGTACAGTGAAGCATCGAACATCGAGCAAGCGGTCTAAACTGTCCTTGTAATATCCATATACATCTAAAATCGGCATTCGCCAGCCAGCCTAATCCTGATAATACCCTAACTCGGGCTGCGCCTCGACATAGTCCTCCGGATTCGAAGGCACCGAGTACTCGGACTCAGTCATACCAGGATTCACCACCGACCACGAGTCCGTGGTAAGCCTGATGGGCACTACCTGCCGCAGCTCCACGAAGGGAGACTTCTTCGGGTCCGGTGGTACCATTGACAGAACGATGCAGTCCTGGAGTACAATGATGAATGCACCCTCAATAATGTACTTATGTGGACCGACCTTGACGTGTAGCCCACCGGCCTTGAATCCCCCAACCTTGATGTCCGGATTTATGGTAATTTGCCCGCTGAAGGATATCCAGTCCGGGCCATCACCCTGAACAAGAGATGGTCAGGGTGGAGCTTCAGGACAGACCGCAAGAAATAAAACGAACGGCGTGCTGGAACACTCCTTCACCGATCCTATCTGTTCTCCACATATCCGTCTTGGTACCGTTGACAACATCGTTACTATAATTTACGATCCATTCTCATAGGTCAAACCTTCATCGCATAGACGGTATCTCTGGGCTCACCGTACATCACACGTAGCTTGCCTCAGGAGTTCGATACGCGTATGAGTCCTAGTGGGCGACAGCAAGCTGACGATGGGGCCATACGGCATGAACGCTGCCAACGAGAACGCGGACGAGGCGAACGTGACATGGAACGGAATAGGCTCGCTGAGGCAAAATATTCTTGAGGCGGGGAGAAAAAGCTGTATGACGCTCAGTTGTATTATCGCCAAAATAGCGATGATCTGGTGTACCTTGGAGATTATATCTTTCCCGCCCTTCGTTCGCGCCTGCAAGGTGCCTTGGAACAGCTTCCAGTCTGCTGTAGGCATATATCCGTCGGGCGTGGGTTGTAGAGGAGGCGGAAGGGGTACAGCGGGTCGTGTACGAGGGATGTACAGAAAAGGTGTCGATAGAGTTCTATTGCACGCCAGATCACCGGGCGTCTGAGAGTGTCCTGTCAAGACGAAAAGGCTGACTTACGTATTACCTAGGCCGAAGGGTAATGAAGGGGCTTTGGCTATGTTGACACTGAAAAAAATCAGATGGTCTCATGTATTCTCGCCCTTCTGATACTTACGCGCTTGCAAGTCCCAAGAGTGATGACTTGCCACTTCTATACACAGTGACACTAACCGAATAGTCAATGTTGGCACGAAAACCTGGCAGGCCGGAGAGATGGACCTCATATGTGGGAGGTAAAGGCTGCACTGGGTTTGAGTTACAATTACTTCTTGACAGTGAGGGTGCGTACATATGTGCCTTTGCTGTCAGAGAAGGTGGTCGGGATGGTCAAACTGAAGCGAAGGGTCGAAGGACATGAACCCGGCTCGGAAGAGGATCGCTTGCTCCATAGTGTTGTCTTTTCTGAACATAGCGTCACGGAGGTGGTCCCGCCCTCCGCAATCTCCTTCAGCTGCAAGAAGCCTTCGATCTGTCCGGCGCAAGGGCGAGCGAGCGAGATTCAGGCTCCGCAAAATGGACACTACAATTGATACATACCTTAACTTCCACTGACTGCACGCCGTCCGTCTTCGAGATTGTCACCTCGCCGTCCACCGAGCTCCCACATCCGTATTCTGGCATACTCGCATCGCCGTCCTGCTGCGCGAGACGCAGACTCACGCCGCCTATCTTCGACTGCTTCACGAAACCCCCCGCCGCTGGCCTCTGCCTGGAATGTGAGCGCGAACGCGGCGGATTCGTCACTGCCAATCTGTATTCATCTGGCTGGGGTAGCTCGGAGTACACAGGGGTGTGCAAGTGCTCCGGCACTGGTGTGTACGATGGTAGGCTGGCCGTGGACATCTGATGGTAATAAAAGAAAAGGAGGGCACGGTCAGGTATGAAAGAGCTTAAGTATCGGCGCACGCGCAGGTGTAGACGGGTTATACATTGGATGACTGGAAGATATTATTTGTGACTATGAGTACACGCCACAACGTCTCCATATGGTTCTCCACAGCCGCACCGGCTTCTTTTGCCCTATCGTTCCGGAAGGCCTTCTCCGGCGCCCACCGCATTTGTTTCCGTTCTTGCCCGTCGTTGCGGTGCGGGTTGAGCTTAGGTCGCGAAAATATGTCGGCCACTTTTCTACGTTCTCGTACTCAAAAGGCTACCGGTACATATATCTACGGGTTTTTACCGCTTATTTCTGGAATTTCTGAGCTCAGAAGGCGATGTCGGAAGATACTGCACGTTGCGATGTTAACCACACGGTCAAGGTCGGGTATCCTCTCGATCCCTCACCATCGGATATTCTGGTCCGAAGCCTTCTCCCGAGGAACTCGCGTTGCCTCTCGCACTGCGGCATCCATGTGCGGATTATATAGTCTCGTGAACGTGCATACCTGTCAGAAGCAACCTACGCGTGCTACACTACGACACACCGCCTGCCTATGGCATCCAGCCGCCAGCGTATAGTCACGTATTGAGGGGGTACAGATATTATAAACACAGACAGTGCAAAGGGTTCCCTGCATGGAACTAAATGGGGCGGAAAAGAGGTTGGAAGAGATTGAGTTCCGTGCTGACGTCAGTCTCATTCTACCACAGTTATCCTGACCGAGTACCGTGATGCTTTCCTCTATTGTAATCGCCCATTCCTGCCAGTGGAATATTAGGAAGATACCACACCGGATATATCCTGTCATTGTCGCCTTATCCCGAGGAACTCGCAAGTTGCTAACGCGCTTACACACAGATTACATCGTCTGTTCGTGAGGCGCACGCCACAGACTCGGAACCAAGATACACTTGCTACGTTACAATTACAACCAACGTACTAGTACACCCATTCATAGCGGACTACATACATACTCTCATCATATTCAGTCCATATCATGCGGTAGATAGAGTGTGAGGTTCCCTGCATTATGCGAATAAATGTCCAGAATGGAAGAAAGGCCCCCGATCCCGGCGCATGCGTGACAGAAGTCCCGGGCTGGATAGCGCGGACCCAATAGTCCTCAGTAGTGCACGGTCTTCATCCGAGTAAGCCCAGCACGGGCTGGCTCAGTATCCGCAACCAGGCGTATGGGCACTGCCTGTTGATACCGCTGGAATGGAGCACGACCGCTGTTACTCCCGGGCAGCGCAATGGTTAAAACGACCGCATCCTAGATCAGAATATCAGCTACTCACTCACAGATCCTCTGAGCATCCAGAAATACTCACCGCCACGATCAACCGCGTCGCCACAAACGACCCGCAGTCGACCTCCCGGTGGATTTCAATCCTCCCGGAACATCCGAGCCAGCTCTTCGCGCGGTCCGTCTCGTAGATTACACCTTCACCTATACTCTTCACCGTCGACATCTGCCCGTCCGCGCACAGCGACGTCTCGCCCAGCACGAACGTCTGCCGGTCGAGGCGGATGCGGATCAAGTCCGCGAGGTCGCACTGCTGCCGCTTGGACATGTACCCCCGCAGCGACTTGAGTGCCTTCGCCGTCTCCGTAGGCCCGGAGGGTAGATACTGAGACAGCGGGCCGTCCGGCGTGATGGGGTGGATCGACGATTCGGGGGGCGGAACGAACATAAAGGGCGCGAGCGACTCCGGAGGGCCGGCGAGCCTAATGCGGAACGGGATTGGTTCCTTGTAGCTGCATACCCGGGTGGAGGGCAGGCACAGCTTGAAAGGACATGGGGCATCAGTAGGTGGAACATGATCGAGACGTGGGCTCGAAGTGCGCCTACGTATGAAATCATACTCACGTAGACGGTGATGGGCTTGAGCTGTTGATCATCGCGGGGCATCATGGACCCGACGAAGACCCTTGCTGGGTCTGACGGTGAGGCGAACGGCACAGCAGGCAGGGGCGGATACGTCTTCGGGGTCAGGCGTGGTCTGTACAGAAACGGAATCCTTATCCTGGTACATGCAGCATTATCAGCATCACGACTACAATAAGGGCGAATAGGACGCGAGACTGCACCTTCTTGTCCGCTGTCGCAGCATAGCCCTTCTTGTAACAGTCAAGAGCAGATAGTACTCCACTGCTACATTGAACCCAGGTATGCCGTTGAGACGGATATGGTATGTCGGCGGCAGGGGGTGGCGCTTGTTATCGTCGTCGGTGTAGTGCGTCGGAATGGCTCGGCGGAAATATTGTAAGACTGGGGGCAATCCCCCGTCGCCGGCGTCCCATAAGATCAACGTTTCACCGAAAAGCAGCTGGTCCGCCGGCCTGCCTTCCGCTATTTCTCGTATTCGAATGTAACCTTCCATCTGCAATCCAGAAAGCGTCAGAACAATACCAAGTAGCTATTCTGTTGTATACTCACAATCAGCTCCACATGAAGCACATCTGAGGGATCGTGGATGGACACAAACCCATTCACGATATCATTAGTCGTATACACCGGGACGGCTGCGCCTTCATTCTGGTCGGACAGAATAATGGTCACCTTACCCTCCTGTTTACTATAATGACCGCGCGCCCCTCGTTGCGTCCCCGCCTTGCGCAGTGCAGAGCTCGGCACGAAGGAGACGTCTGGGGCCGAGGTCGAAGGGAGCTTGGGAGGGTAGTAAGTGGTCACCGAGATGGACGGCGGAGGTGCGTGAGAGTGCGAGTGTTGTGGGTTGCCGTAAGGGTGCAGAATCATCATCTCTCGAACAGCGTGGTCAGTCTAGGGGTCCAGGTGTTTCAGAGCTCGAGCGCAGTCTTGGCTCGCGAGATAAGTGGAAGACACGGGGATGAGATGTTGACTCCCCACGGCGGACTCCACGATGACATTCGCCCCGAGCATGTAAGGTCCGTGTATCATGATGGACAGGCTTTCCCGTTCACCATCATGCATGATTGCCAGGACAGTTATTTATGTGTGCATCCTGAATGCATTTGACGGTTTTGACCTGTAAGTTCCCATACGTATTGAATCGGGCAGATAGCCATCCGCCGGCGTTCTTCAGGTCGCCGAGAACATGTCTGCGCGTCCGAGATTCGAGGATAGTAATTCATCGGACGCACAGCCAGGCTCCCAAACCATCCGTTCTTAGTTCAAACTTGACAAGAATATCGCTGATGCGGAGGACTAGGAAGGTGGAAGGACTCCGAAGCCCGATACCCTCCAATCCGTACACTAGGGCGATGGCCCGTCCCGCGCGGTGCCGTTCAAGAAGTATCACGTGACCTTGGCGCCCCTCCGGTCTCCGTGCATATCGCCTAAATTAGGCTGTGACGCAATTATTACAATATATATATATATATAGTTAAAGGCCTCTAAATGCCAGATTGTCATGGCTCAACGGCATAGCGTTCCTGCCGTTCTCTCGCGCTTGAGGTTCGATTACCCTGGAGTGGTATTTTACAGTACTTTAATTCTTCCTGTCTTTACTGTTTCACACTGTCTGCTTTGATTATGGAGTAATCTTCACCTAATTATTTTTGACTGAATAAATGAGACACGTCTATTGAGGAAATGAAAGGACATAGAATACACTGGGTACATCACCCATATTGAGCATGCAGAAAACTGTGAAATTAACGGGTCAAAGGTCAAACTTTTTTCATGATTGTCCATTGCACAATTGGTGAACCGAACTAGAATAATACTACTTTTGAGTGTGCAAAAACCTGATTGTGGCACAGGATATGTTCTTTGTTCAGCACTATTCATTGAGCTTTCATATGTTTTGCAAGGCAACACTATGAACAAAATTTGACCTTTGTCCGGTTTCTTTCACACTTTCTCAGTGGCTCAATATGGGAATTG